CCCCCCCCCCCCCTCGAGTCAGCGGTTTCCTCTTCCTGGATTCTGAGCCTGCAGAAACTGGCAGGTTTCGGGTCCTGATTCCTCTTGCAGAACCTGCTTCACTCCGGAAGCCTCGGGTGGAGCCTCCGGGCCTCGGCAGCCACAAGGGAGCCTAGCCAGGTCCGTCAGCAAGTGAGACGGGGCTCAAGGGAGCCACTTGGCCCAGATCTACGACCGTTCTGGCCACGGTCGTCAAGCGAATCACTGCACTTGTTCAGTTCGTGACACTGCCTTCCCCAAGGTCAGAACCGGCCGTCTGAAGCCCAAGCCGGCTGCCAAGTGCCCGGATTTGGGGGGGGGGGGGGCAGGACCACAGGGGGGGGGAAAATGGTCCGGTCTTTCAGGGCTGCTGCAAGGCTGTGAACAGGGGCTAAAGGAACTGCCGTAAGTCGAGGACTGCCTGGAGAGGGTCCCAGGGAGAGAACCCCTGCCAATGCCGTAAAGGTGCTGGAGGACACGGCTGTCCTCTTTGGGCCCATGGAGGGCGCCTCCCCCCCACCCCACGTGAAGGGGGGGACCCACAGGCAGCCACCCCCCTTCCACTCGGGGTCCTGAAAACCGGCCTTTGCCCGCTCTGCACCGCAGCCCCCAAACTCCGGCCAGGCGGTCAATACTGCGAGGGCCGTGGGGCACATGAAGGGCCAAGGGAGATGCGCCCTTCAAGGGCCGAGGACTCCCCCTCTCCCCCTCAGGCCCCCCCTCGGTCCAAGCCAGCCCCGCCCGGGGGTCGCCCTGCCCGCCAGCCCACCTTGGAGAGGTAGTAGGCCTCTGCCGGCTTCCGGTAGAGGGCCAGGATGCCCGGGATCAGGCGGGGCAGCTGCTCCTCCAGCTTCTCACTGGGCATCAGGTGGCTCATGGGCCCCAGGGCCTCCACCACGGCCAGCCTCACCTGTGGAGGCAGGAGGGACGGTCACCCCCGGCGGCTCCTCTCCGGGATGCGCCCCCATCTGTAGCCCTCCGGCCCAAGCCCACCCCTCCGCCAGCCGGCCCTCCACCTCCTCCCGCTCCTCCCCCCTCCCCTTGGCACCTTGGCCTCCCTGCTCGGCAGCCAGCAGTTGAAGAGGACCTCATAGGCACTGAAGACTTCACTGGAGAAGGTGTCTCGCCTCACCGTCGGGTCCGGCGCCTTGTCCAGGTTGGCCAGGTACTCCAGGATGCTCTCACTGAAGTACTGCAGCGCTGCGCAAGGGACGATACGCCGGGCTCCTAGGGCTGGAAGGGGCCCTGGAGGTCTCCTAGTCCACCCCCCCGACACCCTGCCATCCCAGTCCAAGGGCCATGCGACCTCTTCTTAAGCACCCCCAGCTCCCACCTGGGGCCTCTTGCCCTGCCCTGGGGGGCCTTTGGGGGAGAGGCCAACCCCCTCGTCTCTGGGGCAGCCCTCCGAGGATCAGCAGGCGGCTCTCGTGGTCCCCAAGCTTCTGTCCGGGGGGCTCCCGGGGCCTCGTTCCCTCAACCGTCCATCCCTCACAGTTGGGGTCCTTTCCTGCCCTCCTCCCAGAGTCCAGAGGGGAGGGGGGAGGGGCAAGGAAGGAGGACACTCCCCCAGGGAGAGAAGAGGGGGGGTTCTCTGCAGGCGCCTCTCAGCAGAAGAGCCCAAAGGGCAGCGGCCAGAATCAGCCCCCATGACCCAGAAGCCCTGGGATGTTCCGGCCTCCCCCCCCGATGATTTGGGGTGCGGCTGTTGGGCTAAAAGCCCTTTCCACGCCCCTCCAGAGCCCAGGAGGTCCCAAATGGGAGTCCCCCCCCCCGCAAAAAAAAGCGGTTCTGTCCGGTGGGCAGCCAGTTTTACTAGTCTGGGACCGAGACAAGCGAAAGAGGCAGAAAATGGGGAGGGAGAGCACGGAAGATCGAACAGGTGAAATGGGCTCCCTCGACTGTTTGGCGCATAAGCGCGAAGGAAGGCAGGACCCAAATCCTGACCAACGGGGAGACCTGGCCTCCATCCGCTGCTCTGCGCCACTGCTGGGCCCAGGCAGCCCCGCCAAGAGGGCCGAAGCCCCACGTCCAGCAAGGAGACCTGGCTGCCTTTCTCGCTTCTTCTTTTTGTAATGTTAGTTTTATTAAACATTTTCCCTCATTTTATAACGCCATTTTCATTCTTTGCAACTTTTTGGTACGGGTATACTTATGCTTTACGTACATTTTAATCACACACACGCACACACGCACACACACCCTCCTTTATACATATTGTTCCTCTGTAATATCTTTATATCTACTACTTCATCAATGATGCCGTGCGTTCCAAATCAAATATCTTCGGTTTCTCCTCTATCTTTTATTTCCATGGTCAGCCTGTCCATCTCCGCAAACTCTAATACTTCCTTTATCGCACTTTCCCCAGACAGTATAACGCCATTTTTCCAGTTTTGCGCACAGACAGTCCTAGCCGCCGTTATTAAACGCCTCTCTTACTTACCGTAGCAGAAGACGGACTTCATGTTGTCCTGCCTGGCCATGGGGAGCATGGGCAGCATCGTCCCCAGGATGGAGTTGAGGAAGGGGACCATCCCGAACACTTGGAGGGGGGGAAGACGGAGAGGGTTCAAACCAAAACACCCCCCCCCCCCGCGGGGCCCCCCCCCCCCCCCCCCCTCGCCCCCCCCCCCCCGCCCCCCCCGTGGCCTTCAGACGTTCTACAGACGGAGCATCATTTGAACCGACAGCTTGAAGGGGTACAAAGAAGGGCATCTAAGGCTCCCTCCTTCGCGGGAGCTTTATGGAGCTGAACCTCTAAGGCATCTCCCATCGTGTGACTCTTCTCCAAAGTGCGCTTTGTTTTGTTTTTTGGTTAAATTCATTTCCAATCGTTTCTACATCCCTCCCTCCTCAAACCTCCAGGGAGCTCCCGGCAGGCATTTTAAGAGGCTCAGATCCCTCTAAATCACTGAAAATGCAAAAAAACCCCGAGGAGTGGGCCTCAAACTGCCCCACCCCCGCCCCCGTCCCTTCATGGGCAGAGCCTGGAGGAGGAGCTGCGCCACGAGGCCCAAGGAGCTTGGGACCCTCTGCCGAGGGACCCCGGGATGAGCTGGCCATGCGGGGGGCAGAGGGCTGGGCTGCCTCTTCGCTTCCCTTCTTTAGCGCTGAGCCCACCAGAGGCCCACAGGCCCCCCTCCCCGGCCGCAGGGCCTCCCCCCCGCGAGGGCAAAGGGGGCACACCCACCGTTGGTGACCGAGAGGTTGGCGAAGGTCAGCACCACGAAGCAGTGGGGCAAGACCCCTGGCTGGAACTTGGTCAGCATCTCCTCCATGACCTGGTTGATGAAGCGCCTCCCCACGGCGACCAGGACGGTGCTGGCGGCCTGCTGCCACTCTGGGAAAGCCTCCTAGGCCCAAGACCAGCAGCGCTCGGCCCGAAGCTCCCCCTCACGTCCCCCGTCCTCCCCCAGGGAAGCAGCGACCCAGGCCAGGAGGCCCAAAAGAGGCCCAGGACCCCCTGACAGGCCCTGCCCCTCCCCCTCCGGGCCTCCAGGTCCTTCAGCTACCTGCCCCCCACCCCAGGCAGCCCCCAGGCTGACCTTAGACTTGGTCATCTCGCTGGAGGCCAAGAAGATGACGACCTTGGCCGTGCTCTTGTCCAGCTGAGCCAGGCTGCTCTTCACCACGGCCTCCATGGCCCTCAGGAGGATGACCCGGTGGGGGTGGGCCAGCTGGGAAGAAGGGAAGGGGGGGCGGGCAGAGGTGAGGCAGCCCCAACCTGCGCCTGGCACCGGCTCCCTGGAGCTACGTCGCCCGCCAGCCCGGAGGAGCCTTCCGCCCCTCCCGGCCGAAGGTCCCAGCAGCACCAGCCGCCCGCTGGGGGCCCCACCTTCTCGTGCTGCCGCAGGTGCTCCTCGCAAGCGTTCAAGACCTCCTCGGGCTCCGCCTGGCCCAAAGCACAGAGGGCGCTGAAGATCTGCTCCTGGACGAGGGGATCCTTGTCGCCCGTGGCCTCCATCAGGGTCGTGGCCAGCCCTGGAAGAGGGAAAGAGCGGCTTCAGCCTCCCGCCCAGCGCCCTCTGGCCCGGCTGCCACCGGCTGCCCCCTCCTGGGCCAAGCGTGGCGAGGAAGTCCAGGGGTCGGTTTGGCCCTCCACGGCTCTGGACCAAGAGGAAAGGGCCTCCGTTTCTGGGCCACCCACACCAACCGCTGGCCCAAGGGAGATGCTCCAAGGGCTACTCAGAGAACCAGAACGTCCAAAAGACGTGGAGACTCTGGAAAGAGGGCAGGGCAGCTAGGATCCCGAGGGCCTGGAGGCTGAAACCGAGGAAGAACGAGGACCTGGCGATGTCCAGTCTACGGAAAAGAAGAAGGACTAGCGGGGCCATGACAGCAGCCTCCCAGCATCTCAGGGGCCGCCCCCCAAAAGAGGCAGCCCAGCTATTCTGCAGAGCCCCTGAAGAGGCGGGGCAAGAAGCTACGGGTGGAAACTCATCCAGGAGAGAAGCAACCTGGCACTCAGGAGGAATTTCCTGACAAAGTGAGCACCATTAACCGGTGGAAGAAGGGCTTCCCTCCAGAAGGCGTGGAGGCTCCAACACTGGAAGGTTTTAGGAGGAGACTGGAAATTGTATGGGGTCTCCTACTTGAACAGGGGGCTGGACTAGAAGACCTCCAAGGTCCCTTCCGATTCTGTTACTCTATGTTCCATGGTACAGGAAGCCAGTTTAAGCTGTTCACTGAAAAAGGGGGTCCGGACAACCCCCTTTTCAAATCCAAATGCCAAGGACACCCCAGCCCAGGAGGAGGAGGAGGAGGAGGAGGAGGCGGAGGCTGTTGCCATCTGCAGGTCCTCGGGGCCCTCGGGGCAGTCAAGGGCGTCCAGCTGGGGCTCTTCACCAGCCCCTCCAGCCTCAGCCGGAGCAGCCCCTCCGCCGCTCTGTCTCTGCCCAAGAGGCAGACGGAGAAGCAGCCAAAACCAACAGTGAGACTGAAGAAGCAAATGGGCAGCTGGCCTCCTGGAGTTGGGGTGCTCCATCACCGGAGGTTTTCACCGGAGATTGGACCCCCGTTTGCCTGGGGTGGCCTGAGGGCTCCTGCCTTGGGAGCAGGTTGGGCTGGAACCCCCCCCCCCCCCCCCAGGATCCCTTCCAACCCAATGGGTCTAAAGTGCGGGATCTGCTCCCCTCCAGAACATCTCAAGCAATGCACCCGGCAGCCCAGGAAGTCAGAAAGAGGAGTCCTCTCCCGCCTACAGGGGAAGGGCTGCTCAAGCCATTGTGGGGGACAGGCAGGCAGGCGACTGGCAGATGATCAGGAACCCCGACTTGCGGTCAGGAGACACAATGAAACCTCCCCAATTCCGTAAAACGTGGACAGACTCAATCGTAGTTTCAACTGGGGAGCTATGAGCATCCCAGACCAAGTTAATTGAAAAGCAATAGGGGATTTCTGGAAGTTTGGCCCTTGAGATGCCGGCTCTGGCGCAGTTCCTGCCTCCTCTGAGACTCTGGCCATTTGCCACGGCCAACTCGCTGCAGGACAAGAAGAGCTGCGCTAACATCAAAGAAATCGTGGAATAGAATCGCTGAAGGATGCAAAAAGAGGGAGAGAAATGAAATGTGCATGGCAAAAATTAAAGTATTTTTACTTATTTTAAATAAATAGAATTGGTAAATGGTCCTCTGGCGAGTTGCTTCCTCCTGCCTGCCTGCCTGCCTCCCCTCTGGGAAGGGTGTCCTGCATTGGTCAGATCCCCTTTCCAAGAATTACGGGCCCTGCTATCTAAGGAGGATTCAGAGAAGGCAAAAGAAGCCCAGGAAAGGCAACCAGGCTGACCAGGAAGTGGAGAGGAAGCCCAGGAAAGGAACCAGGGAGGTTTAGTCTGGAGAAGGAAATGTGGTAAGAGCCTGCATGTGACTGAAATTTGAGTGTCGGGTCTCCAACCTTGGCTGGCTGAGGAATTTGGGGAGTTGAGGTCCACAAATCCTAAAGTTGCCCCAACGGGGGAGAGCCCTGCTAAAGAAGGGAACCCAAGACCCTTGGAGAGCATCTGTTGCCTGCCTGATGACCAACTGAAGTCTAAACCTGGACGGGAAATTCTCCCTCCTTTTCTGCATGATGGCTTGAACGTGGCTGTCTTGTCTCCCAGGAATCTCTGTCTGTTACTGGATATAGTATTCAGCGCGTGACCAACTCTAAACGAAGAAGATGGTTCATCTTGATTTTGAGAGTATTGTGCAAATAATCAGGGCTAGAAGTGGGATTTGCTCCCTGTTTATTTAGGGCCTTGTCCTGCCGGTGTCGGTTGTCTCCTTGGTAGCTCCTGCATTAGGGCACCGTTTTCTGCTCGATTGTTTGTTTGGTGTGAATCCCTGCTTATCTGGGTGTTGGGGAAGTCCCAGAGGTGCTTTTCCCAGAAGGCACTGGGACTGTCCTGTATTTTCCCCATTGAAAATGTTTTTCTCATCCAGGAAGCTTCAGGACTGGGACAATCTCCATAGGCACTGCTGGAGAAGGTGTATTCGGGTGGTCTTTCTATGGCCTTCTTTTTTTAAAAAAAAATCCCTTGTTTGAATGGTGTGCAAATGTGATTTATCTCTGTGCGTCTCTTGGTGACGGAGGGCCAAACTTCCAGAAATCCCCTATTGCTTTTCAATTAACTTGGTCTGGGATGCTCATAGCTCCCCAGTTGAAACTACGGCAACCCCGAATCCTCACCCTTCAGGAAACCCCGAGGCCGCAGCTGCCCAGACGGAAGAATCGGCATTCTGCGACCTCAACAGCATCCGAAACAGATTTTGGAAAGAATGAACAGCAAGACCAGGGACACCCACCTCCTGTGGCTCCCCCTAGGCTGCCTGGCAGAGGGGCTCCCTCCGCATCCCTCCCGCCTGCCAATGGCCGGAAGCGCCTCCTCCTCCTCCTCCGCGTGGCACCTGGAGGGAGCCCCCCTCGAGATCCAGACGGGGCTCAAGGGGGCCCCCCAAGCTCTGGCTCTCCTCACAGGCCTTTCAGCCACGCCAGCCAGCACTTGGGACTGACCAGAGCTCCTCCTTTTGGAAACCCAGCCTTGCAAATCAGAGACGGTGCTGCTTCCGATGTGTTTCAATTCCCGAAAGCCACCCAGTTCCTCCACTTCTACCCCAGCCGGCCAGGGAGGAGGAGCCACTCCAGGTTAGCTGGCTGCTCCAGGAACTGTTTTCCAAGGGGAAAAAACAGTCCAGTGGCCTGAGAAAAGCTCCTCCGAGACAACTCCCCTACGGCCTGGAAGACTCTTCTCCAGGAGGCTGGACCCGATCCCGTCCCAGAAGGGAAAAGCCTCGGCTAAACGCTTCATACAGGGGGCTGCTTTGTGCCAAAACCGGGCTGGGCGCAACTTCACAGCAAACCTGATCAGTTGCACGCAATACGGAAAGGCCCGTCCCAATATTTTTAGAATAGAGAGAATTTCCTGTAACGGCCAAAGAAAAAGGGAGAACGGGAACCTTGTGTGAAACCACAGGAAGGTGCTCAGTCTGCCTTTTCAGTCCGTAGAGGCAGTCAGAGCTAGGAAAGACGGCCGGCCGTCCAGAGGAGGCCCCCACGGGTCCCGTCATTGACCAAAACATACATTATTCCGTCAGGCTGAGAGCTTAGCTCACACTCCCGTTTTAGAGAAGCCAAACCTTCCTTTGGCTTATCCACTTATTGCTGTAAGCAAAGGCAGCGCCTGCTTCTACCTGTCATGTATCCAATCCCTCGGAAGCCCACCTTCCTGGCCAGGTGACTCTGGGCAGCCTTTCCCAGCCTCTGCTCTGCTGGGGGCTCCCAGTTTGCCGTCCACTCGGGAACAGCCCAGTAGAGGCCGGAAGGAAAGGTGGGCTCCAGGGAAGGGGCCTTGGTCAGGACCCCCAGTGTCCCAGGGGAAGCTGTGGGCCCTGCTCGACTCCCAAGGACACGGAGGCTTTGCACACTTAGTCACCCTGTGCAATAGTTAAGCACGCCGGAAAGAGAATGAGGACACGGCTGGAGTAACCATGAGGCAATTCCCCTTCCTCTATGCAACAGAGGGCAGTTACAAGCGGTGGGGATCTCTTGAGCAGCTACTCCAGGCAAGCGTGAATTCACCTCCCCCAGCTGCCCTCCTAGTCGGCCAGGTGTGAAGTGCGGCGCCCCAGCTCCGTGCCACTTTTTCCGTTAAGATGGCAAGTGGGCAGAGCAGCCAGCCAGTGCGAGAGGCCCCTTCCTGCCCACAGGAGACGGGGGGGGGACCCGCTTCCGAGACCCCGCCGGGCCCTGCCACCCTCCAGGGGAAGAAGGAGAGTCATTAAGAGCCATGCCAGCGACAGAGACTGGAACCCCTGCATACAGGAAAAAGTGAAAAGGCGATTTCTGGAAATGCCTATTTTTAAAAAAGGCTGAATATGAGACAGACGGAATCCCAGTGATGTAACCTTGTATACGGAGGAAGAGTGACGCTTGTTGTAACGGATGCAGAGGAGCCTGAAAGTCACTTCTCTATCTTTTTTTCCCCATTTACAGCATTTCTTTAATTGCCTTTTTGCACTTTTCCTATCTAAGTTCTCTTTACCTACTTTTATGTTTACCTTGTGTTTATATCAGGGGTTTCCAAACTTGGTAACTTCAAGAGTTGTGCATTTCAACTCCCAGAATTCCCCAGCAATGCTTACAGTTGCCAAGGTTGGACCCCCCCCCACCCGGGTCTATATCAAAGCCCCACAATAAAGGGGAGGGGGGGTCACGCAAGGGCAAAGGCCCAAAGCTGCCCCTGAGCCGTTCCAGTCAGGAGGGCAAAGCCCTTGGGGGGGCAGGTGGGGGCAGGAAAGCAGCGGAAAGGAAGGGGGGCTTCAACCCCCAGCATGCCGGGGGATGGGGGGGAATTCTGGGACCCGAAGTCCATCCATGGCCTAGACTCAAAGCCGGGCTCTCCAACCTTGCCCACTTTAAGCCTGGAGGACTCCCAGAATTCCCCAGCCAGCCAAGCTGGAGCCCCTTTTGCAGGCCAGACGCCCCCGCCCCGCCCCACCCCACTTACTTTTCACGCGGGACTCGGCGGCCATGGTCCCGGCTCCGGCTTGGCAGCTGCCGCTCCGGGTCCTGCTGGGCAAAGCGCGGGCTCCGGCCGAGGCGCTCCGGGGACGCCAAGGGCGGGCCCGGCTAGAAGCCTCAAGGGCGCCCTTCGCCGCCCTCCCAGCTCCCGGTGAGTGTCGCGGGGCCGCCCGGCGCCCGGCTCATCCTCCGCGCCGCGGCTTCTGGGCGGGACGCGGCTTGTCTCCTGGGCAGCCCGGCGCCTCCTGCGGGGGGAGAGAAGCGGCGCTCAGCCGGCGGGCGGGCGGGCGGACCCTCCGGGCCAGGGCAGCGGCGGGGGGGCGCGGGGGGCGGGAGAGGCGCTTCCGGGTATTCAAGGCCACGCCCTCACCTGGGGAGGCCCCGCCCTTCCCCGCCCCGCCCCCCGGCCTCCTAGACTTACCCCCCGCAAGAGCGCGGGCGCCCCGGGGAGGGAGACGGGCGTCCGAACGGCCGAGGGGCGCCCAGTTGCAGAAGCGACGGCTTTGGGGCGCCAGCCCCGTTGACTTGCAGCGGCAGTCCGTCGCTATCGCGCGTGCGCCAACTCGCCCCCGCCCCTCGGAGCTACACTGACTAGTATCTCGTGACGAGGCCCCGCCCCCTGCCCCTCCCCTCCGCGCTCTCGGGGGGGGGCGGGCTCAGCCGCTGCGCTGCCGAGTCTACCGGGATCCCCTCGTGGCCTCCCGTCCCGGCGGGGAAAACTGAGCGAGGGGGAGCCGCCCTTGGCTGCCTGGCGGGACGGGAGCCGGCGCCGGTCGCCCCCTCAGCCCGGCGGTGGCCCCGTCACGCCGCGGCCAGAGCTCCGGGCGGCTCTTGGGGTTTATTCGCCCGAGGAGGAGGAGGCGGGGAGGCGCGGCTCTCCCGGCGGAGGCTCCACTGGCGGCGCTTCCGTTGCGCCAAGCCGAGGCTGAGCATGGGGCTCCCCCGCCCGGCCAGCTGCTCTTCGGCCCCGGGATGAGCGGCCCTCCTGCCCGCCGGGAACCGAAGCGGCCGGGCGGGCGGGCGGGGCTGCGCTGGTCCTCCGAAGGCGGCCGGGCTCTCCGGGCAGTCGGGCCGAGGGGAGGGGCGGCGGGAGGCTTCCAGCCCGAACGCGGCGGCGACCTGCCCGCCAAGGAGCCTCGGCCCGACTGCCCGGAGAGCCCGGCCGCCTGAAGGAAACGGGGCTCCCGGCAGGCGCTCGCCGTCCCCCAGCCCGAGCGGCCCGGGCCCCGCCCGCCTCCCGCCGGCCTGGTCGCTGCGGAGCTGCGGAGGGGAAATGCCGAGCGGCCTCTGCGGAAAGGCGGCGGCGGCGGGGGAGCCCTCGTTCCCGGCGCCCTTGGACCCTCCGCGCCCCACCCGCCCGGGGCTTCCCGCTTCTCGGCCCGAGGACCAGGAGCTGCCGCCGCTCTAGAGCCCCGGCTGAGGAGGCGCCCGGAGGGGGCTCCAAGCGCTCGCCTCGGTCGCCGCCTTCGGGGCCTGGGCGGGGGGCGGGGGGCGGGGGGCGACCCGCGGCCCTTCATTCCCCGGCCGGCGAAGCGCGACGGCGCTCGGTCGGCAGCGGGTCGGGGCTCCCCGGGGCCCGCAGACCTTCAGCGGTTCAGTTAACGTAACGGGGGGGGGGGGGGGGGGGAAGGTCGAGGGTTGCCTTGAACCTGCCCAAAAGAGCCGAAGGGGAATTCCCCCCTGCGCTGCGTCCCCCACCGGCCTCCCCTCCCCGTTCCGCGTGGCCAGTTTGCTCTGCGAAACTCTCTGGACGGACCGGGTTGCCGAGGGGGACCGTGCGACCCCCTCCCCAGAAACTCCCGCCCGAGCCGATATTGGCTGAACCAGCCTGGACACCTCCCGGACCGCGTCCCAGAGTGGACGGTTATGAACGGGGGTTCACAACTTCACCCGCCCTTTGATTTCAGCTCTGCCCCGTCCTGGCATGTTGGCTTTTTTGGGCCTGGATGCTTTTCAAAGTTCTTAACCAGCATGATCCAGCAGGGCTATTGGCCTGTTGTAGAAGTGATGTGTATTCCCCCCTCCCCGCCCCCGCCAGGTATGCAGAGTCACCTAGTCCAGCCTCTTGCCAAAGCACCTTCCAGCTGTCATTGACTTTTGGGGGGGGGGGGCTTGCAAGGGAGCAGGTGTCAAAACCCCACACAAACTCCCCCCACCTTTTGCTCTCTGGCAACCAAGCGCTGAGGGCCGCAGCCACCACCTGCCCTAAGTCTCGGCCCTGCTCTGTAGCTCCCAGCCTCCAGGCGATGGATCACATTGGGCTTGGAAGGGACCTCTACCTTTAGGGACTCTCTTACCTGAACTGCTCTGTGGCCCCTGGTCCCCCGGGGCAATGTCTTCCCTTCTGAGGTCCCCCAAAGACCACCCCCTCTCAATGTGCCTCCAGCGAGGACCCTCTTTCCAGCCCCCTCCCCATCCCAAGTTGCCATCCTCTGCTGGGGGGAGGGGGGCTGGGCCCCTACCGCAAGGGGGGCATAGTGATCACATCCCATCATCCAGACTGCACACCAGCAGCATCGCCTTTTAACCGTTGCATCGCCCGGTGTGTGTGTGTGTTGTGTGTGTGTGTGTGTGTGTGTGTGTGTTTCGTGTTGAGCATCTTTCATGTGCGCCCAGCCAGCCAGGTTGCACAATTCTACGTTCCTGTTTTCTGCCCAGGTGCAGAACTTGACAGCTGTCCCTGTTAACTCGCTTCCTGTTTGTTTCACCCGCTTTTCCGGGCTCTCTTTCTAAACCGCCTTCTCCTCTTCTCAAGTGCCAGATCCCTTCCCACCTTCCGATGGGATTCCTGGTAGATTCTCCTGCTTTTGCCAAGCAGATTACCTAATCCCGCTAAGGTTTGTCCTCTCCAAGGAAGAAGAGGCACCCTCGAGGAGCGCAGAGCCCCGGTGCCCCTCGGCAGCCATCCGTGCCAACCTTTGGCCTCGGCCAAGCCAGCCACGAGAGCAGGGTGGTGCAATGGTGAAGGCATTGGGCTAGGAACTGGCAGGTGGTGAGTTCTAGTCCTGCCGTAGGGACACTACAAAGCCAAGTGAGTGGCCAGTCACTCGCTCTCAGCCCTAGGAAGGAGGCAAGGGCAACCCCTTCTGGAAAACCCTGCCCAGAGAACGGCAGGGACTGGCCACGCTGTCTCTGAGACCCAGAACGGAAGGGGGAAATAGCCACCAGACACGGGATGGGCGCGTTTCTCCGTCCAGATTGCTTGAGAAGCTCATATGGGGCCGGGATTGCAGACCGTACAGGATCCCGGCGTTCAAGCCAACCGCTGTGCCTGAATCTGCTCGCCCTGGTGGTTTCAACCCTGGGACCAGAGAGACCCCACCCCAGCTTAGCCAGAGGAATAAATCCCGCCTGGGACTCACCTGGCCTCTGTGAAGCTCTGCCTGAGAAGGGCTCCTGAGGCCTCTGCCAAGGGCCCTTAGGCTGCCAGCAGGGGTGGGCTTGGAGGTCCAGGCCAGCTGTGGGCCCCCCACCTGAGATCCGGAGTTCTGCAACCGCTTGTTGTGCCTGGGTTCTAGAAGGCTGCCTCCGGAATGCCCGGGCCAGCTGGTCACTGTGGAAACTCCTCTGTCCAGAGCAACAAGGAACCCCTTGGACTGCCACTCCTTGTGCTTGGCCAGTGGCGGCACCCACCCGGAAGATGAGAAAGGCGCCGTGCTAGGAAGGACCCACACGCTGCGCTTGCCCCCCTTGCAGAGCTGATGTGTTTGTCTGAACTGCACTTCTGCCGGCCTCTCCCCCAGCCCCGCGGCAGCCCCTCCCCCAGCAGCCCCCTCCGCCCGGCCGCCAGGGCGCCCCCTCCTGGGCCAGTTCGGGGCCATGAAGAGCTTCTCGAAGCGCGAGGCCGACCGGAGGACGTTCTTGGAGCAGGTCCGGGAAAGCAAGGAGAATGGCTACCTCCTCTCCTCCAAAAAAATCGGGTCGGGGGCTTTCTCCAAAGTCTATCTGGGTTACGCCACCCAGGAGAAAATGATGCAGAACTACAAGCTGGCTTCAGACCTCCGGAATAAGCGGCACTCTATGGTGAGCCCCCGGGGGGGGGGGGGGGCTGCCCTCCTTATGCCCCACTGCCACCTCACCCTCCGCCTCTCGGTAGTTGACCTGGAAGGCAGCTTCGACCTGAGAAAGTTATGCAATAATGGAAAGAGAAGCGTGGGACAACCAGGAGGAGGCTGGCTGGCTGGGTGGACTCATAAGTCGGGGGGGGGGAGGGGGGGCACTGTTGGACCTCCCAAAGAACTCGGTTGGGACGGATCCTCCCGGGGGTCTCTCCGTGAGCCACTGACAGTCAACACAACTCAGTGGCACTTATTCAGCCTGACGGAAGAGTTTCCGGCCATTCAGCCAATGAAGGTGCTGCTGCTGGTGCCGCCTCCCATCGTTCTTGGTTAGAGCTCCCCCGTCCTCCCTGTGGCTCCCCCTCCCTCTTCAAGATCCCCCTTCCCCAAAGGCCCCCTTGAACCAAGTGCTTTCCGGACCGAGATCTCCGCATCTCCAGATCCTTCTCCCAGCCCTTCGGTCAAGGCGGGTCATTAAGGTGAAAGGCATCCCGGACGCTGTGCTGGGCTTTCCCACCTGTCCCGCTGGCTCAAGGAGGCACCATTTTAGGCTTTGGCCGTAGTGGGGGCAGCGGCTCCCTTGGACCAGGTCAGAGGGGGAAATGCCCCGGAATGGACCATCTGCTACTCCGAATGGTTTTCTGTCGTTTCCGGCGTCTGATGATGAGGTCCTCTCACCCAAATCCTCCTGCAGGGGGTTCCGTCCCAGCTTTCTTGGAGCTGGTCCTCTGTCCAGTCTCTCGGGCCCTGACCTGAGCTTGGCCAGCTGGCCGCCTCCCCAGGTTCATCCTCGTTTCATCTGTCCCGCTGATTGGTTGCCCAGAGTCCGCTGGAACGGAGTGGCCGACAAATGTAAATGGAGAATAAATAACCGTAAGGGTTGCCATCCGGGGGGGGGGGGGGGCTGAGATGGTTCTGGGCCACCCTCCATATATGGGCCCGGCTGCATCTCTTGCCTTTTCGAACCCTCAATTGCAAGGAGCCCCGGAGGACGAGGGAAATGGATTATTTGGAGCCTTTCGGAAAGTCCAGGCCAGACCCGCACCCCCCGCCCCACCCCCCGAATCATCCGAGGCTTAGGGGGGTGGAGGGCAGCGGTTCCAGGATGACTCCCAATGTTCCAGCTGCCCCCTTTCTTTCTTCAGGGGTCCTTCTGGTTTGGGGGTTCCAGGTGGCCCATGGGGAGCCTCAGGCTTGACCCCCATCCTATTGAACATCCATGTCGAACGGCCTTGGGCTCCTCCATTTGCTGATGACACCCGTGATGACACCCAGCTGTGCAGGAGCCGCCTCTGTTGCCTTTTGCATTCTGGGAGTTAAAGTGCACAGGCCTTTTGGAGAAGCACCTTTGAAACCACACACACACACACACACACACACACACGTGTGCTGCTTGTGCGCAGCAGATGGGGGTCGCTCTCTTCCACTGGCCCCTTCCTGCATGTCCTTTGCTCCACCCGGGACGGCTTTGCCCCCTTCCTCCAGTTCTGTGCAAAAGCTGCAGGTCCGTTGGAAGAGAGAGGCCGCAAGCAAGCTGCTCTGCCAGAGACCCTCCCGCTCCCTGGTGTTTTTAAAAGCTTTTAAACAGACTAAATATTTGGGTAATTCGATTTACTATTGAAACTGATAGCGTTCCATTTTGGTGCCTCGTTTCTTCTCTTGTTCTGTGGCTCCGGATGCTTTGTTCTGGGGCCGCCAAACCCAATACGATGCTCACGTGCCCTGGTCAGGGGGGCCCTGCTGACCCCTCCACGGCCGAGGACCTTTCCCAGCGCCTCCTTCATGCTCTGCTCTCTCTCCCCGCAGGTGGCTATCAAGATAATTTCAACAGCAGAGGCACCTGTGGAATACACAAAGAAGTTCCTTCCAAGAGAAATCTACTCTCTGAATGTGACTTACAAGCACCTAAATGTGGTGAGTCCCAGCAGGGGAACCCCCAACCCCGATGGGCCTCCTCCGAGGGAAGCATCCCAAGTGGTCCAAAGTGTGTCTGAGGGGCATCGTGTGCAACCCAAGAGGGGATCTGATTCGCAGCACGGAGGCGTTTTCCGAAAAAGCCCCGGAGAAGCCGCTGCTCTGTAGCAACGCATCTCAACTCCGGGGGCTTTCGGGTTGGGTGGACTACAACGCCCACAGCATGCTGGCTTGCGGGATTCCAGGAGGGGGATTCTACGGAGCTGTTACGATTCTACGCAGAGAACCGGCAAATCGTGACCCTGGCTGCCCCCTCCCCACCCTGCCCACCCCTCCCCCACCCAGTCACTCCTTAAGGTATTTCTTCCCCCCCCCCCGATGATCAGCTGTTGCAACGATCAGCTGCGCCGGACTCCGCCTGGCTGTCTTACTGCTTGGCCCAGGCGGCTTCCCTGAGGCCCAGGAGGCCAAAAGGGGCGCGTGCGGTGGTGGCGCTGCACCCCTCCCGGGCTCCGTTTCCTGCCTTCTTGGGCCCCAGGGAAGCTTCCTGGAAGCCAAAACGCCCCCTCCCGAGGCTTTCCTGAGGCCCAGGAAGCAAAAAAAAACATGGGGGGGGGGGAGAGAGGCCACACCCACCCAGTCACATTGCCACGCCCACCTAGCCACGCCCACAGAACCGGTTGTTCAAAAATTTGAATCCCACCCCTGGTTGTAGTTCCCAAGTCTTAACGTTGCCAAGTTTGGAGGGCGCTGCTTTGGAGCAGGGACTCCGGGAGTTGAAGTCCACAAGTCTTAAGGTGCAGGCTGACTCAAAGCTCGGCTGCCTTGCAGATCCAGCTCTATGAGATGTATCGGAATAGCAAGCGCACCTACCTGGTGCTGGAGTTGGCCTCCCGGGGGGACCTCCTGGAGCACATCAACGCCACCTCTGACCGCAGGGAGTACCCAGGCCTGGAGGAGGAGGAGGCACGGAGGCTTTTCCGACAGATTGTCAGCGCTGTCGCCCATTGTCACAATGTTGGCATTGTCCACAGGTGAGACAAGCGGGCGGGCCCAAGGAAGAGATGCCATGGCAGGGCGGGGGAGATGGTGGCATGTGCCAGGTGTCCTACGAGGCCAGAAGCCTCTCCAGAAACAGCAGCAGGAGCTGGTCAGGACCGGTTGGCATCCGCTCCCAGGAACCAGAGCCAGGCGGGGGGTCGGGGGCAGGAAACACAGAGCAAGAAGCAACCGCAGGCAACACAGTGATGGTTGCTCAGGGCTACAATCGAGAGCAGGACTCTTTGAGAAGCCACAGAGGGGTGAGATCATCCTCTCCCTCTAACGGGGGGGGGGGGGGGGGGGGAGCAAACAGGTCCCAGCGCATCAGCTGGTGGCCTGGAAATCTCCACGCAAAAAACCATCCCACAGAAGCAGGAAGAGCATCCAGGAGGGCAGGTGGTGCCTAACAGGCCGCCTTTTCTCCGAATTGTTTCATGTAATTGCCAGGTGGAGATAAAGTTACCGATAAATGGAGAACTTTAGCCATTCTGACGGGGAGGCAAACTCTGCATTAGTGGAAGTCTAGTATTGGTTGAATTATGTCTTGGAGATCACTATCAGAAATGTTTTAAAAAGCACAGAAATTCAGGACAGCTAGAAGCATCGCTTTACGCCAAAGAGGACTTAAGTAGCCAAGTTTGAATTGTTTTAAAAAGAAACAAGAGAACTCTGTGGTGAATCTGACTTTACAGAAGAGGTAGAGTCAAGGGATAGGACTACAGCAGGGGTGGGCAAACTACGGCCCGCGGGCCACATCCGGCCCGTTGGTCTGTCCAATCCGGCCCGCCCCTGAAAAAAAATCAGTGGGCGTGGCGTATTGCCCTGCGCCGCGTGGCCCCCAAAGCTGCAAAACAGTGTGGAGTGCTCTCAGGGTAGGAAAGAAAAGAAGAACTTTGCAAAGACCTCAGCTGGGAGTTCGAAATCACCTTCGAGTGCGACCTCTCCGAAGGTGAGTCCCCGCCGATCCCCCTTTTTTCTTCGGGGCTTCCAGGCTTAAACTTTGCAAAGGCAAAGTTTGCAGGCAGGAGCGTCTTCCCGGCGAGGAGCAGGAAGGGTTCCACCTGGCGGGTGGGCTGCTTGGAGCCACCTAAAGCTAGGCCGCTGCTGGTGGAGCCTTGCCCTGCCTTGGTGCCCCGTTTCCCGGCTCGGCGGTCCTGCTCGGGCGGCACTTTAAAAGCCCTCCTCCTCGCGTACGTGCCCGACAAGCCGCTCACCACGACGGCAGCTCCCAGCACCTGAGAAACTTCCCAGCAACTTGTGGCTTGCTTTTTCCTCTCAGGCGCTCACGCCTGGCCCTGAGCCACGCGGCGGAGGGGAAGCCCGACAGGCGAGCAGGCTGCTTGGAGGCGGCAACCCGGCGGCACTCTGGGCTTCCCCTCTGCTGTGCAGCTCGGGGCCAGGCACGAGCGCCCGCGAGTTAAAAGGAAGCCGAAAGTTGCTGGGAAGTTGCTCGGGTTTCGGGGCTTCCAGGCTTAAACTTTGCAAAGGCAAAGTTTGCAGGTGGGAGAGTCTTCCTGCCGAGGAGCGGGAAGGGTTCCGCCCAGCGGGCGGGCGGGCTTCTTGGAGGATGCGACCCGGCGGCGCTCCGGGCTTCCCCTCCGCTGCGCGGCTTGGGGCCAGGTGCAAGCGCCTGAGAGGAAAAAGCAAGCCGCAAGTTGCTGGGAAGTTGCTCGGGTGCTGGGAGCCGCCATCGTGGTGAGCGGCTCGTTGGGCACATACGCGAGGAGGAGGGCTTTTAAAGTGCCGCCCGAGCAGGACCGCCGAGCCGGGAAATGGGGCACCAAGGCAGGGCATGGCTCCACCAGCAGCGACCTAGGTTTAGGTGGGCTTGGATGCCCCTGAGTGTGGTTTGCTGTTTGTTCTCTCCTGGGACTCGCATTTGGAAAGCGTGGAAAGTAGTAGCAGGAGCAGCCGCAGTGTTACATATTATTATATTACATACTACATATTATAATATATATATATTATAAAGGGCCCATTATAAAATGCAGCAAATTATATATAAGAATATATAAGCCCAGAATTCTGGTCGCAAGCCACGATGGTCATAAGCCAAGTCACCCCATAACCCCTGTGTTATATGATTATTTTTACAATGGTGGCGAAGCTAGGCAGGTGGGGGGGCAAATCCTGGGTTTTCTGTCTTCTGCACAGTAGTGGATTTATAAGCTGTGCAGATGCAGATAGATAAACTCAACAAGACGTCCATAACAAAGTACATTTATTGGTTCATCAGGTATCCTCATAACTCACATTTGTGATGAAGTTCTTCTCTAATGACCAATCCTTTGCATATCTGCCTTGTAGTAAAAGATGGTGATCTCCTAACCCATCTCGTAGCGATAGAAAGCAACTGCCATGAGTTAGGGAGTTCAGGCAAAAGTGAGGGAAACTCCCCCAACCCATCGAGGGTCAAACCAGTGACCAATCAGGATTACAGATGTGGCCACGTGACATGAACTACATTTCCCAGGATGCCTTTAACTACGTTTATCATGATGCATTCCCTTAAGGAGACAGCTCGCAATTACTACCTAACTATCCAATTCCCATACACTGGCTGGACAGCACACTGGGCGAAACCGTCCCCTGTTCTGGCTGAATAAGCAAGTGAAGATGCACCCGTGCTGGTCGACAAATGGGACTCTTCTTCTCTCTCCTACAGAGATTTGAAGTGTGAGAACATTTTATTGGATGAACGTGGCTTCATTAAACTGACCGGTGAGTTTCCTTCCTGGAAGAGAGGAGAATGGGGTGGCCTCCTCCTGCCAACGGTAGCATAAGGGTTGAGGCAGGATTGCAGAACAGCGCAGAGCAGCCCCAGGGGTCAACCTGGCGCCCTCCCCAGATGAGCCCAAATGATCCGGGCTCCCTACATCAAGCTGCGGTTGTCTTTAAGTGCAGAACGGTTTTCCCGCCTCAGTGGCAGCTCTCTGCCAGCCAGTTTCTCCTCTCAGCAGGCTGGTCTCTCTCTCCCGCGGGCCGTTTGCAAGACACGATCCAGTCCCAAAGGAAGTTAATTAGTCTGTGAAGGGCTGTGGACTTGGGGCACGTAGAGGCACCCTCACCTCCTCCCCGGTCCAGGTTAACATCTCAAGAGTTATCATCTCAGTATCTGAGGGGGTCCCCAAAGAGGAGGGGGTCAGTCTATTCCCTAAAGCAGGGGTCTCCAACCTTGGCCCCTTTAAGCCTGGAGGTCTTTGCAGCAAAGCTGGCTGGGAGAATTCTGGGAGTTGAAATCCTCCAGGCTTAAAGTGGCCAAGGCTGGGGAGCCCCAAAGCCCCCGAAGGCAGAAGAAACATGAGATGGAAACTAACCAAGGGAAGAAGCAACCTAGAGCCAAGGAGAAATTGCCCCCCCCCCCCGGAGGTTATGGGGGATCCATCACGGGGGGATTTCAAGAAGAGGTTGGACAGCCATTTGTCGGGAAGTGGTACAGGGTCTCCTATTTGAGTAAGGAGTTGGACTAGAAGATCTCCAAGGTCCCTTCCCCCTCCGTCGTTCTGTAACGCTCGTGTTTCGCCCACGCCTCTCTTCCACTGGCGCTTGATTGCGCTGCACCCTGCCATGCGCCCTCGTTTCTCCTTGTCCAGGGGTGCCAAACTCGCCGGATGCATCACACGCTGGCCACGCCCAAGCCCGGTGTAGCGAAGGGGGGGGAAGCCGCAATGCATCACGTGACGATGGGAGTTTGGCACCCCTGTCCGAGTCTGCCGCTCTTATACCTGGGGGGAAATTTACCTGCTTTGGGGGGGGGGGGGGGGGGGGCTGGGCTCAGGGCTGACGTCTCTCCCTCCTTGCAGATTTTGGCTTTGCCAACCGCTACTCCTTGAAGAATTCACTAATGAGCACCTTCTGTGGCTCTGTGGCCTACACTGCCCCCGAAATCCTCATGAGCAAGAAGTACAATGGGGAGCTGGCTGACCTGTGGAGCCTGTAAGCACAGCGGGGGTGGGGCCCGGCGTGACCAGGGCCTGGGCTGACCCAGGGGCCCCTCCTGACCGCATCCTCTCGTGCAGCGGGGTCATCCTCTACGCCATGGTGACAGGGAAGCTCCCCTTCAAGGAGCGCCAGCCACACAAGATGATCCACGTCATCAAGCAAGGCCTGGCCTTCCGGCAGCCCATCTCGCCAGGTACGAGGGACGTCCCGCCCCGCCCCCGTCGTCCCCATCTGCCCCACCCAGCGAACGGGGACGGACTCTGCCTGGGCCCACAACCCGTGCCCAGGCACAGCAGCGTTGGCGGAGGACAGGGCGCCTCCCGCTGGCTCTTCCCGCTGCTGCCAGAGGTGGGTTTGGGCTAAGACCCATAAGTGACGCTGGTCCTTGGCAACCCCATAAAAGCCCCGGGGAGAGGCGGAAGCTGGCCCTGAGGCAGAGGGGCAGGGCTCTGGTCTGCTGGGGGCCTGCAAAGCCCAGGGATTCCCCCCAAGGAGGGGGCTGCAGGGCCAGAGGGTCAGACTGGCTCTGGCCGGTCCTGCCACAGCCCCTGCTGGTCAGTACATTTGGTGGGAGCAGGGAGATCCTGCGGCAAGTGCTCTTCCTCCCCCAGCGGGGTCCCTGCTCCCCCCCGTCTGCTGACAGTTAGCAACAGCTCCCCCAGAGAGGTGGGGGGCACGGAGCAGAGCCCCACAGCCCCCGAGACCCCTGACTGCCACGGGGTGGGGGGAGAGGGCTTGGCTTGGTCTGTGCTTTGGAGCAGGTTCTGCCAGTGGGACGTCGCGGTGGAGAGGCACAAGAAGAAAGCTCCAAGCAGCTGCACTGGGGGGTCCTGAGCTCCAGGCCCAGAGGGGCTTTTCCAAAAGGCAGATGGACTTTCTCTGGTTTCTTTTTTCTTTTTTCCCTTTGAAAGTGTTTTGCTTCTAAGAAACAGAAAGTTTTCAAAGGGAAAAACTGAGAGAGTCCAGTTGCCTTTTGGAAAAGCCCCCCTGGGACAACCATGACCTGGAGGGCGGAGAATCTAGCCCTGAATTCCAGCTGCTGGGAAGGTGTGCAGGAAGCGCCAGCTGAGCCCAGGCCAGCCTGCCGTTCTGAGCAGAGGAACCTCCTGACAGGGAGAGCAGTGAACGGACGTTGTAGGAGCTTCATCATCCTTGGAAGCCTTCAAGAAGAGACTGGACTGCCCTCTGTCAGAGATGGTGTAGGGTCTCTTGCTTGGGGGGGGGGGTTGGACTAGATGACCTCCAAGGTCCCTTCCAACTCTGTAATATCGCCCAGGATTAGCAGTCTCCTCCCTCTCCCTCCCCGCTGCCTCTCCCTCTCTCCAGAATGCCAGAATCTCATTGAGGGCCTGTTGCAGCTGAAGCCGGCGGCCCGCCTGGGGTTGCAGCAGGTGGCCACCCACCGCTGGATGCTCCCGGCTACCTCCGCCATCTTCCACCGGGTGATGAGCTCCATGGGAGTCCATCCGGAGTGCTCCGTGGGCCAAGAAAAGCCTCAGGCGGCATCAGGTACCAGAGGGGCGTCCGGAGCGGCGGGTCCCGCTGGGCAAAGGGGGCCTCCTTCCAGCGCCGGTCGGGGGCGGGAGGGCCGGGCTTCCCAGGCCCACCCCCCGACGGGGCCGGCAGCGCTCCCGGGCCGTGACCGGTCGCCCCTCCCCTCCGTCTCGTTGCAGGCGAGGTTGGCGGCCCGTCGGCCCAGCTGCCGGACCTCGAGAGCCCCGCCAAGAGCGCGGAGGGCCCGGGCAAGGAGAGCAAGGTCCTGCCGCCGGCGCGCGCCTCCTCGGCCGCGGGAGCCTTCCCGGTCCGGGCCAAGGCCGAGAAGAAGAGCCCACCGGTCACGCCGGCCAATTGCGTGCTGCAGCTGCCCTCGCCGCGCAAGACGGAGCGCCCGCCGCGCCTCTCGCTCTACCGGCCCAGCCTGCTGACCACCCTGCAGCCCTTCCACCACCTGCCCAACTTCCGCAAGCCCGGCTCGGGCTTCTCGGCCAGCGCCTACGTGACCAGCAAGCGGCTCGGGGAGAAGGCGCCCGCCCGCGCCGCCGGCCTGGGCAGCGCCTCGGCCAGCCTCTCCAAGCAAGTGCACTCCCTCTACAGCATGACGCCCTGCCCGTGACGCGCCCGCCCGACGCCCGGCCCGAGAGCAGCAGCCACGGCCGCCCGGCCCGGCCCAGCGCCCGGGACCGCCCCCGCCGCCGCCGGACGAGCCCATTAAAGCTTATTCAGAGTCGCCCCGGGCTGCTGCCTGCTGCGATGCGCGCGCCCCGCGGCGGCCCCGGACCTGAGAGGCGGCTGGCCGCGCCCCGGCGCCGCTCTTCGCCCGTCGGCACGCGCGCTTCTCCGCTGTTTCTGCATATACATCCGTGTACCGTTGCTTTGTGTGCGGCTGCTGCTGTCTGACGCCCGTTCCTCCCCCGCTGGAGCCCAGCCGCCGCCCGGCCCTCTCTCCCTCCCTCCCTCGCGGCTCTTCCTAGGCAGAGCGGACGGCGGGGGTCCTTCGTTCCCCCCCCCCCCCACCCGGAGCTCCGGCTCCAGCCCCCAACTTCAAGCTGGCTGTCCCATCTCTTCGCCTGCTGCGCCCCCCACCCCTGCTTTCACAAAAGGGGATGGGGCTTTCCCTCATACCCCCCCCTCATGGTTTGGGGGTCCCATCTAAGCCAGCCTGCTCCAAGCATGCCCCTCCCCCCAATCCAGGGCTTCTGGAGCCCAAGTATCCCTTCATGGGCCCAAACTGACACACACACACACACACCCCGCAGAACCACCCAGGAAAGCTGTGCCTGGCCTTCTGTCTCCCAAGCGCCAGAGACCTTCCCCTGCTGGGTCCACCCTCCCCACCCTGGCCCTGGGGGGGGCGGGGGGGTGGGGAGTCTCCAGCAGGGGGCCAACAGCAAAGGTCTCGGCTGGCTGGATTCCTGCCCTGAAAGCAGTCAGGGTCCCCACCTTGCCCCCCTTTACCCTGTGCCCGGTTTCAATGGCAACTGGTACTCCTGCCCCTTCCGGAGAGCAGAGGGGCTGCCTCCCCCCCTCAAGCAGAGCGGGCAGCCAGGAGACCCGCCCCCCTCCCCTGCAGATCAGAGAGAGTGCCCACCCAAGCTCCCTCACCTCCTGTGCCCCTACAACACGGGACCAGGGGTAGCTAGAAGCACCTGGGGCAGTTGCCCACTTCCCTGAGCGAGGCAGGAGGTCCGAGGCAGGAGGAAAAGTGCCCCGCAGCCTTTATTGAGGGGAGCCCCAGCCCCCCACTTTCCCTCCCCTCTTCCTGGGGCCGGAGGGATGCCAGCTCTCGCTTGCCCAGGCTGCAGGGTAATGGCCTTCAGGGGACCCTCAGTCTCGAGGCTGTGCCAAGGAGCACCTTTGGCAGCCAAGGAGGGGCTGGGATTTTGGTGCCCAAACGCCAAGACCAGCCACAAAGAAGGAAGTTCTTTCTCGCTCACCGCTGGGGGGGGGGGGGGGGGGGGGCTCCTTCCACTTTCATACAAGTCTTCCCAGCAAGGCCTCCTCCTCCTCCTCCTCCTCCTCCTGCTGCTGCTGGTCCAGGCGCTGCAGCTGCTCCTCCACCTCTGAGGGGATCTTCACCTCCAGCAGGTTTTCCATCCCAGCCTCGGGCTCATCCCCAATCAGGACCTGTTCAGGGCAAGCCGGCTGAGGCCCCAATTCCCCCCCACCTCCCCCCATGAGGGGAGGGTCCAGAGGCCCACTTGGCTCCCCACTCACCTGGATCAGCTTTTCACAGGCAGCGCGGACCCCACGGTCCTCTTCCCACCTGTGCAACTCTCGCAGGACAAAGTAGGTGCCCTTCTCTCGCACCAGGAGCCGCCCCGGTTTGGTGGCTGTGAGCTGTCAAGTGGGGGGGGGGGGGTCACTAGCTGCGGGGCCTCCTACGGGGAAGCCGTTGGCCTGGAGTGCATCCCGCGTCTCCGGGAGGGTGAAAGGAGGCCTTTGTTGGGGGAGAAAACCTCGGGATGTCTTGCCCAGGGGTCAGAAAGGGAATACAGCAGCCTGGCTTGGTGGGGTGGGGGGTAGGAACCAGCCTGGGTCTTCCAGGCCTCCCCTTTGCCATCCAACCCCACAGTACAGCTGATGCAGGCAAGCAAGCAAGCCGGCCAGGGGGCCAAGGGAGCGGCGCACCATGTGCAGAATGGGACACACTGGGGGCAGACTTGATTCCTCCAGACATCTGGGTGGTAATCCGAGGGGGCCCTGTGGCCCAGAGGAAGCCGCTTCCAGGGCCCACTTGGCAGTTTCCGGGGCCCAGAGCAGCCCCCAGGGACCCTCCCCTCACCCGACCTGCCCACCTACCAGCAGAAGGGTCTCCAGGAGCATCTGCCGGATGTCAGCTTCCGGCTCCCGCTGCTTCTCAGCCGGCAAGTACTGCAGATCCAGGGGCAGCCCTGGGGGGGTTCAGGGAGGGAGGGGGGGCTCAGTCCAGGCAGACCCCCCAAGCGTCCCTGTTCCTGCACCCCCCCCCCCCTCCCGCGGGAGGCACCCACTTTCCATCTCGTCCTCCGGGAACTCCTCGGGGCCGGCCAAGGGCAGGAGAAGGAAGGGCAGGAGGTCCACTTGCTCGCTCAGCAGCCACTCGTGGTGCCCTGGAAGGCAGAAGACGCCCGTGACCCCGCGGCCGGACCGGCGCCCCCCCCCCCCCCCCCCGAGCCGAAGCGGGGCCGGCGACACTCACGGGGGTCGAAGCAGCAGTTCCGCAGCGTCCCGGCCACGCCGCGCCGCCGGGCCGCCGAGCCCGCGTCTTGCATGAAGGGCAGCAGCCTCCGCACGGCGCCCCTGCGGGAAGAGCCGCTCAGCGCCGTGCCTGGCGGGTCCGGGGCCCCCGGCCGCCCCGGCCCCCGCCCTCCCGGCCCCTCACCCGGAGCGCTCCAGCAGGGCGTCGCGGACCTCCGGCAGCTGGCTCAGGTTGCCCAGCAGCGCGCCCAGCTGGTGCCAGGGCGCCCCCGGCCGCGGGTCCTGGGTGCAGAAGGCCTCCAGCAGCGGCCCCAGCCCCGCGACCCCGCCGCCCCGCCGCCGCAGCTCGGCCAGCAGCTCCCGGCAGGGCCCCTCCTCGCGCGAGCAGTTGGCCAGGAGCGCGCAGGCCAGGCCGGGCAGCGGGAAGGCGGGGTCGAGCAGGCGGCGCAGCAGGTCCGGCAGCCCCGCCCGCAGCGCCCCGCCCGCCCCCGGCTCCGCCGCCAGGTTGAGCAGCGCGTGGAAGGCCGGCTCGGCCAGCTCCGGCCTCGGCTCGCCGGTCAGCGCCAGCAGCGCCGCCAGGAGGTCCGGCCGGGCCAGCAGGAGGCGGCGGCCCTCGGCGCCCCCCGTCAGCCCCAGCACGAAGCGCAGCGCGCGGCCCTTCAGGTCCCCGCGGGCCTCGGGCCGGAGGAAGCCCAGCAGCTCCTGCGCCTGCCGCTCGTCCATGCTGCGCGGCGGCCGCCGCCGCCGCTTCCGCGATCGCCCGGCTCCGCCAATCCGCGCCCGGGGCTGGAGCGCGAGCGGGCCCGAAGAGCGCCGGAGCCAATGGGAAGCGGCCTTCTGGAGCAGCGCCTCTCGGGAGTTGGAGTCCGGCCGCATCCTCGGCGGGAGTTCCTCGGAGGCTCCTCCTGCCCGCTTTCCCGGGTGGATTCCCAGAGGAGTCCGCCCCGCTCCCGCTGAAACAGGCCTCTCCGACCTGGCTGGGGAATTCTGGGAGTTGAAGTCCGCCAGGCTTAAAGTGGCCAAGGCTGGAGAGCCCTGGCAGCAACCTCTGCTCGTCCAGCCAAGACTTCCTTGGCCGCTGGGAGGCTGCTTCAAGGCAAGACCACCCATTCAATGTTGACTTCCATTCATTCGCGTTCCTTCCCAAATGCGATATACGCCCATTAAATGCAAAGGGCTGAAGATGCCCCTTGAGGAAAACTTCCACAGGAAGCTGAATTGGTGCCAAATGGCACCAGGAGGGAATCGATGGCCCAGCAAAACATTGTATTCCTGGCTGTATGAAAGAGATTGTGAAGCTAGCATGCTGGCCTGGAAGGGGTTGAAGGTCACCTGGTGGATTATCAAAAGCTTTACCAACAGTCCCCGTGTTACTTAGCAGACTCCGTACCCTCCGGTTCTGCTCAGGATTGCCCAGCCCAGCTCATGAAATAGCCTTTTAATCCAGTGAGTTGTTTTATTATCCTATTATTTATATACCATTTACAAGTTGACAGTCCTTGTCTTGAGTTTTAGAAACAACCTTTTGGTGTTTTTTTTTTAAATAGTAATTGTGCAAAGTAATCCTAATAAAGATGAACACTGAAACAGAAATCCACTGGAGGCCACTGAATACTGTAAGCCCAAAAGCCCAAAAGGAAAAAAAAAAAGCTTCCCTAATTGCTTACAGGAAAAAAAAATGGTTTCTTATTTGTAGTTTAAAGTTCAGAGGAACTTTTCCAACTGTAAATACAATCTGCATTTAATGCTTCTCAACCACCGCAGATTAAGGCACGTGGTCAACTTGAAGACATGGGACTTCAATGCCCGCTGGCTGGAGAATTCCGGGGATTGGAAGTCCACTTGTATGTAACTTACTGAACAGGATATTCCATAGTCTAATCTGGGCCAGGGGTCTCCAGCCTTGGCCACTTTAAGCCTCGTTGACTTCAACTCCCAGAATTCCCCAGCCAGCTTTGCCTAGAGAATTCCCAGAAGTGTAGAGAATTCCATGGAACGGACTATTCCGCAGAAGGCTGCCCAGCGATGGTTAGTGTTTCCCCTCCTCCTTCAGCAGCTGTGGGCAGGAGGGGGGCGGGGGGGCTTCGAAGGCCTCTTCCCTTGCTTGTAACCATCGCCAGGCGATTCCGCCCCCAATGCCACCCGTTTCTAGCTCTGCCCCGTTAAGCTCCCGGCGATGGGGATGGTCCCCCGACTTTGGCGCCCTCCTTCAAGAGCTGCATTTCAAGGCCGAAGCTCCGAAGAGGAAAGAGGAAGAGGAGGAGAGGAACGAAGGCCACGCTGTCCCGAAGAGCTCCGTCTCAAAGCAAACGGGGCCGAGTCTTCTCAGGTGGGAGATCCGCCTCTTCTTCCTTCACGGTGACGCTTGGAGGCTTCCTGCATCCTCCCTGGTGGGCTCCGGCCCAGAGGAGGCCTGGCGTGGTTAGGAGAAGGGAAGGTTAGGCCTCCTGCCTGCCTGCCCAGGTGGCCAGTTCCAGAACCAAGAGCTCCAGCTGGCCCGTCTCCCTCCTCACGAAACTCTCTTCCTCCCCCACAAACAGAACGGGGGGGGGTGGCCTGGGAGGCGGAGGAGCCTGTCCTGCCCAGCCGCCTCGTCCAGGGCCTGGGGAGGCCAAGCCTGCGGCCACCCCCCTCTCTGCACTCTGGGGGGGCCTTCTCCTCAGGCCAGGAAGAAGAGCGGCCGATTCCCCAAAGGCAGCTGCTCGGCGGGGGATTTCGGGCCAGGCAGAGCTAACAGCTCCTCAAAAGCTACTGTACCTGCAGCACAGGGCACCGCCAGTGGCTCACCGCCAGGGGTCTCGGCCATCTAAAAATGTGAGATCAGCACCAGAGTTTGAAGAACCAAGAGAGCCACCGGCCCAACCCTTCCGGTCAAAGCTCCTCTGTCCGGCTGCTTCCGCCCCCTCCCAGCCGGCTGCTCCCTCCAACAGCCCCCTCACCCCCAATGGTGGACCCTGCCGGCCAGGCTGGGCTCCCCGAACCGCCCTCAGCCTTTGGCCACCCTCCCTGGCTTGCCAGGCAGATGCCACTTGGCACTCGTTGGCCCCAGCAGTCCGACGCATTTCTCTTGGGGGGGGGGTTTCCCCCAACGCGCCCCCCGCAACCAGCCAGCCTGCGTTGAAGGTCAGTTCTCCCCCAATCTCGCCACAATCAAGAAAGGAGCGGACGAGAGCTGGGGCGGGGGAGGTTAGCAAAAGAGATGCCAAACTCCAGTCACCCCCGCCCCCATTTATTTCCTCCGCTTTTCCAGAAATGCATCAGCTTCAAGAGTTTCCCCCCTTCAAGTCCATCCACCCGCCTTCCAGCCCAACCCGCTGCGGACGGACACAGGAGGCCCCAGACCACGACTGGCAAACTCCCGCCCTGCAGGCCAGGTGCGCCACGCCCCGTTTAGCAAAGGGGAAAAAGCATCCCGACACGTGACGCAGCCGTGACGTTTGCCCCCCCCCCCCCCCCGGGCCCTCGACCATTCCGGCCAGGGGGCTGCCCAGCCTTTTCCTGAAAGCCTCCGTAACGTCCTCAGGCGAGCGGTTCCACGGGTGAACTGTTCTCACTGCTGGGACGTTTTTTGGAAGTTGGTTCCCTCTTTGATTAGTTTCTATTCATTGTCTCCCAATTACAGCTTCCTTTGTTTTGAATTAATTTAATTGTTTTAAATTGTTTCCCAATTGCAGCCGAGCCCGTTTTCCAAACCCTCCCAGCAACAGGGGTGTCCTGCATGGTCCTTTCTGCCAGCCTGCCCAGCTCTCATTTCCCCTCTAAGGAGAGGAGGGTCTGGGGGCTTCATTATTGCTCAGCTCACGTTCCTCACCATTAAGATGGACGCTGGCCGGAGGGACAGGAAGCAGCCAAGGGGAGGCTCCCTCCCGTCAAGGGCGCCCCAAACTTGGCCGCTTTAAGTCTGGTGGACTTCCAACTCCCAGAATTCTCCAGCCAGCATAGCCTAGCCTAGCATAGCACGGCTGGCTGGAGAATTCTGGGAGTTGAAGTCCACCAGTCTTAAAGTGGCCAAGTTTGGGGCGCCCTGGTCAAGGGGATGCAGAAAGGGAAGTCTCCTGAAGTGGACTCCCACCCACCCCGCCCCAGGCGACCCCAGGGCTCGGGGAAGCTGCCTCTTTCCAAGGGCGGCTTTTGGGCCTCCCATGAATACTGACCGGACACGGCGGGCTGCCTGGACGGAAGGCTCCTTCTGGGCTGTGGCTCCCCAGGAGGGCTGCGGAGTAGGACGTGGGCTTCACACCTGCACTCTGGCTGCACCTGGAGAAGGGCAGAAGGGAGCAGGGGTAGCCAGCCCAGCCCAGCCCAGCCCCTCCCAGCGCTTCCTGGCTCCCACTGACCCACCAACATGCTTCACTCCTCCGTCCTTTGCCACCTTGGGCAGGATTTTATCTGCTGTTTTATAATGGGTGATTTTAATGTCTTTTAATGTTTCTGTGTTGGATGTAAGATTCGGGGGGGGGGGGGATAACTTTCACAATAAACGACTAATAAACACTCCTGGTCCCTTGTGGCCAATCTGGGCCCAGGAAACGGCTCGGGAGGGGGGGCCCTCCGACCCACGGCAGAGCAGGCGGTGGCTGGGCCCCGATGAGCGAAAGGGGAGAGCGGCTCTGAGCCCCTCCGGGATCACGTGGGAAGTTTGGCCTTCAATTGCCACCAGAATAAGAGAGCCGGAAGGGACCTTGAAGGCCTTCTAGTCCAGCCCCTGCTCAAGCAGGAGACCCTGCGCCGTTTCAGACAGGGGGCGCTCCACAGGTGAAAGTCTCCAGTGAGGGAGCACCCACAACCTCTTGCTCCTCTCCTGGATGAGTTTCCGCCCGTTGCTTCTTGCCTTGTCTGGGGCTTTGGAAAGTAAGCCCCCCCCCCTTCTTTGGGGCAGCCCCTCAAATTCTGGAATCCTGCTCTCATGTCTCTCCCCCCGGTCCCCCCCATCCCTGGCCGACCCCAAACCCTGCAGCCGTTCTTCCAAGGTTTTACCCTCCAGGCCTCCGATCCTCTCAGGTGCTCCAAAGCCTCAACCTCTTTTTTGCAACGTGGGGGCCCAACCTGGATGCGGGACCCCAGGTGTGGCCGTACGAAGGGTTTATAAAAGTGGTCCTTTTATGCGGTTTGGAGGATTCTGGACAGTTGCTGCTGCCGCTGCCAGGAGAGACATCCCCAAGCCCCGCATTCCCCAGCTGAACATGGAGGTTGACCCCCCCGTGACCGTCCTCCGTGGCCGGGGAGCGCCCTCTCACTGAAGCTGTGCTAGCATCGGGGCCTGGCCTGCTGGCTCCGGCCTTTGCGGGAGGCCAAACCTGTTCCAAATTCAGCCCCAAACACAAGAACTTACGGCAGCCAAGCGTAGCCGGCAGGCTCCCCAGGGAGGACCTTGGACTTCTTCTCCAGCTGCGGCAGGACTGCCTCCCCGGCCCGCTTTCTGCCATGGGGGTGCCAGGGAAGGAGGAGGGGGCGTGGCTGCTGCCCAGCCGTGCCAACGGCTGCGACGGGCTCAGGAGCAGAAGACCCCTGGGGTCCGGCAGGGTCCGCACTTTCCAAGCTCTGCTGGGAAGGAAAACGGGGACCAAGCCATGAATTGGAGCAGGTTAAAAATCAGGAGATGCGAGTTCTAGTCCTGCCTTGGGCATGAAAGCCGGCTGAGTGACCTGGGCCAGTGCCCCTCTCTTAGCCCAACCCACCTCACAGGGTGGTTGTTGTTCTGGGGAGAATAGGAGGAAGCTGCATTAGATATGTTTGCTGTCTTAAGTTATCTGAAGGAAAATAATAAAAGGCGGGATAAAACTCTAATAAGGAAATAAAAATAATCCAGCGATAACGAAGGCCACAAGATGGAAAAGTATTGGAAGGGCAAAATATGGACGGTGTCTGCCTTCCTGCCCCACAGGGCCCTGGGGTACAGCTGAAGCTGAGGGGGCTTCCCCCAATGTAGGGTGCAGAGATTGGCACCCCCCCCCAGGCATTTTTCCTCCCTAATTCCCACGGCAACGGATCCAAAAGCTGAGCCAAGCCGCCTGTCTCTCACCTGGCCCAGGTAGGGGACTCCCAGCGACAGCAGCTTCTCCCTTCCTTGCTGGGGGCTGAGCTCCTGCACCCGGGTGGCCGCGCTGAGCCTGGCTGCCAGGCAGTCCCAGAGCTGGGGAAGCTGCCTCTCGTCCTGGGTCGCTTCCCGGATGACCAGGGCCTCCTGGCTGCCCAGCCCTGGAAGGAAGAGGAGAGCAAACCCCGGTTCTCCTGGCCCCTCTGAGCACCAGGGCTGCTTGGAGGAGGGGGGGGGCGCGGGGGAACGGCTGCCTAAGGCCGGGCCCTCCAACCTGGGCCGCTTCAAGACTCGGGGGCTTCAACTCCCAGAGCCAGCGGAGTTAGAGCAAAGCCGGCTGTGGAATTCTGGGAGTTGAAGCCCCCTGAGTCTCAAAGCGGCCAAGGTTGGGGGGCCCTGGCCTAAGGGGTTCCCTCGAGGGTCCGTGCCAGGCTGCGCCACAGAAGCCCCCGTGCAGGGCAGGCGATGAAGGGAGGCTGGCGGACCTCTCCCCCAGCAGCAACGCCCTCCCTTCCTGCTTCTGCTCACCTGGGCTGGGCAAACGGACTCTACACTGGACGCCAACTTCCCAGGCGGCTTTTGCAGAGACGTGCAGGAACAGGCAGCCCAGGGGCAGGCAGACTTCGCAGCGGTAAACGCTCCCAAGGGGGAGGGACGCCTGGGTGGGCTCACCTGGGAAGACAGCAGCAGCAGCAGCAGCAGCTCAGGTCAGCAGGGGATGGTGCTTTTTCCCCCCCCCCGACACCCCCCCACACCCCAAACTTCCGTTCAAGGCTGATGGTGCATTATTGTTTAAAGCGAACGCCAAGCCAGGATCCAGCATCGGGCACCTAGAAGCCACCTTGTTTTGCCCAAGGAAGGCCGGGCATCGTCTGCAGCCAGTGCTTGGACTGAAGGACCCCCAGAGGTCGCCCTCCCTTAGCCGCCGTGCCCCTCCGGTCACCGGATCAAAGTTGGGGTGCTGGGCTGAAGCAGAGCCTCCTCTGCCAAAGGGAGCTTGCTGGGCCCCCTTCGAGGAGGCAGTGGGGCAAAGTGTGAGGTCCTCGCCTAATGACCCCAACCAGCCCTAGAGGACTGCCGTCGTGAAGCAACGCAGTTTTGCCCAACAGCTGCTTTGCTTAGGGTTGTTAAGCGAGGACCGTCTACTGTTGCTGGACAGCAGCCCCCGAGGGTCTTTCTCCGCTTCTAACTGACCAATGGCGAACTCAAGGTGATGACCCAAAGGGGCGTGGCCCAAAGGCAACCCAGTCACATAAGCAAGGAGAGACCCTTTATTATCTCCAACTTTTCCCCCCTCATTGTCCAGGGTACCCTCCACTGGAGAAAAACTCTCCCAGGAACAGCCTTTAACGGAGGAAATTAAGTCCAAAAACAAAGCAGATACAAACTGTAACTAAAAATCCACACAAACTTGCTGCAGCAATTAACTGGACAGGGTAGGAGAAGGAACTGCAGACTTGAAAGGCCAACAAAAGAGACACAGTTGGGAAGATGCCAGGAACCCAGATAAAGTCATGCTTGCTCCCAACAGTCTGCTGCACGCAGCTTGCCTTTTTAAAACGCTGTGTTCCCAGCTGCGGCTACTGCAGGGGATCAGGGCCCTTTCCTCCCCCATAAGCCATACAATCCACGTTGCTCCCTTCTCTGTTCTTCCCTGCCTGCCCTAGGATGAAGAGGGGGTGGGCCTGGGTCTTCCTCTGCCTTGCTCTACCTCTGCCCTGCTCTGCCCAACCAGACCGTGCCCTTCCCCAGTTTCTTCCACAGCCAACGGAGCCGCACTCCCGCTCCCTGTCGGCTGTTCGGTTCCTCCTCCGAGTCAGATTCCAGCAGAGGCATGACTCTGTTCCCATCGCCAGAGGGACCATGTGAGCAGACCGCTCTGCCGGGGCTTCTGCCCGGAGGGGATGCCTACCAAACAGAGCATCGTGCCAGGAAGCACCTCTCAACAGCCCCCCCACCCCACCCTCAGAGAGTGGCCAAGGGGCATCACAGCCAGTTTGGGCCAAAGCTGGCTGCAGAGCGGCACAAGGACCTGCCAGTCAGGGCCAGCCTGGCACCTCCGTGCCCCAGGGACGGAAGGCGGGCCTCTCCCCTCTTCTCCAGAGGCCCCGAGTGCCTCACCCACCAGCCACTGAGACGAGAGGCCCCACACGGCCACCACAAAGAACCAACCAAGCAGCTCCTGGGCTCCTGAATGGAGCCACTGACCCCTCGCATGGCTACCTGCGCAGGTCTGCCAACTGCCCCCCCCCCCCCCACTGGGTTAGGATACTCACCTGCCAGAGTCAAGGTGATGTGCTCCCTGGATACCTGTAAACACAAAAAGAGATGCTGGAATGATTCTGCCAGTCCCGGGACTCATTCCGCCGCCTCGGCTGCCGAGAACCCAGGTGGTCCCTGCTGTCGTCTCCCCCAAACTCCCTGCCCCTCCCCAGCGGCTGACCTACCTGAATGGCCGCCAGGTGGGGCAGAGGGAGGGCTCCGACTCGGACATCCATGGATGCGGCCGGAAAGCTGATGCAATCCCCACTTCCTGGCAGTTTGGCCTCTGTTTTGGGAGGCTGCTCCTCTGGCTGCAGAGCCGTGGGAAGCACGTAGTCCACGCCCGAGCGCTGGCAGATCTTGTCCACCTTAGCACAGAGACGCTGCAATTCTGGAAGAGGGGGGGCACCAAAGCCAGGGTGAGAACCGGTACGAGGGGCCTGGTGGCATTTGGCCAGTTTCCCTAAGACGGGGTCACCAACCACTTGGACCTCAGGGACCACCAAACTCATAATCTTAAATCCTGCAGACCAGAGACCCCCTGGGAAAATCCTCCAAAAAGCCTGCAGGAAAATCCCCCACCCTGTTTACCTACCGATTGATCGTTCTTTATTTGGGATCGCAAGAGACTGTCTCTAGCTCCGTTTTCAGTGGGAGAGAGAGAGAGACTTTTGGCTTCATGCAAGGAAAGCAGCAGAAGCCGCAAACGTCTTTCTTTCTCTCCCCCAACTCTGCCGAAAAGGAGTCTTTACCGGCGCAGCCTCTTGGAGCAGGAAGGCCTTTCAGGGTCCCCAATACTCATTTCTGGTGGAGTTTGGGGGAGAGAAAGAGAGACTTCGGCTGCTTTCCTTGTGTGCAGCCAAAAGCAGAAGGAAGAAGAAGTGGAAAGAAGCAGCCCAGTGGCCAGGCCAGGTGCGTGGGGCGCGTGGGGCAAGTACCCCCCTCCTCCACCCTTCCCCCCATCCCCTCACTCCCTCGTGTGGCTCCCAATGCAAGCGACGCAAGCGCAGCCTGGATTCATTGCTTTGGGGGTGACATTTCTCTGCGGACCAGCAAAATTTTCTCACGGACCACCAGTGGTCCCCGGCCCACCGGCTGGCGACCACTGCCCTAAGAGAACCCAACCAGCCCCAGCTGGGTGAGGTGACTCAGCCCCATCCCGTCGAGAAAAGGGGCGCCCACTTCTCCTCCCGGGGTGCCCAAATCAGGGGGGCCGATTCCAGCGGGAGAGTCATTTCCACTCACGGCTTGGAGAAAAAGGGCTGGAGGGGAATCTTATGAAATGCACACGGGGGGTGGACTAAAACTGGGCGGGGCAGCTAATCAAAGAAGTGACATTCAAAAGGATCAAAGTGCCAAGAGGAATAAACGGCCATCCTCCGTTTTAACCTGTCGGGTTAAAACAGGGGCTGCAAGTAACCAGATGAAGGAAGCAAGAGACACACGGGCAGAGCTTCCTCCTTGAAAATTCTCCTGGGTCTTGATGGGCAGGTCCATTCCGCCATCTTCGGCTTGGCGCCTTGCAACAGGGGAGGTGAACAAGGCCCGCCTTACCTGGAAGGATCCCCTTGTTTTTCTGGACCGGCCTCAGCAGCGGCTCGAACTGCATCTGGATGGACGTGGCCAGGTCCTGGGCCACCGACTGCAGGCTGTGGTGGATGGACAGCTGGCAGGGACAGCAGGAGTGAAGCCCCCTGAGCAGCTGGTCAGGCCAAGCCCCCCCCCCCGCTCCCCCAACAGCAAGCGGGGAAAGGGGCTCCGAGGGGAGGGCTGTGGTCAAGCTCCCAGCCCCGGGAAAGCCCACAGGCCGTCCTCGACTTACAACCCAGCGCCTGGAAATCGGCCCGGAGGGACCCGGACAGGCGTTTGGCCGTTTGGGGGCCGCCTCACCTGGAAAAGCTCCAGCTGCCGCCACATCTTCTCCACGGCGGAGTCGAAGATGGCGTCCTTCTGCAGGTGGACAAATGTCTCCATCTGCTCTTTCATCCTCTGGAAATATCCCCGGCCGGAGAGTTGGGAGCAGGCTGCCAAGAGACGGCACGAGTCGGTCCTCCCCTTCGTGCCTCGGGCATCCTTGAACCCGTCCCGGGGGAACCAGCTGACACTACGTAGTCCTCCACTTACAACAGTTCGCTTAGTGCATGTCCGAAGTTACAACAGCACTGGAAAAAGTGACTTACGACCATGTTTCATACTTATGACCGTTGCATCATCCCCATGGTCTCTACGTGGTTTGCATTTGAATGCTGGACAACTGACTCGTATTTACGACGGTCGCAGTGCCCCGGGATCAGGCGGTTCCATTTTGTGACCTTTTGACCGGTAAAGTCAACTGGGGAAACCAGGTTCACTTAACAACCGTCTGACTAGTGGTTCACTTAACAACTGTGGCAAAGTTGCAAAGTGGGCCAAAACTCACCGAGCAAATCTCACTTAACTACATAAATGTTGGTCGTAAGTGGAGGATTTCCTGCACAAGCCTTCCTGTGTGGGGAATTCTGGGAGTTGAAGTCCCCACAGGTGAAAATGGCCAAACTTCAGAAAACAGGGAGCTGCCCTGGCCACGTTACTCTGTGCCTCAGAGGAGCAACCAGATCGCTTTCTTGGAGAGGGGGGATCTCCCTCGTAGGGCCACCTCTTTCCCTCTCGTCCTTCCTCCTCCTCAGGCCCCCAACGCAGGAGGGAAGCCGGGCCTGTAACACGGCGGGTGGCCCAGGGACACAAACTGAGCCGCGTGTCTCCAGTGGTGGGGTTGTGGCTGGAGTTATGCCTTGGACTGGGCCAGAGGTGGGCAGCGGTGGCCCCCTTCAACTCCCAGGATTACCTGAGCCAGCTGGGGTCCACAAGCCACAGAGGCACCGAGGTCGCCCACCTCTGCACGAAGCCGTAAATGGGCGTTTCCTCCGGGCCGGCTCCGCCCTCCCACCACCCAACGTAGCTCCGGAAGAGGGACTCCTTGCAGCCCCTGGGCAGGAACCCACAGGGGACGGAGCCTCCCGGAGACGGGTCACCTGCATAGGCCGGTTCCATGGCGGCCTGAACCGTCGGGATCAAGAGCCGGGAGACCGTCCGCTGCTTCCTCGTGATGGAGTTCATCTGATCCAGGGTGAAGTTGAGCAACTGGAGACAGGAGGGGGGGGGAAATCCCGTCAGAGTCCCCCGTCTTGCAAGGGGACCCTCCGCCCCTCTGCTCTCCCTTGGGGGACCCCCGGGGGCAAAAGGGCCTCACCCGTGCTCGAGCGGCTTCCATCTGCTGGGCGTGAATCGCACGCAGGGCTTCAGCAACCGGGCGGTGCTGGTGCAGCTGCTTCTTGAGGCCCCTGAAGAAGGAGCTCAACTGGTCCAGGAGGGCAGCTGTGAAGCCCTCGATGCAGCTGGTCAGCCAGGAGCTGCAGGAGGGGGACAGCGGCCAAGGGCCCCATCAGCCCAGCAGGGGAGCCCCCAAGGGGGCCGCAGAAGCCGCCTCCAGCCTCCCAGAGCCCCTCCCGCTCCCCCACGGGCAGCCCCTCATCGGGGGGGGGGGAGGAGGATGCTGGGATCCCTTTGCATCCAACCAGGCAGTCCTCGAGTTACGACCACAATGGAGCCCACCATCCGCCTTGATAAGCGAGACCGTCAAGTGAGCCTTGCCCCATTGTACAACCTTCCTTGCTTCGGTTGCTAAGTGAATCCCTGCACTTGTTAAGTGAGCCACCCGGTTGTTAAGTGGACCCGTTGCCCTTGCTGGCCAGGAGGCCGCAGGAGGGGGATCCCGGGACCCTGCGACCACCGTAAATACAAATCGGTGGCCAAGGGCCTGAATTCCGATCCCGGGTCCAAGAGGGAGGCTGCAGCAGCCGTAAGTGTGAAAAGGGGCCCTTAACTAAGTCACCTTTTTCAGGGCCGTTGTAACTTTAGTAAGTCACTAAATGGATGGTTGTAAGTTGAGGAGTGCCTGTCCTACTTCCTCCTCCGGTGGGACAGACAACGTCCCTGGACTTGGCAGAAAGGGGAGGGGGGGGATTCAGCCAAGAGCCCCAGGTCTCGGGAGTGGCCATGACTGACCCCCCCCCACACACACACGTGGCCGCCTAACCGGGACGGACCAGGTTCCGTGCTGGAAACCGGCGTTTAGCCCTGGATTCCAGCCAAGAAAACCGTTACAGGCAACGGGTTGGTTGAACGACCGCTGCAATTAATTGTCGAAAAATTGGGCTGGTCAGGTCTAATAACCAGCATGGCTTATGGCTCAGTTATGGTCATAATTCAAGGACCGCCTGCCTTACAGGACCTCCCCCTTTGCCTGTGTGTTTGGTCCCCTTCCCTCCTGGGATGGGGGGGGGCTGGGAGCAGCCAGGCTGCAATCCCCCAGCGCAGCCCCCTCCTCCTGGGGCCAGAGCCCACGGACCCTCTCCCAGGGATGGGCCTGGGGTCCCGCCACCCAGCCCCGCCTGGGCAGAAGGCAGGCCTGGCTCTGGCGGGAAGGAGCTGGTAGCGCACAAGGGGCCCCCCAGGAATGGAGGGAATATCCGGGGACGGAGAAGCAGAGATCGGGAGCCCGGTTATTCCTGCCCTGGGCTAAAACTCCACTTACTTTGCCTGAGAGAGTTACAACGGGGCTTTCCTCTGATTTCTCTGCCTAAGCACCTTACTGGGTGGAATTTCACAGTAATTCGAGATTTACTTTTCGTTTGCAATGTCTCGGGAGCAAATATATAACTTGGAAACAATCTCTCTCTCTCTCTCTCTCTCTCAAGATTACAATGGACCAACATTCTCCATTATGTGGGGGCTCCAACCCAAAAGCTTTTAAGAAGAGGCGGGTCAGCCATGTATCCTGTCTCCTGCCTGAGAAAAAGGTTCGACTAGAAGACCTCCAGGGTCCCTTTCTATTCCATTACTCTGTTATCATGTGGCCTGCCAACCGACTTTATAGATCCTCTTGGGAGTCATTTAATAACTCTTTTGATTTCACTTATCCCTTTTGTGACTGATGCATGTCATAAAAGGAAGCGGAAGGCCTCGAGTCACGTAGCTTTAAAAGAGCAGGAAGCCGAATTCGCCACCCTTATTTTGCCACCCTAGATAGGCGGGGGCCTCTCTTTCTCCTTCCTGGATTGGGCTTGGAGACGGGGGGGGTGGGGAACAACAGGTGAGGCACTGCCTGGACGCAGTGACTTTGGGTGTGGGTGTGTGAGAGAGAGAAAGAGAGAGAGAGAGAGAGAGGGAGAGAGAGAGAGAGAGAGAGACCAAGCCGGCTCTCCAGGGCGGGATGGCAGGACCCCGATGGCTGGAGAGGGGCCACCTTTGCCCTCCTGTCCGGTTTCTCCCCTCTGACTCGGCCAAAGGGCCCCCTGGGCTCAGAGGAGGCGTGGCTGCTGCTGGGGGACGGAGCCTACCTGAAGACCTCGTTCCAGGCCACGTAGATGACCTGGAGGATGGGCTCGGCCAGCTCTTTGTTGAAATCCACAGACTGGTACTTGGGAGAGGTGTAAACGCCACGGTGGTTGCAGATCGCCCGATAGGCCCCGTGGGGGTAGCCCACCACCTGCGGAGGGGGGCAAAGAGGCCTCCTCAGAGACGCCAGCTCCGCTCCAGGCTCCCCACTTTCAGGGCCGAGTCCCGAGGGGAGCCCACAGTTGCTGGACTCCTGATACAGACGTGCATCACACGGGTCAGGGCTGAAGCAGGAAGTCCGTAAGCAGCCGACACGCGTCACTTCCAAACGTTTTTACTAGTTATAGAGTATTATAAAATACAAGATACAGAAGTAAACAGAAGAGCTTCCGTTTACTTTTGCATTTCTTCTATTTACTTTTGTATTTTTTATTTTACAATACTCTTAGAACCAGGGGTGGGATTCAAATTTCTTAAACATCCGTTTCTGTGGGTGTGGCCTAATTTGTGGGTATGGCTTGGTGGTCATGTGACTGGCTGGGCATGGCTTGTATATAAATATTGTAAATATTTATGTAAATATTGATTTTTTTTTTATTAAAAAAGACCAACTTTTAACCCAAAATCAGGCAAAGCAGGCAGGCAGATTGAGTTGCTCACAGAATCACAGATGCACTCAGAGATTCACCTTTCTGCCATCTGCTACCTGAGTCTGCACTGAAAAATAGAAACTTCAGCCCTAAGGTAGGCTCTGCTCTGCTTTTAGATTAGCTAGAAAGCAAGATATCCAACGATTTCCTACTTTCTAGCTAATCCAGTTGGAACGGCTGATGGTCAGGGGGAAAAAAAAAGGAAAATTAGCATCTTAGCAGGCAAGTTGGATGGCACACATGCCAAGTAAGGAGGGCAGGGTGCGGAGTGGCAGGGCCAGCCAACAGTGCGATTTGCCAGTTCTCCGAACTGCGCAGAATCGTAACAACTGGTTCCATAGAACTGGTGCGACCCGGTAGAATCACACCCCTTCTATAACTCAATACAAATGTTTGAAAGTGACCCTCGTCAATGATAACAACATGGCAGATGTGGACCTTGATTTCCCTCCATGGGCTGAGAAGCCCCAACCGCTTGGTGAACAGCTGCAAAAAGGATCTGGGGGCAGCCTGCAGCCCCTCCTATGAAAAAAACGCATCCCAGATCCCAGCAAAAATCTGAAAAACAGGCCCCGGAGTTTTCTGCCAATCTAGAAAAGGTGGTTGCAGAAGGGGAGGAGATGGGAAGGAGGAGGAGAATCCACACGGCCTTTCCCTGCCGTGCCTCCCCACCCCCATTGATACTTGGAATATCAACCCCCCCTGGCTCAGTTGGCCTTCCCATAATTCTCAAAACGTAGCTGGAAACCCCCTGGCTGGGCAGCCTGCTGGAGGCTTAGCCATGGCTAATTGCAAGGCGCCCTGGGCACGTTTTGCTACGCTTTTCTGTTTTGTTTATCTGGGTTTTTATATACTTGGCTTGTATTTTGTATATTTTGTCATTATGTGAGGTGGGTGGCTATACAAATGTGATGAATTGATGATGAATAAATCACGAATAGCAGGGAGGTTGCAGCTCCTTCCCATCTCACCAGCAGCCTTTCTATATACTACTTCAGTTTGCTCAAGCCTTAAGGAAGGCCACGCCTGGAATACCGCATCCAGGTTTGGTCCCCACGTTACAAAAAAGACTTTGGAAAAAGTGCAGAGAAGAGCAACTCAAACGTTTAAAGGCCCGGAGACAAAAAAAACGTACGAAGAACGTCTGCAGGGTTTGAGTTTGGCTAGTCTAGTGAAAAGCCTTCCAGTATTTGAGGGGCTGCTCCAAAGAACGGGGGGGGGGGGGTTCAGCCTTGGAAGACCTGGAAGGCTGGACAAGAAGCAACGGATGGAAACGAACCAAGGAGAGAAGCAACGTAGAACTAAGGAGAAACTTCCTGACCGTGAGAACAAGGAAACAGGAAGTTGTGAATGCCTGGACGGCCACCTGTCCGATGGGGCAGAGGGTCTCCTGCTCGAGCAGTGGGCTGGACTAGATGACCTCCGGGGACCCTTCCAGCTCTATTGTATTCTACAGGTGAAAAACGGTCCCAGATTCCCAAGATGGACCCGGTCCTCCCATTCTAGGCAGGATCCGCTACGGACCACCCCTGAAGGCATCTAACTAACCAGGGCCTGTCCCAGGGTCCCCTGCCGGCTGCTTCGGGCTCGTTTTCTGGAGGGGGCTGCCTCCCTGGGAAAAAGGGGAGGGGGCTCTGAGCAAAGAGGCACTTACCGGCGAGCCCCAGCCTTTGGCGATGGCCTCGGAGAGCTGCTTGGCCCTCTCAGCGCCATTCTGCAGGCTGCCCAGGAGGGTCTCGAAGGCCCGCCGGACGTCCTGAGCGCTGGCCCTGAGGACCCCCTGGAGGAGGGCAGGGAGGCCCTGCAAGGCCTGCTGCAGCATCTCCTGCACCTGGGCCTGGTGGGCATCAGCCTGCGAGGGAACGAGGGAGGAGGGCTTTGAAGAAGGGGCTGGGCACCCAGATTTGCCCAGAATGGCCTCCTGCTTCTGCAGCGGGGTGGACTGGAAGACCTCGCAGGTCCCTCCCAACTCTCTTATTCTGGGCGGCCGAATTCCCCCCACAAGGGAGCCCAGTGCCGCTCCTACCTCTGTCCTCTGGCTGTTGAGGTAATTCACCATTTGGCTTAGGACACGAGCCACGTCCCGGATGACCTTCTCGGTTGCCACCATGCTGTGCTTCAGCGCTGTGTCCATGGCGAACTTCTTCAGCGCAGGAATCTCGGGAGGGAGGGAGGGAGGGAGGGGAGTTGGTTCTACCCGCAGCTCTTCTGCCAACCTTCCTGGCAGCCAAGCAAAACTATTAAGTCGTGAGAGGGTCCAAATGCCACAAGAGCCTCTTGGAAGGAGCCTGCGTTGAACCATCTACAAGCGGCACTGTTAGGAACGTAAGTCACCTAGCAGTTGGGTTGGAAAATATATAAACCAGGATAGACATTTTAACACTGTCTCTTTAAGAGAATGCTAAAATTGGAATTGGGTGTGGTTCCTCAAAAGGGCCATAGGAGGGAGCCAGAAACCCGGGTTGTTCTGTTGTTGCTGAGAGTGTGTTCCTGCATTTCCCTATTGATTGTTACTGATGATCATTATTCTTGATTTGATGTAAGTCTGTTACTGAACTGTTTTTGATACTGGACTTTGTTATTGGATTATCCCTGGATTGAAAACTGACTGCTTTCACCGTGAATGACTTGGACTGCTTGTTGAACTTTGCTCAATGGTGTTGCTGGAAGTAAAAACCTACATTTTACTCTACAGTGTAGCTGTGTGCTGGTTGTGTGTTATTCCTTACCACTCTCACTACGTCTCCCTGTGTGCGCTCATTCTCCTAACCGGGAATTACCCCAACAGGCACAACGGAAGGAGGTTTTCTCTGGAAAGTCCTGAGAAACCTGCTGGTAATGTTTCCGCCGTGGAAACATCTCATTCCCACAAATGATATATATTCTGGTTCATACTATTGTGTAACGTTATAGATGCAGAAACTTCTTCTAGAACAGAATTTCTCAACCTTCACAAGGTTAAAACATCTGGACTCCAACTCCCAGAGTTCCCCAGCCACCTATGACTCTGGGACTCCACCTACCCTAAACTCGCCAAGGTAGAGAAACCTGTTCTAGAGGTTCTCTGTCGTTCGGGGTTGAACTCTGGATGTTGGTTGCTTTCAGATGTTTCAATGGACCACCATCGAAGCTAGTGAGTGTGGAGCTTGCTTATACCCGCTAGTTCTCCTAGCCAGTGTGGGTGAAGGCGCAGCTTACTCCTTGGTAATTCCTAAGCCCTAAGGCACTGGGGTTTTTTTTTTTGGTGCCTCAAAGGTCCAGACAAATCATCCATTAACAAACACACACAGATAAATCACATTTACACAGAGACAATAAAAAAGCTAAGTAGGAAACATTACATTGGGTCCTTGCCAGCGCCCAGCACCTCGATAAGCAGGGACTAGCACCAGACAATCAATCAAGCAGGAAACAATGCCCTAATCCAAGGAGGAAAAACCACAACTCTACCAACACTGGCAGAGCAAGCTGAGGCACATAAACAGGAGGAAACCCAGCACTCCCTCAGACGGATGATGTTACCTAGTTGGGTAATGAAATGTCTGTGAGCAAAGGATCACGCTGAGAGGACCAAGGACACATTTAATCTAGTAGATATTTGGTGCTTTGTTAGTGTCCCATTGAAAGGCCACTTTCCTTTTGTCCGTACGGTTCTTAAACCTGTTCTGAAACCCGTTGACTAATATCCGACTCTTACGCACGCGGTTCAGGTGATTTACTATTTGAATTTCTCTGGCTGCCCAATTGCAGATTCTGGGCATTTGCCAAATAAAAAACAAAAGCAGTTTAAAGGCCTCAGTGCTAATTCACACTAGTTGATGTCTGAAGGCTCAAAGCAGGAGCACCAGTAAACCTCTGTCCTGTTATTATTTCACTGCAATTCCGTACCTACTTGAGGAGGCCCCGGGGGTCTCAAAGGAAACGTGTTAAAACACACGAAGAACGGCTGCAGGAACTGGGCATCGGCCAGTCTAGAGAAAAAGGGCTGGGGGAGGACACGACAGCAGCCTTCCGGTATTTGAGGGGCTGCCCCAAAGAAGAGGAGGGACTCAGCTTATTCTCCAAAGCCCCTGAAGGCAGGACAAGAAACAAGGGCTGGTAACTCATCAAGGAGAGAAGCAAACCTGGAACTAGGGAGGAACGTACTGGCAATGAGAACAATGAACCAGTGGAACTGCTTGCCACCAGAAGTTGCGGGTACTCCATCCCTGGAGGTTTTTGAGAAGGGACTGGACGTCCAGTTGTCTGGAATGCTACAGGGTCTCCTGCTTGAGCAGGGGGCTGGACTAGATGACCTCCAAGGTCTCTCTCTCTTCCAGCTCTATTCTGATTGATCGATTGAAATGGTAGCAAAACAGGCAGATTCACAGGATTCTGCTGTAACAATATGCCCTAAATATGAAATATTTCTGGTCCCTAAATCCTTCTGCAAATCATGTACAAAGAGCTGCACAAACACACACACACACACCGGGGAATACCTGTGTCTTTGATGTCATGGAAAACCTGAGGCTGGCCATTGCAGAGCAGCTTCCCTCCAAGTTTGAGATACTCCGTCGAGCTGACCGTGAAAACCTCCAGATTGACAGGCTGCTGCTCTCCAGCCGAGTCACCCTCGTCCCCGTCTTCTTCGCCGTCTTCTTCGCCCTCCGCTCTCCTGGACACTTCCTGCACAAGGCCACGCGGGGCCCGCTCTTATCCGCAGATCGGGACAAGCCGCCTCCCTCCACAAGGCTGCTGAGGGCGGCCACGGGCACCGCCAAAGCTCTGCTGACCATGCCGGGCGGCAGAGCCTCCCGACCTCCAGCACGGAGCCCTCCTACCTGCAGGCCAGCACTGAAGTCCATCAAAATCCGCTGCTTGGAAAACTCGTTCCGGGCCTGGACGCAGATCAGGCTGATGGCCCGGAGCCTGGCCTCCTTCTCGCGCTGCAAGGAAGAGATCTGGACGAGGGAAGTGTTAGGAATAACAAGGTTACCTAACGTAGTTTGGGCAAAATAATATATATAAACTATGATAGTAAGTTTAAGTGTGTGTCACTTTAAACTGCAAAGCATGTAATTTTCAGTGCGGTTGTGAACCGCCATAAGAGGGAGCAAGAGAACCTGCTGGATTGCTGACGATTGCTGGATTGCCTGATTGATGGTTTGCTAACTGCGTGTTCCCTGCTGCTGAGTTTTTGAACGTCGAAGGAAGAAAGGAGGTTTGACTTCTTCATATCTCTACTGTGAGGAGATATATTACTGGACTGATATTTGTAAGTTTACTGACCTCTTTTTCGACACTGGACTTTGCAACTGAATAATCCCCAGATGGACTGAATTAGTGAATGATATATGGACTGTTTTTTGACTATGCTAAAACTCTTACTGGAATAAACTATTTAACTAACACAGTGTATCTGTTTTACTGAGTGTAAGCTACAAAAACGTTTATCTCACATATTTTGCCTGCCTGACTGCCGTGCAGATTCTGCTAGCGTGTATCCCTAACAGGAAGGCAGGGGGAGCAACTGGGCACGCCCATCCCCTGGGAGGTAGACCTCCACAGGGAGGGAGGGGGGCTGCTTTTAACGTCCATCTCCTGAGGGCTGGAAGGCGAGGGGGAGCTTACTTGGAACTCCTTCTCCAAGATGTCATGTCTCTGAAGACAGACGGACTCTGCGGCGGCACTTTCCTTCCTCACTGGCTGTACAGAAAGAGGGTCGCTGGTCGCTGGGCACAGAATTCTTGGGTGGGGCTCAGGAAGCGCATTTCTCTTGGGGAGGTAAAAGACAACCCCCCCACCACACACACACACAGATGAGCTGCATTCGTGGTCCACCTCAGAGATTCACCCCACCCCCCGCACCCCTTCCGGCTTGATGGGCCCTGAGGGGCGACAGGAGGGAGAGCCAGCCGGGAACTGGGGGCCGAGGAGCAAACCCCCGTTTCTATTCGTAGCTCGGAGAGCCAAGTCGGCTGCATGCTGACCCCGGACGGAGGGGCAGGCGGGGACTACCTGTTGCGGCTGCAGCTGACCATAAAGGTGCTTCTTCTCCGCCTCTGCCTGAGTTCTCTGATGCTCCAACTCTTGCAGCTCCTCTTCCAGGGGACGGATCTGGTCTTGTAAGTGGAGGTCCCTGCGGCGTTTGGGGGGCAGGGATGTTTCCGAGAGCCGCCTGGCTGAACGGCTGAATTCTGCTTTAGGGGCTTCTCAGCCCCCCTTCCCCCCTCCTTTTAGGGCACCCTGTGCTCAGCCGGCAACGGAGGCTCAGCCGCAGAAGGGTGCCCCCCCCCCCCCGGGGAAATAGGTCTTTTTCCCCCTTGAAAATGTTTCGCTTCTCCAGTCCTCAGAAAGTTCAGCTTTCCAAATCCAGTTCAGCTTCTTGGAGGAAAAGTGAAACACTTTCAAGGGGGAAAACCAAGCAAAGTCCAGTTGGAAAAGCTCCCTTCGCAAGAAAGCATGAAGTGGGTGGGGGAGACCCCCGTAGACGGGAGGCCCCGTTTCCTGCTCTCACCCCAACGGCAGCTTTACGCCCCGAGAGCAACGTTTGACGTGAAGTACCCGGGGGGGGGGGGGGCAACAGGGCGCGGGGGGCCCCCCCCCCCCCCCCCCCCCCCACCGGGGGCTTCGCCCCCCGAGGGAAGGGTTGGGGGGGGAGCCCCGGGGGGGGGGGGGAGAAAGAAGGCTGAGGGGGTCTTCCCTCCCCCCCTCCCTGCTGGAGCCCCTGCCCGGGGAAGAGGGAGGCGCCACCTGATGATGTCACTGATGCTGAAGCTGTCCGTCTTGGTGCAGACGAAGGCCAGGCTCCCATAGAGGCCGTCCATAAACAGCTGCCGGCGGAAGTTGGCACTCAGCAGCTCTTTGGCCGTCTTGTCGTCCACGGCTCGCGTGATGCTGGCAGTCACCCACACGGCACTGCAGTCCTTCAGGTACTGGGGGGGTGGGGGTGGGGAGAAACAGGGAAGCTGTTGCTCCAGGATGCCCGGCCTTCCAGCCTCGGCCGCCCCCAAATTAGCCACAGGCGACCCTCCATTTACAACAGACTGTTTAGTGATCATTCAAAGTTGCGAGGGCACTGAAAAAAGGGGGCTTAGGACTGTTTTTTTTTTAACCCAACTGTTGCAAAATTCCACAGGGTCCCCTGACCCAAATTCAGGCAATTGGCAACTGACTCGTACTTACGACATGTCCTGGGGTCACGTGATCCCCCTTTTGCGACCTCCTGGCAAGCCAAGTCAACGAGGAACCAAGATTCACTGAACAACTGTGTTACTAAGCTTACAGTTGCATTGATTTACTTAACAACTGTGGTCGTAAGTGGGGTAAAACTCACTTAGCAAACGTCTTACTTAGCAACGGAACTTTTGGTCTCCATTGTGGTGGTAAGTCAAGGACTGCCTGTCGCGTAACCCTTGCAAGGCTGCCCAAGGAACGGAAGGCCCCACAGCCTCTGCCCAGAACTGAAGCGCTCTGGCGACAAAGAAGCGGATGGCCCCAGAGCAGAGGGAGGAAGGCGCCTACCTCTCGGGCCATCGTGTCCCGAGCCGCGTTGGAGTCCCGGGTCCCAGGCAGGTCCACCAGCACCGCTCCCGTCCTCAGGACCTCAGCCGTGGCCACCCGGATCCTCACACACTTCACGATGGGCCAGAACTCCCCGCCTTTCATCTCACGCAAGTTGTCGGTACGAGAATCGATGAACTTCTCGATTTCCACGCGGAAGTCGGCAGCCTAGAAAGCCAGCCAGCCAGCCGGGACGTGAGACCTTTTTTTGAAGGCCTCCGGATTTAGCTTAAAACCGTTCGAACGCTTCCGTACAACGGCACCCTTTTTTTATGCGTGTCCCAGCCGGGACACGGCTCAGGAACCACCGTAGTGGCTCTGGTGGGACTCAGGTGAAGGAGGAAGCCCCAGGCCTCCCGCCCAGTTGGCTCCCTCGGAGAAAGCCTGGGATCCTTCTGGAGCCGCTGCTGAGGGTCGGCTGCAGGGCCGAGACCCTTCCGCGGAGCTCCCCGAAGCCCAGGGCTGTTTCCCCAAGTGGTGCTCCGAGGCCCAGCCCTGCCCCGTGTCATTTCATCGCCCCTCTCTCTCTCTCTCTAGGAAACGCTGGGAGAGGCCAATGGGGACTTGGGGGGAGGGTGGTTCCCCAGGAGCGCCTCTCCACCCCACAGGCCACCAGAGAGGCGCCCTAGAAGCGCTTGGGGGCTGTCAGGCCCAGGGCAGCCCACCTGAGCTCTGGATGGGGCTGCCCTGCTCTGGGCTTTCGTAGATCAGCGGGCGCTGGCCGTGAGCCATTCCCCACCTCCCCTTCGCTTTGGGTCTGGAATACTGTCCCTGAGCCTGGCTGGGGCTGCCATTGAGGGCCTTCCGGGGCTTCAGTCAATACGGGAAAGTGACTTTTGCCACCCGACCTCTTTGCTGAAAAGCCTTTTTCTCCGGATGCCTTTTCAATGGAGTCTTTTCACCTTTTGGCTCTTTCCTCTCAACCCCTTAGAATCGGCTGGACTGAGAGGGGCGCTGAAGTCACGGCCGCAAGCAGGCAAGAAACCAAAGTCCAAAGTCCAGCCCAAAGTCCCGCGTCTTCTTCCTTGCCGCCCCCCCCCCAACGCCACTTGGGCAGGGGAGCCCCGGCAGCAGCTCCGCTTACCGTCTCGGCAGAAATGTGCTTGACCGTCCCGAGGTGTTGGGTCACCCCCAGAGGGTCCTCCAGCTTGTCCAGCTCGTCCACTCTCCCGTAGACGGCCTTTACCCGGCTGTAGGCAGCCCCGGCTTCCGTCTTGCGATCCGGGCAGCGCTTCCTCAGGATGCCGGCTTTGTCTTTCATGTCCTCCAGGAGGGCCGCCAGCTCCTGCTCCCACTCCTGGGGGGGGAGGGGGGGTCAGAGGAACACGAGAGGAAAAGGGCTCCAGGAGGTCCTCTCTGCAGCCAGGTCACCCCGTGGCCTGGCCCTGCCCAATGGAGCCCGGCAGCGCCTACCTCCCGGGAGAGGAACTCCACCTCGGCTTCGTACGGGCTGCCCCCTGCGGCCCTGGAGATCTCCACGACCACCGCGGTGCAGGCTCTCATGGCCGAGGTGGGCAGCATGGCCTCCTCGTCCAGCAGGGCGTTGAGCAAGCAGCTCTTGCCGGCCCCCGTGTTCCCCACCACGGCTATGTGGGTCTGGGGCATCTTGGTCGCCGTCTGGAGGGCAGCAATCTGGTCCCTTGGAGGAGGGGAGGACAAGGGAGCATCCAGCAATGCCCTGGCACCCAGCGCCTCCCCCGCCCTCCCCCCTCACTCTCTCCCCTGTCCAGCTCAGAGCTTCCCCAGCGTGGCCCCTTTAATTGGCTAGAAGCCGCTTTAAAGCAGGTGCCCTTCAACTCCCAGAATTGAACCTGGCTGGCTGGGGAATTCTAGCGCAGGTTTAGAACTGGGCCGCACACGGGGGCGGGCATTTGCGTGAGAGTAGCGTGCGCCCACTGCTGGTGCAAATGAAGCTGTACGCTCTTGCACGCCTGCCACTCCCACAAAACCGTCCCCTCCCCCACCCTTTAACCTGGAAATAAGGAGGAATTTTCTGACAGGGAGAACCATCAACCCCTGGAACTGAAGTTGCCTTCGGAGGTTGTGGGAGCTTCATCATCCCAGGAGGCTTCCAAGAAGCCATCAGTCAGGAAGGGTGCAGGGTCTCCTGCTTGTGTGTGCGGGTTGGACTAGATGACCTATAAGGTCCCTTCTGAGTTATCTGTTACCCTCCCTACTGGTCTGCCAAGCCGGAAAGTCTGGGGCCCGCTATTGCCGAGAGAGTGAGCTGGGGGCGTGGGGGTGTATAGGCGGCTTTCATAAACAGTGAGAGGAAGTACCTCCACTTCTCCACGTGGGCCTGGTCAAGGCCTTCCACCGCAGTCAGGGCCTGGAGGATTTCTGCCAGCACCGACTGGCACTCCTGCAGCTGGAAGGCCACGTCTTGCTCGGAGGACGCCCACTCGGCCAGGCTGCGGCCCTCCGCTCTTCCACGGAGGCAGCGGCTGTGGGACTCGGTCTGAGCAGGAGGGTCTCTGGGGAGGGGGGCCCTTTCCTCGGCCTCGGGGGGTGCAGGAGACGAGAAGGCGGCGGCCACGTGCAGGCACTCTGCATCCGAAGGCTCGCCCAGCCCAGCCTCCTCCGACTGGCAGGGGGCGCCAGGCTCTCGCCCTCCGAAGTCCGCCGGGGGCCAAGGTCCTTCGGGCTGCTCGTCTGCCGAGGTCTTGGGGTCGTGCGAATGCCGGCAGACAGAGGGAGGCAGCGGAGAAGAGGATGCGGGATACGAGAGGGGGGGCCAGGGCTGCTTCTTCGCTTCCTGGAAGCCTTGAGAGCGGAGCCCGGGGTCTGCCAAGGGACTCCGTGCCAGGGGGGACCCATCACCCCGCCAGGGCATGGCACCGCGAGCTCCTGGGTCCCCTGGGAAGCAGCCCGATGTGCCCGGGATCCCCGGGGCTTCCTGGGAGGCCTGGTGGGGGCCAGCCTGCCCCACCCCAGGCAGCTCAGGCCCGCAAAGGTCCTTCCCCGGAGGGGAGCCCCTCTCGCCAGCCTGGGAGGGGCAGAGAGGGGAGAGGGGGGAGGACGCGGCCCCCACAGGTGGCAGTGGCGGCGGTGGCTCGTCTTCCTGCATGGGCTCTTCCTTCACCAGGGGCCCAGTGGAGCCCTCGGCAGGAGCCGGGCCAGGGGGAGGGCAGGAAGGACCCTCCCCAGGGCTGCCCCCCGCCAGTGCAGAGGCCCCCGGGGCTCTTCCCGAGGGGGGAGGGGGCTCCTTTTGCCTGCAGTCTTGGTCATCAGGTTCTCCGTCGCTCGGCTCCGTTTTCAGGGGGGGGTCCCAACGCCCCACGCTTGGCTGCAGGAAGGTTTTGCTGCTGGATCCCCCCGGGGACGGCGGTGGGGAGGGCTCCCTCGGGGCACTTTCCATACGGCCTGTGGGAATATTTTTAAAAATGGAGGGAAAAGTCCGGTTTAAGGCAAAGCGTCTCCCTCCCCTTCCTCCGTCTCCCCCCCCCCCCCCGGCTGGAAAGGGACCAGCAAGCGAAGGCCAGGCTGTTCCTCCATGGGAAATCCCCCCGCAGCCCCCCCCTCCAGGACTAGCCCTGAACAGACGAAGCAGCCCCTGGAGCCCCCCCCCCCCCAAAGACCAAGGGTCCCAGTCCTCTTTCCCTGGGGGAGGGGGGTTCTCTTTGGGGGAGGAGGCCGTGAACTTCTTGACTACTCTCCCGTTTTTCTGGCTCCAGAGGTTCTCCCCAGCCCACCCACCCTTTTCAAGCAGGGGGTCTCTCCAAGCACGGCCACTTTACGCCTCGGGGGCTCCTAACTCCCAGCCTTCTGGGACTGGAGTCTTCAGGGGGCCAAAGGTCTGCTGGGCGCCCCTCCTTGAAACTCTGCGGGGCTCTTGGGGGGTTCAGGGCCTCCTCCTCCTCCTCACGATCCCCCCATCCAGCACCCAGCTGAGCAGGAAGCGGCCGCCGATGGGCGAGGAAGCAGCAATGCCCCACCGAGGGAGGGAGGGGTGGCGAGGCACAGGCAGCCCACTAGACCCCTTGCTGTACGGATGAGGTTGCTTAGCCTGGTAATGAGATGTCTGCAAGCAGGGAAGCTAGCCCAGGGAACTGCCCCCTCCCCCCCAATTCCCAATCTAGCGGTTCTTCCCTGAGCTACGCGTCCGTTTGGCACCAGGACCACCTTTAAAGCTTAAGAAAGAGAGGAAAGACAAGTCAGATTTTGCTGGTTTGTTTGAGGGGGGTCACGTATTCCACGTCAAAGCCCCCCCTTCTACGAAGCCAAGCAGGCCTTTTGCTGGGGGAAGCAATTATGGTCACAAGTGGTGACAGACGTTAAGTGAGATATTTAATGAATGTGCCGGTTAATTTGAGCAAAGGCCTCCCAAGTCCTCTCCCACTGCCCCCCAAACCCCCCGAGCCCCTCCCTCCCACCCCTGCGGGCCCGAGGCTGAAATCCCCCTCCTCCTCCTCCTTCACCTGTGGAAGGTCCCTGGAGCCCTCCTGCAGGCCGGGGGTCCCTGGGCTGGGGGGGGGAGGGGGCTGCCTCCCGTGTCATTTTCTGCCAATTCCTTAGCGGAGCCTGCGCAGTGCCCGGCGAAATCGCGCTGAGAAGGACGGCCGCTTACCGGAGGCAGCCCCAGGGCCCCAGCAGGAGGGCTCCGGAGCCCTTCCACAGGTGCGCGTGTGTGAGGGGGGGCCCAGCTGGGTGAGGCCTGGGGGGTCCCTTTGGGGCAGGGTGGGAGGCTGGGGGGGGGTCTTCCTTTGCTGCAGTGGGTCGCAAGGGCAAATGCCCGGAGCGGTAGCTTTCGGGGGGGATGGGTGGACCTGTTGTAACTGAATAGCCGCTCAGTGACCGGTCATCTCTCCCAGATGACCTGTCAAGAAAGGGCCACTAAAGGGTCTTTCTAACCACCCCTGCTCCTCCTTCTGTGAGCCCACACTGAGGAAGGGGCTCCCCGACTGCAGCTGCTGCTTCGCCCGGCCTCTGCCCCGCCCTGCCCAGAAAGGCCGTTGGGCGGCTCCCCCTCCCTCTGGAAGCAGCCCCAGGGCCCCCGGAGAGAGGCCAAGGCGGCTGCTGGGCCGCCTGTCCCTGCCCCCTCCCTGCTCGGGAGGGCAGTCCTTGACTTACAGCAGCTCACTTAGTGACCGTTTGAAGGGACAATAGCAGTGGACAAAGGGACTGGTGGCAGTGCTTTTCTCCCTCACCCTCATCTCAGGACCCTCCTCCTGGTCCCACCACCCACCCTGGGCCCCAGGCAAGTCCCTCCTCCTACTCAGGGCAGCTGCAGCGTCCAGGGGCTCCCATGGTCGTCAGTTGGGACTTTCGGACAAGCCAAGTGGATGGGGAAGCCGGATTCACTTAACGACCGGGCTACTAACTCAACCACTGCAGTGATTCACTTAACGGCATTGGCAAGGAAGGTCGTCAGATGGGGCCAAACCCACTTAAGCACTGGCTCACTTAGCAACCGAAGTTTGGTGCTCAATTATGGTTGCAAGTGAAGGCGTCCCTGTGCTTTCCGACGGCCTTCTGGGCTTCACCTGTTCCGGTGCAGCATCTGCCGGAGGTGGGAGACGACAGGAACCGGGTTCAGGGGTAAATGAACCAGAGGGGACGGCAGACGCGCCCTTCCCAGACCCCAGGGCTGGGCAGCGAAGACCTTACCTGGGTCAGGAGAGCCTCCAGGGCTGCCTTGGGCCGGCACCCCCCTCCGACTGGCCTCAGCTGCCTTCTCCGGGGGGCTCCCAGGATCCTCTTGGCATGCAGAGCCACCAGGCCCACTTCCTCCGCCCGGATCTCCACGCTGCAGCCGATTGCCGGGAGCCTCCTGCTCAAGCGGACTGAACTCCGGCCGGGGGTCCCTTGCGGCAGCCGGGCTGTCTTCCGGCCACGGCACGGCCACGTCCAGAAGTATCTCCGGGTGTTCATCGGAGCCATAGTACCAGTCGGCTTCCGAGAGGGAGCCAGAGCCTTCGGAGCAGCTGTCCAGCGCTTGGTCCAAATTGCTCCAGTGTGGACTGGGAGAAGGTTCGTAGCTTTGGGAACTGGCGGTGATGTCCAAGGAGGAAGGGGTGTCCCACTCCTCTTCCCAAGGCCCCTCCCCCAGCGCTGCATGTGGCGACTCGGCAGGAGAGCTGCTGCCCGCGTCCCCCAGCGCTGAGCCCACCTCCATGGAGAAGGGCTCCTCCTCAAAGTAGTAGAAGCCTTCCTGCCCGGGGGCCCCCGAGCCTTTGCTCTCCTCCTCCTTGGTGGAGGAGCCGGACGCGGCTGGCCGGCCTCCAGGGGACACGGGTGCACCTTCAGAGATGTGGGCAGCCTCCGCTTCCTCCCCTTTGGGTGAGCCGGGCCCATCACCGCCGGGGCTTTCCCTGGGGCCTCCTGCGCCCCTCCCTTCCGCCTGGCCGTCGATCCCCTTCGCGGCTGCAGTTTCTGAAGGCGGGGCTTCTTCGGCTGCCCCCGCCCTTTCAGGTGCATGGGAGTCAATGTTGCTTTTGAAGTAATTTCTCACTATCCGAGCAAGAGCTTCTCCGCTTCGTTCCGTGGGGTCGGAGCACAGAGGGACTCGGTTTCTGCACTGATCCAGGAAATTCTCTATTGTTTTGCCAAATTGCTCGACGCTCTCCTTCAGATGAGGAGGAGGAGGCGCCACAGGAGGAGCCGCTGGGTCACTCCCAGGGCCCCGAACAGAAGCAAAGTCCTCCCGGCAGAGCTTCTTTGGGTGACAGGCAGCGCCTTCCCAATCCAAGTCCCCATTTGGAGGCCTTTTCCTAGGCGGAGAGCGGTTTGGCTTCTCTTCTTCGCAGGGCTCCGAGCACCCGAAGCCTCCTCTGTGCCCTGCAGAGGCCTCTGGGTCCTTGCCCAGCCGGCAGGCACTTTCTGGGGCCAGCAGCCTGTTGGCGTCCTCAGGCACCATCCGGGCCTTCTGAGCATATCCACCTTTCCCTGACTGGGGACTGCTGGACGCCTCTCTTGCCAGAGGCCCTTTAACGGCTTCTCCAAGAGGTGAAGCCACAGTTACCGTGCCTGGCGGCCCCGGAAGCCTGCCAGCCACAGGCCGGCTCCCTTGGACCAAGTCCCGACTGGCCTCTTCGGGGAAGCCCTTCCAGGCAACCCTGCCGTCTTCTGCTGGTTCTGAAGCGGAGTCCAAAGGGGGCTTTTCAGGCTGACCGGCCAGGTGGACAGGATCCGGCTCCATCTCCTCCCCACCTGCTCCCACCGGTGCTTCGGATGCTCTTTTCCGGCTCTTTCCTGAACGGGGGGGCTCCTCGGCCTCTGTCCCTGTGGTGGAAGACGCAGCCCCCTTTCCAGGACTGCCTTGGTCGCAACGGGAGGAGGGTTGGCCCTCCGGGCTCATCTCCGCGCCCTTCGGTGGCCCAGCCCTGGTCTCTGGCACGGCCAGGTCAGCTGGTCTTCCGGTGGCTGATTCCTCAGTCGGTTCCCTAAAGGCTTCCCTGCTCTCGGTCGCATTAGCTGCCTGTTCCGCTGGGTCGAACGGGGAGGCGTCCCTTCCTCCGTGAAGATCACCCGTCTTGGAAGGACCGAACTGGGCCGGCTCTCCTTTTTCCGCTTCAGGCGCAGGAACCTGCCCACGGAGCCCATTATCCCCATCAGAGTCGTCCGTTGGCTCCACCGGGAGGTTGACAGCAACATCCCCAGGCTGTAGCAGGCCAAGGCCTGGAAGGGGGAGCCCAGGGCTGCCTCCTGCCTCAGCAATCTGGGCAGAACCACCCCGCTCCTCAGGAAGGAGGACATCTGGCCCAGGTTCTCCTGGAACAGGCAGGCTGATCCGTTCAACAGGGGCTTCTGGTTCCTCCGAAGCTCTGTCTCGGATCAGAGGGTCTTCCAGACGAAGCAATGTTCCCCCAACGTCGTCGGCTCCTTGGGATGCCCCTTCCAAACAAGTTTCCAGCCTCTCAGGCTCCACAGTGTCAGGCTTCAGTTCTTGGAGATCAGCCTTTACAAGACGTTGATTCATCACACAGGAAGAACCGCTGGAGAAGGCACTACAAGGCCCACTCAACGCCCCCACCTGCCTGGGACTTGGATCCAAACCCCGCTTGGTGACAGCCGAAGGAGCGTTTGCCACAGGACTTGCCTCTCCTTCCTCCTCCTCCTCCTCCTCTCCCATGATGGTCTTCACTCTGCCTTCTTCACTCAGACCTGTAAACCGTTCATCCTTGGTGACATACTGACAACTCGAAAGGTGGCTACTCTCAGACACCGATCTCTCTGCTGCTTCATGTTGGCTGTTCGAAGAAGGTAGTTGTGTGCCCGCAAGTGAACAGTCACCTAAGTGGGGAATTCTCCCCTCTTCAAGGCCCCCTCCAGAGGAATCACCTTTTCTACCTGCCGAGCCCCAAAAGGACTGCTCTGGGCTGGGGCTTCTCGCGAGGGAGGCATCCGCAGCAGCAGCAGCCGAAGAGCCCTCCGCTCCCTCCTGCCCTACAAGGCACGTGGGGTCTTTCTCCAGGCCACCCTCAGCCTCTCGGTGCTGCTCGGCTGCATCTTCGTTGGCGGCGGCGGCTGCTGCTGCTGAGGTGCTGACGGTGCTTCTCCTCCACTCCGATTCTTCCTCCCTGGGTGGATCCTTGGAGTCACCCTGGAGTCGCCTCTCACTGCCGCTTTTGTAACCGGGTGGTCCCCCTCCAGAGAGCCCAACCACGGGAACACCAGTCACTCCCAGGGAAGGATCGTGGCTTCCACTCGCCTCAGCTCCATCCTGTAGCCTGGAATCAGCCGCCACCTCACTCGAGTTGTTGCTGGACTCGGCACTTCTGGGGGTCTCAGGTTCCCGTTTTCCCTCCATCACAGACCCTTCCCCCGCTTGATCTTCAAAGAGGATCCTGGTGCTCTGGAAGAGGCCTTGCTCAGAAACCACTTCGCCCAAATTCTCGGGAGGTTCGGGAGCTGAAGTTTCCGAGGCCCCTGCGAGCACCTTGTTTCCGCTCACCACAAGGGGCCTTGCTTGCAGCAATTCCGTTCCAAGAGCCCCTCCTCCTGCTCCTTCACGAGGCTCCGGCAGGTCTTTGGAATGGAGGTTTCCGTCTGCTGTGTCGGAAGCTCCCCTCCAGTCCTTGGGCTTATCTCCTTGGTAGAACCTGCCCTTGGACTGCTCGCCAAGGACCGGGGTCTCTGGCTGTTTCTGCACCAGCATCGCCCTGGCCTCCCAGGCCTTGGAGTCAGCGCCCTCGGCGCCCGGCTCCTGGCTTGCACCCAGTGCCTTGAAAGACTCTGCTGCGGCTACTTCCATCTCTCCATCAGTCTGCCTTCCCATTTCTGCACAAAGGTCCCCCATGCTGGCCTTCTCGCAAACGCCTTCGGCCTCTGCTGGAATCGCAGAACCCATCGCTGGCTCAAGTTCTCTACCACCAAGATGGCCATCCGGGCCTTCTAAGGCCTCACCTGTCGGAGGTTCCATTTCCACCGCTTCACTGGCTGCAGCCTTTTGCGGAGAAGCCACCGCGGGGTCCACACCACCACGCGATGAATGCCTTGAAGGCAAAAGTGGGCTTCTCCTCTCAGAGTCCAGTGTCTCCTGGCTCAAGATTTGGGTGGAAGAATCGCTCATCGGCTCTTCCCCAGGAGGAAAATGGATCTCAGCCGTTCTCTTGGCGGAGTCATGTTGCTGAATGTGTCCCACCTCAGAAACCTGGCTTTCCGCAGAGGGACCGACTGGCCCGCTTTCCGCTCCCTCTGCCTCCGCTGGGTGCTTCTCCATCAGGTTCTCTTCGCGCTCCTCCACGGAGCCCCTTCTTACCTGAGCACGGCTCCCGGCCAGTTCAGCCACTTCCATTTCTTCCACTGGGCTCTCTGGCTCTGAAGCAAACGATTCCCCCAGACAAGCGGTTTCTTCCATGCTTGGGCAAAGATCCACCTGGGTCTGTTCCTCACCCGCTTCGCTAAGAGCTGGAGACTCTGGGCCAGAAACAGACTGAGCACAACCAGACTCGCCTTCCGTCTCCGTGGGAAAGACGGGCGTGAGCTGCAGCGTTTCCTCCCAGGGTCCAGAGGCCTCTGCTGCTTTGGGGGAGCCATCACGATCAGCCGCTTCGGATGCCTCTGAACAGGTGGGGCCGGGAAGGAGCGGAGGCACGCAGCCTCCCTCGGGATCACTTCCGGCAGCCTCGTGTGGAGGCCACCCTTGCGGAGGAGGCGTGTCACACTCCACGGTACTCTCACTGCTGCAGAGAGAAACGGAGTCGCCGGATTCTGGACTTTCCTGAGGAGGAGGAGACCCAGTGGCCGCAAAAGAGTTCTCGTCGGGAAGTATGTAATCTGGTGAAGCGGAACGGAGAACTTGGGAGGCCCGTCTGCTCGGAGCACTTAATGGAGGACAAGGTGAGGAAGGAAAGCTGCTTTTCTCGGATGCCTTCTCAGACGTACGTGGGGAAGAGGAGGAAAGCGCTGGGCTTGGTGGTGGGGCCGGAGCATCCTGGGGGCCATGCTGTGTGGTAGAGTTTACCAGAGGGGCCCGGCCTGGCAGCACCCCTGCTAGTGCCATCTGAGGAGGAGAAACGTTGCCCGCAAGTGCCAAGTTCGGGTTGCCTGGAGGTGAAACTCCTGCAGAAACCAAGTCGGGACCCTGCAGGAAAAAAGAAAAGAGAGAGATCAGCAACGAACGCCCTCCACCTCTTCCGGACCTTCAGGGCAAAGGGAGGCCTCCCACCTAGGAGTCCCCAAATTTGTCACGCTCTCCTTCGCCGGCCAAATTAGCCCCTTTTACACGGGCTGCAACCGAAGCTCTCGGGCTCAGCCCCACCAGGTGGCTAGTTTGGAAAGGATCCCACCCGCCCGGCCTCCTACACCGGGGGCTCCAACCTTGGCCCCTTTAAGCCTGGAGGACGTCAACTCCCAGAACTCCAGCTCCAAGGCTGGAGACACCTGAATCAAAATGGCCTCCAACTCAGCATGCTGGCTGGGGAATTCTGGGAGATGAAGTCCTCCAGGCTTAAGGTTGCCAGGGCGGGAGACCCCTGTCCTACACGGGTGGAACTCCACTTCCCACACTTAACAGACAGCATTAATGCCCATCAACATTCGAGAAGCGTTGGAGATGGAGGTCCACGCCTAGACTATGGTTCTATCCTAATTCTACTGTCAAGGGGGAAGGAATTTGCGAAAGGATAACAGAGGTAGAAGGGGACCTTGGAGACCCCTTGGAGACTCTGCTAGTCCAGGGGTCTCCAACCTTTCAGGGCGGGGGGGGGGGGGTTGGGTTAGCCGCACCCACGGGCCCGTGCACAGCCCCATTTGCACCAGTGGCACGGCCCACTCCCCCAACAAAGGGGGCCGCGTGTCCTCCGCGGCACACCCCCCCCCCCCCTGCGGCTTCTGCAGCCCAGTTCTGAACAGTAGTGGGCTGCAGCCCTTGGGGTTGGGTACCCCTGTTCTAGTCCAACCTCTGCTCAAGTAGCAGGAGAGCCGACACCATTCCGGACAAACGGTTGTCGAATCTCTTCTTGAAAACTTCCAGCTTTCCAGAGCATTCAAAGCTCCTAGAGGCGAGTTGTTCCAATGGTTAACTGTTCTCAGGGTCAGAAAATTCCTCCTCAGTTCCTTGAGGAGTTTCCATCCGTTGCTTCTTCTCCTGCCTTCTGGTGCTTTGGGGAACAGGGGGACCCCCTCTTCTTTGGGGCAACCCCGAGATATCGGAAGACTGCCATCATGTCCCCCCTAGTCCTTCTTTTCACTAGACTAGACACGCCCAATTCCTGCAACTGTTCTTCACGCGTTTTAGCCTCCAGTTCCCTAATCATCTTTGTGGCGTTTGCAGTAGACCATCTCTCCTGTGCCTGCCCAGTTTTTTTCTCTCTGCAGAGCAGAGAGACTGCAGAGGAAAGGATTACAAGAGAACAAGCAGGCACACACACAATGGGGAATCCACCAGGCTTTGCATGCCTGGGGCTGCAGGCGCCGTTGTATGCCTGCTTAGAATCCCTTCCTCTCCATTAATTGTAAATGCAAACATTATTAGCTCCCTTCTTGTTAATTATCCCAGTTCCAACAGATCTGCTGGTCTCAATTGTGGCCACTAAATGAGGACCACCTATATCAGATGTATGACCACTGACTCCTGAAGATCTTAGGCAGGGCTAGAACTCACTGTCTCCTGTTCTCCAGCCTGGCATCTCAACTACTAGAGCAAACTGGCTCTTTCCTGTCAACACAACTCTATTTGTTGTGTCTACAGGAGATTGTTGTGGTTTCTTCAACGTGTTCAAGGGAAATAACGGGTTTCGTTTGATTCAGGAATTCAGCCGTTAGCGGAAAACACACATTTGCCTTTCTCACTTTCAACGGTTGGGGGAAATCTCTCCCGTCTGCATAAACGCTCCGCATCTGGCCAGGAGAGCAATCGCAATGCTCAAACTGAAAAGAAAAAAAGAAAAAGGGTTACTAGTGTTTTTTCCCCTCACGAGTTAAACGATACGAGTTTTGAAAAAGAAAAGAATAAAGAAAAGTGGCGAGTGAAGATGAGAAGAGAAAGAAGCACAAGTGGCAGCTTCCAGTCTTCTTTGCAGCAATTACCAACCAGCCATTTTGGCTCCTGAGGCGCCTGCAAGAAATCCTCCCAGGCCAGAGAAGCGCCAGCGGCCCCATCGCCCAGCAACCCTGAACGGCTACAGAGATTCCTTTCTGGGGTACAAACCGATCTAATGTCCTCTCTTTTCAAGGTTGCTCCCATGATTCCTTTCTTCCCCTGTAATACCCCTTTACGATGATCAATTCGGTTTTTCCCCCCATTTTCAGCAAAAGGTCCATAAAAGGTTTTCAGTCACTGATAAATGTTCTTGTTGTCTTTTCCCTAATCAAACGGGTCATAAAGATAAAAATCTGGAATGAAGGCTCATGGGGTGTTTTTTGTCCTGCGGTTCCGAAGGTTTCTTTTAGCTTTGAAATAACGATGATCTAGGCGTGGTTTAAGAAAGTGCAGCTTTAAGCCCACCCCGTGTCCTTAAACCATCCCCTGCGGCTGTGAGTTTGATGACTTTTCCATGGTTCCCAGTCGCCCGAAGTCGTGACTTGGCTGCAAATCCTGCGGTCTCCTCATGAGAAGCCGCTTTCCAGAGCACAAGTGGCCAATCTCTTCGCCTCCCTTATCCAGGAGTCTCTGCCGGTCTGGGCTTGCGGCTCGGCCACCGGAACTCCCTGCAAAGTCACCCTCCCTCCTTCAGACACAGCCTAGTCCACCGCTGTCCCGCCCCCCCCTGGGAGGCAAGAATGATACTTCTAGGGAAGATTCCTAGCCAGCTGGAGGTCTCTTTTTGAAGAGGGTGGCATCCACACGGAGAACAGGGCTGGATGCAGAATCCAGACTGGCAAAATCTCTTTGGAGCACGGAGACCATGAGATAAATCACGTGCGCTCCGCACAGCAGCTCCTTGGGGGAGTATTTCACCTTTGCGACAGATGTTTATCAAATGAGCGTAAAGATTTGGAGCAATAGGATTTATTCTACTGGAATAAACAGGAAAAAGAGGTTCAAAGGGATGATTTTGGAAAGTTAAAAATAGGCTAAACGGCCAGATGGATTTTGAAATGAGAATTTGTTATTAAATATAACAATTCTTCCTGTGGGGAACATTTGATTGTTCTGGTTTGCTGGAAAGATAACGCAATAAAAAGGGACTTTGAATGTTTGACACCAGAAGGAATCAGGAATCAAACATTAAAGGAGAAGAAAATTGAAATATCGATTCAAAATGGAACAAAATATTTTAACGAGAGGCTTTTATGAAGATTTGGACCGAGAAATATTGGGCCAGTGTGGCTTTGGACCAGTCTACTCAGTGCGAAGAGGCCAGCAGTTTGGGGAGTGGTCTCAAGCTGTCCACGCCCGTCAACCACACCCAGTGAGTGGGGTCAAGCTGACCACACACCCCCAGTCGGCCACACCCACCAGGTCCTCACCCCCCCCAGGTCAACCACAGCCATGATGCAGCCCTCAATGAAATTGAGTTTGACACCCCTGGTGTAGGGCCTCCTGCTTGGGTGGGGGGTTGGACTAGATGACCTACAAGGTCCCTTCCAATTCTGTTAATCTGAATCCTGAATTAATTTTAAGAATATTTAACAATATAGATAGATGGATGGTGGGCAAACACTGTGCAGAAGAAAAAATTATGCCAGATGAAGTTGGAATTGATCCGAATGTGGATTCAGCGGAGGCCGGCTGAGACCGCTGAAGACCCCGGGCCTCTCTCCTTCAGCCCCAGCACGGCTTCCACCGCCGAGGGCTGCCCCTGTGCTCAAAGGGCAGAGGTGGGGGGAGGTAACTGGCGGGGTGGGGAGTGAGTTCAAGAGGAGACAGAGCAGGCAGCCCCTCCCCTTACCAAGGCTCGGCCCTGGGAGACCAAGCGAGGGACAACAGGATGACAGAGCTGGAAGGGGAGATCTCATGCCATGTGTCATTCAAATAGGTGCCCGGGCTCTTCTTGAAAGCCTCCGGTGATGAAGCCCCCACGACTTCTGGTGGCAAGCTGTTCCACTGCTCAACTGTCCTCCCTGTTAGGAAGCTTCTCAGGTCAGCCCTGCTCTTCTTCGGGCAGCCCCTCGAACGCTGGAAGACTGTGATTGGGCCACCCTTCCTCCTTCTTCCCACTGAACGGGACGTGCCCGGTTCCTGCAGCCGTTCTTCCCTTGTTTCAGCCTCCACGCCCCTCACCGTCCTTCGGGCCCTTCTCTGCACTCATCTCAACATCTAGACCGACTTGGATTGGCGTGGGGTCCTTGCCTAACGGCCAGCAGGATTTGGGTGATGACGGCATGTAGGGCGCAGCCATGTCATATTGCGCTTTCCGACGGCTTCGCTTGGTGACGGAAATCCCAATTCCTGTCATAGCTCAAGGACGGCCTGAGCAGCTGGTAGCATCCTGACCTGACAGGAAGGAACAAAAGGCCACCCAGACCGGCCGGCTCATCAAAAACACGGCAAGGTCAGGCTGCAATTTAGGCTCTGCGTCCCTCCATTCCTCATTTAGTGTTAGAAGCTGTTTGCAAATAAGATGGTTAATCACCACCATAAATCGTTTTCTGACCAATTGGTGCACTTATTGTGCAGGGAAAAGTCTTACCAGAAAATAAAAGGGAGAATTTGGCTGCCGTGTGTAGCTTCCCAGGAGGATGTTTGTCCCATCCGGATGGCCAAAAGTGACTGTATCTCCTTCGCGCAAATTTACTCTGCCTGCACACAAAACGATCGATTAGAAGAGTTTTTAGAATATACTTAAAGTTCAGGGGTTTTGTCACAAAGCTCCTCTTGCAACACAGACTCACAATTTGGCACGACTGTGCTGGATTTGGTATCACAACCGCCATTGATAAAAAGAACTATTAGTGGCTGACAGTCAACCAGGGCAGCCCTCCCAGCCGTTGTCCCTCCTCATGCTTCTCTGAAGCCGCTGCCCACACACACCTACCTTGGATGCGGATGTCGTTGACATACACGCCCGTCAGGCTGGAATCCACCAGAATGTATTCGCCGTCTGTCCGGATTATCCGCGCGTGGATACGGGAGATGTAACTGAGGTCTGTGGCAGGCAAGTTGAGGTGGCAGTCCACTACCCGGGTGTTACGGCCAAAGAGGGTGACGGCCTTGGAAAAGCTTGGGAGAAATAAACAAGTAAAGTGTCAGTCGGTTTCCTGCATGGTTCAGTTCTTGGCAACTTTTTAAGACTTGTGAACTTCAACTCCCCAAAGTCCCCAACTCTTAAAAAGTTGCCAAGTTTGGAGAACCTGCTTTAGAAGGCAGCCTCATTGAGGTCAGATGCGCGGATAGTTCAGGAATAGCCCAATCCTCACCAGGATGTTAAAAAGCAGGCAGAAAAACGGGAGACAAAACATCTAGCTGAGTTGTCATTTGAAAAACCCATTCTGGGAGAAACAGCGGAGAGGAAACAAGGAGCCGGAAAGGAATTCCGTGGATGACAGCAAGGCAATTCTCCCTCCTTTTTCTCACAGGGCTGGCAGAGTCCTCGCCCCAGAGCTCCTGAGCCAAGGCGGCTGTCAGCGAAGCAAAAGGCCAGCCAAAGGCAGAGGCAGCCGGGCACGAGGCCAGGGGAAGTGCGGACATCAGAGAGGGATGGAGAGAGAGAGAGAGAGACAGAGAGAGAGGGGGGGGCACTGGGATGAACGAGGCTTCTCTTCTGCGCCACCGTTTTCCTGAGAACTGAAGAAGGGAGCAATCATGATGGACACACGTGGATTCAATCGGAAAGACTGACAGGCAATGAGACTTTACGTAGGGGAGGAGGAGGAGGAGGAGGTGTGGAAAATTAAACCAACCATCTGACCTTTACGCCCAGGCAGTCCTCAGACTTTGACCACAATTCAGCCCAAAATGTATCTTGCTCAGTGAAACATTGGCTGAGTGAGTTTGCCCCATTTTTGGACCCCCTGGGACTCTGCCATGGTCATAAATACGGGTCAGTTGCCAAGCGGCTCAATTTTGATCCCCTGGCTGTGGGGATGCTGCAACGGTCATAAGTGTGAAAACTTTGTTCAGTGCCCTTGTGACTTTGAACGATCCCTAGAGGAAGGGCTGTATGGGGGGGGGGGGGAACGGGGACAAGGAAGTGTGGAAGTCCCACCCTGCATGCCCAGGAGGGCCGGGGGGGCCTTTGGCCTCTCAGTGGCGTCCCGCTCTCTGGAGGGGCCCCTGACCACCAGGCCCGTCCTCCCTCAGGTGGAGACGTCACTTACTGGATAACCGGACTGACGCCGGGCACCGGAGCCCAGGAGCCTATGCTGCGCAGGTGACTCAGCCGCTGGCCCCCCGGCGGACGGGAGAGCGCCATCTCAGCCTCAGGAGAGGCCCCCTTCCTTCCACTCCAGCCAGGCAGGTTCACCCTGTCAATGGAGAACAAAAAAGAACCTTCTTAGACCCCCGGAGGGCGGATTCCTGCCTGCGGTGCGGGACGAAGCTCCTCGCTCGGGTGCCTGTAGAGGCCGCCCTGGAGCGAAGGAAGCCGCCCGGCCCAGAGCCCCGTCCTGCCCGCCACCTCCTCCCCCGGGCCCCAGCTGGGTTCTCGCAGGGATCAACGCCTGCCCCTGCCCACCGCTTTCCTGGGGAGGCAGGGTATGAGGGCCCGGGTTGGCCTGACTCTACAGAGGCCCCCCTCAGATGGGAGATGGCCCCATCAGGGCCGGGGACAGCTTGACTTTCCCAGGGAGGCTGTGCCGTGCCTCCTTGCCTGCCCCCCCCCCCCCCGAGCCCTCCCAACTCCCCAGACTGTGGGGCCTGCAGCAGTTTCTCCCAGGTGGAGCTAAGGCAGCCTGCAGGTATACGCCAAGCCAGGTTTGGTCTCTTCGGCACCATGGAGTGAAAGAAGCCGCCATTTGATTCATCCACAAAGCCTGTTTGCTGTGCCAAGATCGAAACGATAGGATCCCTTAACTCAGCCCCCCCTCAAAAACTTGGCCACTTTAAGACTTGTGGACTTCAACGTAGCTGGCTGGAGAATTCTGGAAGTCCAAAAGTCTTAAAGTGGCTGACTTTGGAGACTTCTGCCTTAGCTGCTTATTTGCTTGGACGTCGGAGATTGTCCCTCAAATACCCAAACTCCCATTAACCGTTGGGCGAAAGATGCACACACACACACACACACACACCCATTCAAGAGGACTATTTCAATCAGCCGTCCCCAACCTTCCCGGCTCTGTGGACTGATAGTGGCGGCAGCAGCGGGGTGAGGGCGGATGGTTTTGTACGCCCGCCAACCACTTGCCCGGTCCAGTTCCCAAGAGACCACGGCCCGGTACCTTCCCGGTCATGGAACAGGGGTTGGGGATTTAAAGGAACGAACAATAACTCTTGGGTTCAATTCAGCCCAGGGAAGAAGAGACAGGCCCAAAGAAGGCCCTCCCTTCTATGGCTTATGTGTCCCAGTAAGATTTCCTGTCATTTTAACGACAGCAGCAGATGGACGAGAAGTAGGACAGCCACTTCCTCCTCCAGCATTGTAGTTACTAACAGGATACACGCTCCAACGGGTCCTTCTTTGTACTTCTGAACACACCCTTTACAAATGCCTTGTCTCCTCTGACTAGCTCCAGCCTCAGCTACTAAGAAGCCAGAAGACGTAGAGAAGCATCAGCAAACGGAAATGGGCTGGAATTGGGATCTCTCAGCTAGAAGTGCTACGGTCATTCTTACTACCCAAGAGGCAATGGAGGACCTGTCTGGCTTCCCTAGTCCAGGAGGAGGCAGGAAAGGGCAGCTCTTGGGTAAACAAACCGGGAATGTCATTAGCTAAGTTTATGTTCTAATCACTGATGCAGAAGAATTCATTTTATGATCAAGTCCTACTTGAAATTAACGGATATAAGATTTGCTGCTGCTGAACTGGAGACTGGAATGGCAAATTTGGAAAGATTAAGGAAGAAAATACACTTGGACTTCATTGATCTCTTCGTACAAGGACCTCCAAAACCAAGAGACGAAGTCAGGTTGCGACTCCAGGGGTTCTTTGATTTGTATCCCGAGCTTATTACCTTATGTGTAACTCCAGTCAGCGAACGTACATAAAAATCCTTCCTCCTATTTACCCTAAGCAACAACCCTGTGAGGGGGGTTGGGCTGAGAGAGGGACTGACCCAAAGGCCTTTCACCAGTCAGGAGGCTGCAGGAGCTATGGAATATCTACCAGAAAAAGGCAAAGTCATGGACAAAGAACAGGCAACGATCCCCACAGGAGGAGAACTGACCCAATGGCCAACTGACTAGAAGAGGTCAGTCTAACGTATCGATACCAAAGAAAGAAGACAAAAGTCACATACAATCCAAGTGCTTAGGCCCCGTTTGGAAAAAGAGATGCCAGGTATTTGGAAAAGGCCGATAAAGAAATACGATCGCTGATCTACTGTATTTCGGATAACCGAGGAAGTCGAAGGAGAGCAAAAAGAAGCCAGCGTGGGTGGGATGCAGTGGCGGGATTCAAATGTTTTTACTACCGGTTCTGTGGGCGTGGCTTAGGGTCACATGACTGGGCAGGTATGCTTGGTGGTCACGTGTCTGGGTGGGCGTGACCAACTCAATGTCACTCACGTCAAGGGGTGCCTCGCCTGGCCCCTCCCCTCCCCGCCATTCCTTCTCACTCCCAGCCTCAACTTATCTATAGTTGTGTAAAAATGTTGTTCACCTTTTTTGACTTTATTACCTGCTTATTATAGATGGACTTTGATGGGCCGCTGAGAGGAGGAAATGGCTCACAGGCTTTGCCCAGGTGGGTGATTGGCAACAGGCTTTTAGGGAGCTGCCAGAAAGAGGGGGGGGGACAGTGTATCTTCCAAAGCACCAGAAGGATGGAAACTGAACAGAGAGAGAAGCAACCTAAAAGTGAGGAGAAGCTTCCTGACAGTGAGAACAACCAACCTGTGGAACTGCTTGCCACCAGAAGTTCTGGGTGCTCCGGCACTGGAAGGTTTTAAGAAAAGACTGGATGGCCATTTCTCTGAAATGGTATAGGGCTCCCTCCCAAAGTCCCTTCTAAGGGTCATTCTGTTACTCTGACATATTTCCCAGGACCTCTATTCAGACTTTGGCATCCTATCCAGAGTTTTCCTGCCTGAGCAGCGGGTTGGACTAGCCCAGGGCTCTTCAAACGTGAAAGCTTGAAGACTTGTGGACTTCAACTCCCAGAATTCCTCCTCCTCCAGTCATGTTAGCTCCGGACCCAACAACCCATTTTCATGCAGAACACTTCAGAACTTTGTATGAAGTAGAGGGTGATAATCTACTGCCTTCTGCAAACATTGTGGAAGTGAAATATCTTTCGATTCTATGTAGAATTTACTAATAAATCTCAATGAGACGACTCCCCCTTTTTTAAAAGAGTTGGAAAGCTCTTATTAATTCAGATTCTGTAGATGATCAATCTGGTCTGGCGGCAATAAAACCGGCCTTTCCAATTCATCTACTCTTAATGTTCTCTGAGGCTAGATTTTGAGATGTAAATCTTTAAAAATAGTTCTCATATTCACCACCTGGAGTCTCTGAGGTCACAGGGGTCCAAAACTTTCGTTTCAGGAGCATAAGGTTTAATATTGTTACGTATCTCCCTTAAGAACAAAGAAGGAATCCTGCTGTGCTTTTTAAATCCAAAGCATAATTTCCAGAAGTAGTTTGGCACTGGAATTTATCAAACTGGAACTTTGAGGAGGAATCAGTGAGGACAGTTAATCGGGGGACCCCGGAAGTTGTGGGTGCTCCAACACTGGAGGTTTTGAAGAAGAGGAGCCTGGGCAGCCCTTGGTCTCCAATGGGAGGGGCAGGAGAGCCCAACCTTGGGAACTGTTAAGACTTTTTCTCCCGGCTGAGAAATTCCGGGAACTGAAGTTTGGAAGACTTAAAGCTGCCAAGGTTTCCCACCTGAGATACAGGCTCTCCTGTTGAAAAGGGGGTGGGACTAGATGGCCTCTGGTGTTCTGCAGTGGGTCCTGTCTGAAGCTGAGCCCCCTCCGGCATGCTCATCAACCGCCCAGGGCCTCCCAACTGCTCTCTAACCGGGACAGGCTTCGAATTCCTCTTCCCGGAGGGACATTTGCCCCCTCGGGGCACAGAAGCAGCCGGGCTGAAATTCTCCTCGTCTCCGGACTATTTCGGCCCGGTTCTGACCCTTCGGAGAACCTGCTCGAGCTCACCTGGCTGAGGGGCCCGTTGGGTTCTAGCCTATGAATCTGAGAGGCGCCGCGAAGCGTTTCTTTTCCCTGAGCGCTTCCCGGGCCTGGAGGTCTGCCCGCTTGAGGGCCGCTTTCCTCCACTGCCAAAGGATCCCGCGAGAGGCGGCGGTCCAAGGGCAGCCCTTCTCGGGCCGGGCGAGGTTGCCCGAAGGCCGGATCGGCCCAGCCCAACAAGCGGGAAACCGAGGCCCGTTTATTCCGCCCAGCAGCGCAAAGAGCGGCGCCTTCGGGACTCCGCCGCAGGGGAGGCGCCGAGCTTTCCTGCCCGCCCTTTGGGGAAACCGAGGCACGGGACCCGGAGCAAAGCCTTGGGCAAGCCCGGGCGAATCTCCGCTCCGGCGGCGACCTTGCCAGCCCCGCCTTCATCTGCGCCAGCCCCGGGAAGAAGCCCGGCCGGCGCGTCGCCTGGCAGGAGTGGGAGGACCGGCCAGGGTCCCGGAGGAGGCAAGGCAGGAACGAAACGTGGCCTTAAGCCAAGCCAGCGCCTCTTTGCCCGGGCAGCTCCCCGAGGGAAGGGCCGGGCTTCCCGGGCCCTGGTGCCCATCGTCCCGCGGGGCTCTTTCGGGGCTCCTGGGGTCCCAACTGCCCCGTCCTTCCTTCGGACCGCCCGCCCAGCCCGGCGCCCCGGCCCTCGCCCACCTGGAAGGGCCGCCGGAGCCCCGCGAGCAGCGCCGACCTCTCCGCGCCGCCTCCTTTCGCGCCAAAGCGGAGGCTCCGCCCACCCGCCGCGCCTCTGGCCTCTGGTAGGCGGGGGGGGGGGAACGAAAGTGAAACTGGGCCCCTCGTCTGCGCCTGCGCACCCCCCCCACCGCCTCGCAAGGGCTGCGGCCGCGGTTCTGGGCGGCAGGGGGCGCCGGCCGAGGGTCGCGCGGCCTCCCAGGTGCGGCGCCCCCGCCGGGGCTTTTGCGGGGCGAGAGAGGCGGGTCTTTCCCAGCCTCCGTGAAGTTCCCGCTGGTGGGGGATCCCCGAGGGAGACCCCCGCCCCGCCTCTCCCGGAGGCTTCAGTGCCTCTGCCCGGCCGCCGCGGCTGCGGAGCAGCAGGTTGGCCGGAGCTCTCCTGCGGACTCTCGTGGCGCCAAGAGCCGCGTTCCGCCCCCCCCCCCCCCCCCCGCAAGGAGAGGAGACGCCCCGCTGCCAGCCGCGAGTCCCCTTCAAGGCTTGCGGGCTTCAACTCCACAAGTCCTAAAGCTGCCCGGTTTGGGGGGCCCTGCTCCACGCCCCCCTCCCCCCCCCCCCCGCAGGAGATGCGAACCTGCCGGCCGCTCCGGTTCTCCGCCCCCCCGCCTTCCGGAGCTGGCCGCCCGGTCCGCCCACCCGGTGAGGCTGAGAAGCGCCCGCCCCGCCTTCCGTGCTCCCACCGCCCCCGAGCCCCCCTCCTTCTTCAGGGCGGGGGGGGGGGGAGGGAACCCACGGAACAGCTGCCCAAAGAGTTTTTCCTCTTTATTGGCGCCTCTCCCTCACCCTGCCTGGAAATCTTAGCGGGTGTCATAAATCGGGTTCTTGTCACTTTAAAGAAATAAAATATAAGGCCTCTGGAGAGTCTGATTGTTGCTACCCCCGGTTGGTCAGTGGGAGCCCCCGGGCGTGTGCCAGGCTGGTGCCCCCCGGCTCTTCAGCACGGGACCCCTCCGGTTCCTGCTTTGGAAGCCCCTCGGCTCCATCCTGGGCCTCCCTGCCTTCAAGGGTAGCTGTCGGCGTAGGAGAACTTTGGGATGAAGTACTTGTGCACCAGCTGCTGCCTGGCAGTGAACGTCCCTGGCGCTGCCGGGCTCTTGGAAAGGGATGGAAACGGCTGCAAGGTGACCTTCGGCAAAGGCAGCTTCACGAAGGGGACGAAGCCTTTCATGAGGTAGCGGGGGAAGATGAAGGGGAAGTAGAAGCCTGCGTTGGAGGAAGGAGACAGCAGAGAAGGGAGGGGAGGAAGGAAGGAAGGAAGAGCTTCAGCCCAGGCCAGAGACCGGCTCCTGCCTGGGCCACCAGGATGATGAACCAGAGGCAGCCAGGAGCCTGCATGGCTGACTGTCCCCAGGCCACTGTAGGGCTGGAGACTTTGAATCAATGAAGGAGAAAACCCTCCCGGCTTTCCTGGACCTTCTGCTGAAGGAGATGCTGGGTCATGCCCCTGTTGGAATCTGACTCCAGTGGTTGTGGAGGAAAAGGGCACAGGCCGGATGGGCATTCAGAGGAAGACCCAGGCCCATCCCCTCTTCATCCTAGGACACGCAGGGAAGAGCGGAGAAGGGAGAAACGTGAGTGGCGTGGTCTACGGGGGAGGAAGGGGCCCTGATCCCCTTCCTGGGCTGCTTCATGGGAGGACTGTTTAAAAGGGCAAACTGCGCATGGCAAAGTTACTGGAAGCAAAGCGTGCATTATTCTTGTCGGGGCTTATCTGTGTTTTGGCTTCCTCCCAACTGTGGTTGCTGCAGTTACCTGGTAGAAGTCTGCAATTCATCATCCTTGCCTGCCGTAGTAATTCCTTCAGTGTGGTGTGTTGGGTTTTTTAATTTCAAATTAACTTTACTTTGGGTGCTAACTGCATTGATTCCAGTGGTGGGATTCAAAATTTTTACTACCGGCTTGGTGGGCGTGGCAGGGGAAGGATACTGCAAAATCTCCAGCCAGAGGTGGGATTTGCCAGTTCTCTGAACTACTCAAAATTCCTGCTACCGGTTCTCCAGAACTGGTCAGAACCTGCTGAAGACCACCTCTGATTTACTCCCTCCGTAAACTGTTTTCTTTACAAGTTTGATATCCAGCCGAGGATAACTGGACATTGGGGCCAAGTTGGAAGCATTAAAGGGAATTTATTCTATTTTTGTGACTTGGTTATTTTTGTGTCACGCCCGTTTGGGTCATCACACACGGACTCCCTCCCTGGGCAGAGGAAGCCACTGGCCACTGTCCTTTGGCTGTCTGACACTAGGTGGCACGGGTGCAGGTGGCACCAGAATGCAGCAGCCGCAGTAGCACCAGGCTTGGCAAGGAGGCAGCCAGGGAGGCGCCACGCCCTTTGCAACCATCTCACCCGCCAGAGGGAGGGAGGGGGAGCCCCGCTAGAGTGACGGAGCAACACTCACGCTCAGCAATCCTCGTTCTCAGCATTACGTTGGTTTCTCCGAGGCGCAGAATCGCTTTGGACCTGTTGCAGAAAAGCCAGAGCTTGTACAAACCCAGGGCAGCAGAATCCACCCACCGAGGAGGTCGGAGAAAGTCAAATGGACTCTCCGGCCCTTGCAGAGGCTGGCCAGATGCCACCAGTGCTCTGTTTATGCGCCGGACACCAGACGTTGCTCTGTGTGCATGGGCCGCAGCTCTTCCTGTGCAGCTGAGAGGGGCAAAGGGGCTGCAGCCCGAGAGGGAGCGTGAAGCAGCAGACCGGTTGGCTTCCAGACTCTAGCCCTCCTTCCCCGCGTTGGGGTGGTGCTTTCCCTCTTCCTCCAGAGCCACCCCAGGGCGGCCTGAAGGGGGGTGGGCTTTCTCGCCCATCCCCTCAGGGGAAATCCACCGAGTCCAGGGGCTGCCAACTTCCCGCCTCTTGAGCGTTTGGGTCCCAAAGCAGCAGGGGAGAAGTCTTGTTGCAACAGAAGCGTGGAGGGAATCGCAGCGGAGCAACCGGGGAGCGGGGGGAACTCCAGCCCGGAAGCCCTGCAGAGGCAGGAGCTCTTGGCTCGCCCAGGCCCTCAAGTGAGCAGCTGGGCCGCGGGTTGCCCAGATCCTGAAGCTTACTTCTGAAGAGGGGGCAACGCCAAGACGGTGTCCCGGGGGGAATCAGCTCTCAAACAGACGGCCTTTTTCAGCGCCTCCAGTTCTCTCTCCAGCTGCTTGTCCGTAAAATGTTGGATGGCATCAATGGGGCGAACAGGCTGAGGAAGGGGAGAGAGGAACGTGGCCGCCACAGGTCAGCAGGGCCCAAGCGGAGGCAGCAGCTGCGCTTCTGAGCTTGGTTTTCTTTGAGCCTTGGATCAAAACAGCCACCGAGGGAAAAACAGGAAGCCCGAGAGCCAGGTGCACCGCTGCCCCCTCAACCTCCTCGCGGAGCTTCCCAATACTCTTCAAGGGCAGCCCAATGTAGATTACATTGCAGTAGTCCAGACAGGAAGTGACCGAAGGTCTGGGGGGCTACGAGTGTGGGTGTGACTATGCAGGGAGAATATGGAGGGCCTTGTTTTAGGGTGATCGGGAGTCCTTGGCGCTCACTGAGCTGGGTCATTTTCTTGAAGACCTTTCATGACCCTACTAGATAACACCATCAGCACTGAGGATGTCACCTGGTTGGATAGGAAACACCTGCAAGAAAACAACCCAGCTCAGAGAGCACCAAGGGGAGCTCATGTCAACCCTGAGCTACAAGCCTTTTCCTTTATTGATTAGCGTATTGATTTACAGTTATTGTAGAGCAAATCCAGTCAGTGTGGTGTTTTTTACTCCTCAGAATGACGTGGGGGGGGGAATCCTGAGGGCCGACTCAGCCCCTGGACGGCATCTCCTGATTCTCCTACCATCGGGCAGGAGATACAGAAGCAGAGCCAGCCGGACAAATAGGCGGAAGAGCAGCTTTTATCCAACAACTTTATCCAAAAGTTTAGACTTTTAAACAAAACGCAAGGGCCCCAGGCAGCCTCCACTCTTCCCTCTCAAAGCATGGGACTCCCAACCATCTCCCGGCCCAAGGTCCCTCCCAGGCTGGGCTGTGCACCATGGGTGGGCTTCCCATCAGGAAGGCTAATGGGCTGAAGCGACAGGGGGATCTTGAGGGCCAGAGGGGGCCTCACCTTCTGGAAGTCTTCCACGCTGTGCTTCCCCTGCCACTCCTCCTCGCTTTCCGCCGCCTCCTGAGTCCAAAGAGGAAGGCAAGGCAGTGAGAGCCCCTCCTGGCCACTTTCCATCCCCTCCTGGCAGCCAATTGGAGGCGCCCCCTTGGGGGAGAGACGGCTGCCTCCCTGGGCACCTTGGAAGGCTACGGACTCTGTCACGGGGCCCAGGGAACCGCCGGGAGAGCCGGAAGTCGGGTTAGGCCTAATCATGGAGACCATCTAAAAACAGCTTCGATGGCACATGACCAGTCCAAGGCCAAACTCTGCCTGCAGGAGGTCCCCACCGTTGTGGCTGCAGATGGTTCTCGGGGTTCTGGCTGCCCAGGATCGTCCCCTGGATGCTTGGCAACCGGTGTGCATTTGCCACTGGTCCTCAAGCAGCCCACCATCACAGGTTCACCACCTGCAATCTTCCTGGCTGGCTTCCCCAGAGAGTCAATGCGGAAGCCACCAGAGAAGGTCCCACGTTGCTCCTCCACCACCCATGCGCCACCCCAGCCCCCCTGGCCTTGCTCCACACCAACCACTCCTGCGCCCTCCCCTCTTGCGCACCCTTCCTGAATCCCCCAGTCCATGCAGAACCTCTTGGGGACTCAGGTCCATCCCCTTTCCCCTGCACAGCGCCTCTCATGCGCCCCTCGTAGCCCTCCCCAGCAAGAGGGCGAAGTCACACGAGGCCTGTGGTGCACCCTCCCTGATCCCGGGGCACCCCTTGTGCGCCCTCTTGTGCACCATCCTCGACCCTCCCCAGTCCACGGGGCACCTCTTGCGCAACCCACACAGCGCCTCTCACACGCCCTCCCGACCTCTCACGCAACCCACCTCCTCACAACCTCCCCAACCTTTGCACTTCCCCCCGACCCTTGCACACCCCTCCCAGCCGCACAGGCCCTCCCCGCCCCTCCTGTGCCCAGCCACACGCCCCCTTGCTCCCTCGCCCACCTGGCAGCAGCCACTTATTTGCCTGGGGGGGCTGCGACCCACAACTTCCTGCTGGCTCTGCTTGTTGGATGCGAAAGAGGAAGGGAAGGTTGGGCTTGCCAGGAGCCGGTGTGTGTGTGTGTGTGTGTGTGTGTGTGTGTGTGTGTGTGTGTGTTTCTCTCATGGCAGGCCACCTGCTCTGTGGCCGCTGGGAGGTTAACTCTCTAACTCTCCCCCCCCCCGCGTGCGCTCTGCCCCATCTCAAGGGGAGGCCGAGCCTTACCTTGTGGGCAGCCTTGGCCGGCTTTCCAGCGAGCTTCGTGGCTTTTTTGTGGCTCTTCTCCAGCCTCTTCCTTTGCTGGGTCTAAAGAGCACAAGGGTCGGTGGTCTGCAAGTTCAGAAGCCCCTCCTCAGTGGCTTCTATATCAGCACCAATGGAAGAGTCTCCACACGTGGGCCGGTTTTCCCCAGAGAGCGGGGGGGTGGGGAGGCAGTCTTCTCCTTGGGGCCCCTTGCATTGCCTGAGGCCAACCAACAAGGGGGGACCCAGAGAGGCCTCCTCGACCAGACGGGGAGCTGAGCTGCACCCACTGGGCAGGGCTGGGGGGTCTGAGCTGGAGCCCACCTTGTGGCCGGTGTCCAGGGAAGGCTTCTTCCCAGAGGTGGCCTCCTCTTGCCACAGGCGGACTCTGTGCTCCTGGAGGAAGGAAAGCCACGCCTGAGCTACGTGCCCCCCCTTTTTCAGCAAAGGGGACCCCCCCAGAACTGGGAGAGGCCTGAGGGGCTCCTGCCCGATACCAGCTCAGGTCCCCTCAATGACCCCCCTGAGCTCCCCGTCTCGGCCCTTCGGTTCTGAGCAGAGCCGCTCCCTGCAGACTCCCTTCCCCTTGGAGGGACTCCCCCGTTGGGGAGCCCTGAGGGGTGCCACCCCTCCCCTGGCTGACCCCCAGGGCCTTTCCCGGAGGGGCAAGGGGGCTCCGACTGCTCAGAATCAGGGGCCCAAGTAGCAGCAGGACAAAAGGCCGCCCCTTGCCTGCAGCCCTACGGCAGCCACGCTTTCCCCAGGCCACGGGGCAGCCGCACCACGCACGCCTCTCGGGCACCACTGAAGCATTCAGAGGCCGCAGGAGCAGAAACGGGCGAGACACGGAGTCGTTTTTTGCTGGGAAACTGTGGCAAAGGTGTGGGGGCTGGGGGGGGGGCAGCAGCACCTGGAAAATCCTGATCATCTCCTCCAGCCACTGGCTGCTGCGTTTCCGCACGGCCTCCTTGGGGTCTTCCATCTCCACCATCCAGGAGTTCATCTCCTTGAAGAAGAAGTTGTGCGGGTCCTGAAGCCCCAACTCCTTGAACATGTCCTTAAAGACGGCCCTGGGGGGGGGGGAGGGGGAGGGGGAGGGGCATGCCTTAGCTGGAGCTTCCTATCCACAGAATGGACACAAAGCCCACAGGGCGTTTCTCCCCTCCTTGCGAATAATGGGACTCCCTGCAGCAGGCAAGGCTCCGCCCGGTGCCCGGTGGCGCCCCAGGACCCACAGCAGGAGAGGGGCTTCCGGAGCAGCCCTAGACCCCTGCCAGGAGCTCCTCAGGGCTGCAGAGAGGCCAGTCAGCCATACCAGCACAAGGGCACTCGGCCCACCTGCCTTCCCTGCACCGGGGAGAGGACTCAGCCACAACCGAAACCCAGGCACCACATGCCACAGCCAGCGGCCTCTGTCGCTTCCCACCTGCAGCCGGAGCTCACGGAGGGTCCAACCTTCCCCCCCAGGCCGGGATCCCCCTGCAGCCCCTGGGAGCTTCCCCTCCCCTGCCGTGCCAGGGAACAGCTCAGCCAGAGAAGGGCGCTTTCCCAGGCAGGAAGCAGCGGGCCTGGGTCTCCCACGAGGGCCTCACCTGATGCAAGCAGGCGCCATCAGGTAACAGGTCATCAGCTCCACCATCAAGTCCAGGCTGTCCTTGTCCAGGTCCAGGAGGACGCGCAGGGCGGCCAGGATGAACCTCCTCTGGCTCTTTTCCTAGGAGGGGGGAAGGGGCACCTCAGCCAGCAGCCCTCATGGGGGGAGGGGTCAGGGCAGGCCCACCGTTAGCTTCCTCCTTTCCCTCGTGGAGCCCTCCTCTGCCAAGAGGGGCCCCTCCTGGAGTTTTGGGGCCCTCCCGCCGGCCCCCTCCTCACCCCCCCCGCCTGCCCCCTGGCTCCCAGGGGCAGATCGGCCCCACCTGCAGCGAAGGGGTGTTGCCTTCCTCGTTCAGCACTTCCAGCAGGGTGTACTGGATCCACCTCTTGGTCTTGTCTTCCAGCTGGTCCTCCAAGTAGCTGATGGCGCTCAGCACTTCCGTCTTGGTGTGGAAGTCGGAGGTGACCAGCGCCTCCTGCAGCTTCCTCACCAGGGACTTCAAGGGCATCTCGGGGCGGATACCCTGTGGAGACAGGAGCCCCACTCAGGAGGCGGCGACGGCAGCTGGGGGGAAGCTCACCTGGGGGGGGGGGGCTGACGTTGCAGAGGAAGGGGCCATTGCAGAAAAGGCCCACTGCCCAGAGAGGGGACCCAGGACAGACCTCTTCTGCTTGGACGGATGGGACGGGCAATCGGGAAGGCAACCCCGCCCCAGGCCAACATGATGACGAAAGGGGGGCACCCCACCCCCATTCATAAGGGGGAGGATGCATTGGGCTTCCCACCTCAGCCAGCCCCCCACCCCCGGACTCCAACCCTTTGACCCCTCGGGGCCCTTCCAGTCCTCCGATCCACAGGATCCCCACTGCATATGGGGCTCGGCTGAGGCTGCCTGGTTTCTAGTCCAGTGTAACAAGCCAACATCACCATGGTTTGCACACAGGTTGAGAGGTCATCGATGAGTTGCTCTTCGGTATCTGGAACGGGACTGGGGTCACTTCCAGGCTGAGCCCCAATTCTTCTTATAAAGGCAAAGGTTTCCCCTGCCAGGGGGGGGCTGGCTCTAGAGGGAGGGGCTCATCGCCACCACCACCACCACCCAGCTGAGAAGAGGCTTCAGTGGCCATGTGGCCAGCATGGCGATATATCATTGCTACCTTCCGACCGAAGTGGTACCTATTTATCTACTCACATTTGCATGCTCTCCAAGTGTTGGGTGGGCAGGAGCTGGAGCCAGCAAGAGGAGCTCACCCTTTCATGCGGTGCTTGGGTCTTCAACCTGGGCGGTCAGCTTTTGCCTTTAACCACTGAGCCATCATGCCCCCTTTTCTATCAATGGAGGTCACTAACCCGAGACAGCCCCAAGGTCAGCCCATCCCCAAGAAAGACGGGGGGCGGGGATGGAAAGTAACCGATGTGGGGTCAAGGCTCCCTTGGTGTCCTTGGGTCTCCGGGGGCCCCTCTCACCTCTGGGAAAAGATCCTGGAACCACTCTTGGTCCACGAAGGGCCAAACAAACGCCGGCATCGCCTGCTGCGGCTCTGGATACTGGGACTCATCCAGCTGAGTCAGGAAGACCCCAGGCACGCTCTGGAATCAGGGGAGGGGGTGGTGCGAAGGGAGCGGGTACATCCGCTGTGCCCTGGGTGGCCCTGACACCAGGCAGCTGCCTTGGGGGGCCGGCCGGGGGAGCCCAGCAGCTGGGGGGGGGAAGAGAGGCACCTGCTTTGTGGAGGGGGCACCTTCCTTGGCTGGCGTGATTCGGGACTTGGACGTGGTCGCCTGGCCCACCAGCCAGAGTTCTTCCTTGGGCAGCTCACCCTCATCAAATGTCACCAAACTGGCCTTCGAGGAGCTCGTCGACACCTGGCCGGCCAAGGGAGGGAAGGGTCCCTCAGAGCCCACGGCCAGAGCAGCCCCGACTGGCCCCAAGACCCAGCCCCCTCTCTGGGCCACAGGCAGCAGCCAGGCAAGGAACAGGCAGAGCAGCCCTTCTCTTCCGGGCCATGCGGTGCCAACCTGCTGCATCGCCTCCCCCCACCTCAGAGAACCTGAGCAGCTTCCGAGCATCACCTGGCTTCCCATGCAGCCTTTGGCCTCACCCATCCCCCCCCCGCCCCGATCCTTGGCAACTTTAAGACTTGGGGACTTCATGCTGGCTGGGGAATTCTGGGAGTTGAAGTCTTAAAGTCGCCCAACGTTGGGAGCCCTGAGCTAGTAACGGTTCTTGCTCATTTCCCTCCAGGTGACCCGCCTTCTGCTCCAGGACGCTGGAGAGGCTGGTCCCCCATGTGACCCTCCACCCACTGCCCATCCCAGCCAGGGAGGGTCCCCAGACCCCTTGCAGCAAAGGACAGGGCAGAGAAGGAAGCCTCCCCCCACCGCCTGGCCTTCCCAGGGTCTCTCGGTTTCTCTGCTCCTTGACAGGGCGGAGGAGAGGGACGGGATCTCCAGGGGGCACCCAACTGGGCAAATTCTGCAGTGGGAACCGCCCGGGGGGGGGGTCTGTAGTGCCAGGGCAGACCCCAGGCCAGGCTCCAGCCCTGCAGAGTGGCCAGGCCAGCTGTCCCTCTTCTGGGGTTCAGGGGTTGTGTTCCCTGGCCCTCTGTCGCTTCTCCAATCACGCCCCCCCTTGCATGTTCAGGTTCTGCACCCCAACATCACGGGGGGGGGGCTCTTTCATCATTGCTTCCCCCTCCTTCCGTTCCTTGCAGGTGGGGCATGCATCGCCCAAACCGGCCGGCATTCCAAACGGGTGGCTGTGCGCCTGTCCCGACTCCTCCGGGGTTGGGGCTGTGGGCCCGAAAGGGCACTGCTGGGTTGGGGGCCCAGCCTCCGTGCTCCGCCAGCTGCCAGCCCTGGGATGGGGGGCAGCCTCCTGCAGGCCCCAGCTTACCTCCTGGGGCTCGACCACCTTCACCAGGTCCTCTGTCTCCGTGGAGCTGGAGTGGAGCTGCTGGACGACCACCGAGTTGGGGATGAAGCCCGAGGATATTCTGGGCAGCTGGAGACTCCGGCTCTTGAGCTCCTGGGGAGGAGGAAGGGGGAGAGTTGGGCAGCTCTCCCAGCCCTCCCCCTGGAAGGGGCAGAGCCCGGGGGAACAAGGGCCCCTCCCTCTGTGAGCAGGACTGTCTTCTGCAGCTTGGAGCTCCCTCGAAAGAGCTGGGGGGGGGGCTGCACAGGCAGGAAAATGCCCCCCTCCCCACCCAAGACGGTATCACCATCCACAGGCAGGGCACCCAACCCTCCGGGGGGGGGGGGGGGGGGCGAAGGCCCCTCCGTCCCTTCCCATAAAGCAGAGGCAGAATCCAACGGCCGCTGCAAGCGAGGGGCCACAGGGCCCGATCCGCTCCGACCAGGAGGCCTGAGAAGCCCCTTCCGACTCCCTGGCTCTATGGGGGGGTGGGGGCCGCAGGGCGGGGGCAGTGGGCATGGTGAGCCCCGGAGGGAACCCCCCAGGTGCTTCTGGGCCCAGAGGCCGACCGTGGGGGAGCATGGAGGAGCTGGGGGAGGGGAGGTGGGGCCCCTGCAGATCCCCGGCTGAGGACAGCTCAGCCCGTTGCTGGGTCAGGGAAGGGAGCCGCAGCTGCCCCCGAAGGGCTTGCTCACCGCATGAGACCCCTGTGGGCTGCTGGGCCTCTCCGGAAAGAAGCCTTTGACGATGCCGGACAGCTGGGGGCTCCTCAAACGCGAGGTGGAGGCCACGGACGCCTGGCTCGGCTGCGCCGACACCGGTTCCCTGAAGACCACGCTCTGGGCGCCAGACACCACAAGAGGCCCGGTGGGCTCCCTTTCAGCCCCCACCACACACCCCCGCCTCCTCCCTGCAAAGGCCGCCCAGGGCTGCCACCTCCACCGGGAGCCCTGGGCCCTCCTTGGAAAGGCTCCTGGTGGCCGAGAGCGGGGGAGGTGAAGTCACACGGGGGAGAGGTGCCACGGAGCACTGACCACGGAGAATCTGTCCACGGGGGCTTCCTTTAGAGGCCTGCAATGGGTTGGCCCCTCGTCTGGGGCTTGGGGAAGGAAGCCGCGGCCGGGTCAACATTTCCAGAATTTGTGAATGATTTCAAACTGCTGAAAGCCCCCCGCAGCAGTGTAGGGGAGGGGGGTCTTCACTCACCCCCCTCCCAGCTGCCCCGAGGCCTCCTTCCTCCCTCTGCTCGGCCTCCTTCCAACTCTGGGCCTTGAAAGGCGCCGTGGAGCCCCAACACCCGCAGGGCAACCAAGGCCGGGGGGGGGTTGGGGGTGGCGGCTACAGCGGCCCCTTACCTTCTCGCTCTTAAAGTGCCCGGAGGGGCTGGGGGACGAAGGGCCCTCTGGGGAGACCGAGATCACAGCCTGGACCGTTTTCACCAGGCTCAAGCGCTCTGCCAGCTGAGGGAGAGCAGGCACTTTAGCAGGCCCTGGGCAGGATCCCACCCAGCCACCATTTGGGTGCGTCCCTTGGGCCCGCAGGGCAGGACAGCCAGAGCAGCCTCGGCTTCCCAGGCTGACCCCCCGTCCTGTGCCCCCCCCCAATCTTCCCTGGGGCAGAAGCAGACTCCCCCCTTGGGCCACTCCTCTTCCGGCTCCGTCACCCCAGAAGGGGAGCCCGGGAGACGGGGGGCTAGAGGGGAAAGAAGGGGAATGGCAGCCCCCCCGGACCCTCACCGTGGGCGCCTCCTCCGAGGGCCCCTTCAGCTCGGGCTGGACGCCTTGCCGGCTGCTGGCTCTGGCCGAAAGGGACCGGACGGCCTTTGGGGCTTCCTGCATCACGGGGGGCGGGGGAGCTTCAGCCCTCCCCAGGGAGGGGGACGCCTGCATCCTGGCAGAGGACGGGGCAGTGGCGACCTCCACCTAGGAGAAGCCAGGAGGGAGAGCAGAGGGGGCTTCAGCCCAGGGGCCCCCCCATCCCTCTCCCCACCCCCCCACCAGCTGCCAGAAACCATTTCCCAGTTTGCAATGGCGGACCTGCTGAGGGAAATATAATTCCATTTGGGGTGGAAAATAGGCTTATTGGCTGGACCACATTTTAAGTACAACAAGGCCATAAAGGCATCAGCCCCCCCTTTCTTTTTAGGAATGAGGCCCCCCAGCATACCCCTCAAAGGCTGCCCCCCCGCCCCCAAACTTGCACCTGGCCAGCCAGGCTCCCTCACCTTCTTCCTCTTCACCTGGAGGCTGCCAGGAACTGCAAGGGAGGAGGCAAAATGCAGGGAGGGGCTGATATCCTGGGGGGGGGAGGAATAGGGGAGGGGAAGAAAGGTCCCCCTGTAAGCAGGCCTAGCAAGGCTGGGGGTGGGAGGGGGGGAGAGGGAGACCAGCACAGCAAACCCCCCCCCTCCCGTGTGGGGGCTGCTCCTGCCCACAGCCCTGACGTTGCCCAGGGGAGTCCCGTGGGGTGGGGTGGGGCGCCCCCAAGAGGAAAAAAGAGGGGGGCTGGCCAGGGTCCGGCCCAGTTGCGCCACACCCCAGACGGCCTGGGACCCCCAGAGAGCGGGGAGAGGCCCTTTACCACAAAGAGGGAGCTGCTCATTTCGAGGCTCCTGGGCTTAGCGAAGCCCCCGAGGAACATGTGAGAGATGGAGGGTCCCCGGAGGGCCACGAGGGGGTCCATCCGTCCCAGGCATTCCAGCACTTCGTCGGCGTCGAAGGGATCCTCTTTGGGAATCTGGGCGGGGGGAGGAGGAGGAAGCGGCAGGGCTGAACTGGGATCCAGCCCAGGAGACCCAGGAAGGGCCCCCGTTGGGCAGGGGGAAAGCTGCCCATTATGGATATTGGCAGACCTGGTTGCGGGGAGGGGCTGGTGCTGGTGCCAGGTCAGGGTGCCCAGCTGGGTCTCTGGGTCAGAGCTGGCCCACCAGAGCTTCCAAGGACCGGAGGACTGCCGCCAGCCTTTGCCCGGGTGAGCAGCCGCCAAGCCTTTTAGAGAACAGAACCCTCCCTCCCTCCGGATGCGGGTTGCCCAGGAGAGGGCGTGGGAGGGGCCCCCTATGCACAGACATGGCCCAGGCGGGGGCAGGAGCCCCTTGGTCCCAGCGGAAGGGGGCTGGCACCGGGCAGGGAAGGGCGTGCCAGGGGGCTCCGGCCCAGAGCCCAGCACGCACTCCCACCCGCTCCCCAGCAGCCCTGCCAGCCGCCGCGCCACCTGCAGGCTGAGCTGCTCCTTGTAGAAGAAGCGCAGGTAGCGCTCAAAGGCCTCCACCCGCATCTCCTTGGAGAGGGGCCGCTTCTTGGCCGGGCTGATCTTCCCCTCCTGCAGCAGCTGCAGGTCCCGGTTCCTCTCCGCCAGCTGGGCCAGGCCCTGCAGAGGAGCCCCAGGTCAGGCCTCCCAGCCCAGCCGAGCCCCAGGCAGCTCCTGCTGGGCTGCGCTCCCTCCGCCACCCCCCCTGGCCTCCCCCCCCCCCGGGGTGGGTGGGACTGACCTCCAGCTTGAGCTTGGCTTCCCTGACCTCCTGGGACTCCTTCAGGGGCACCTGGAAGACGCTGGACATGCTGGACCTGCCGAAAGAAGAGGCGGGTCCTTCTCCTGGCGGCCCCCAGCCCCCTCCCCCTCCTCCCTGCACTGGAGCTGCAGCTGTTCTGCCACAAGAGATGCTGGCCTCACAAGGGCCACGGAGCAGAGACACCGCCCCACAAGGCCGGAGGGCCCCCCAAAGCAGCTCCAGCCAACCCCCAGGAGGCTTCCCATCCGCACTCCAGGCTGCGTCCCTCTGCCCTCCCTTCCTCTGGGCTCTCCTCCGTGGGGGAGACCGGGCCCCTTTCAATGCCCGCCTTTTACCTCGGGCACCTCATACCTTTAGGACGTCCCGGGTACAATCTGGGGTGCCCCTGAGGCAGGAGACCCAGCTGGGGGGCTCTACGCCAGCCCCGCTCGCTCGCTCGGCTCTGCCAAGAAGGGGCCAAGGGCCTCTGCAATGGCAGGGCTCCAAGTGGAGAATGAAGGCCACGCAGGCGCCCCCTCCCTCCCTTCCTCGCTCGCTCGCACCTACAGAGCAGCCCAGACACCCCAGGCGCCCCAAGGCGGAGGAGGAGGAGCCCCAGGAGCGCAAGCGTGCCACCCAAGCCCCCACCCCCCACCCCCCCGGCCTGGGCCCAGAGCTCACTCCGACTTCTTGACCGGCAGCTCCTGCATCAAGCGCCGGTTGTTCTCTCGCACCAGGGCCTCAAAGCTGGTGCGGCTGATGGGCAAGGAGACGTCCTGCAGGGGCTCCAGGAACTCGGCCCACAGCAGCTAGAAGAGCAGCAACAGGAGGAGGAGGAGGAGGAGGAGGAGGAGAGGCAGGCTCCCTTCGGGGGACCAGAGCACCCCGGTCCCTGGCAACGGGGCCTGGACCCACCTGGGGGTGCCCTCCGGACTCACCTGCATCTGGTAGTAGCTGGGCAGGTACTTGGTGTGGGGGATGAGGTAGAGGTGCTGCTCCAGGCCCACCAGCAGGTCCCCCTTGGGGTTGGCGAAGGCCAGGCTCTCCGGGATGGTGTTCAGCTTCAGGTGGCTGCAGGTAAGGGGAGCAGGATTGGGCCCCCCAATGGGAGACAGAGTGGGAGACCCCACGGAAGGTGCGAGACACCCCCCCCGCAGCCTCTTCAATAGGGCGGGGCTTTATGCCATCGCTACGGCAGGCAGGGTGGATGCCACCGGGCCAAGCAGAGGCGGTGTTTGGAGAGCAGCTCCACTGATTGGCTGCCTGAGGCCCCCAAAATGGGGCCATTGGGGTGGGGGGAGCCCAGGAGAAGAGCCCAGCACTGCACTGGAACGGCCTTTGGGGGAGGGGCCCTTGGGCACAGCCCCTCCCCCACCCCGGCCCTCACCGGAGCAGCCTGTTCTTGTGGTCCCAGATCTTGACCGACCCGTCCCGGCTGGACGAGGCAAAGAGCTGCAGGTTTGGGCAGCAGCAGAGTCCTGGCAAGAGGATTTGGGGCATGCAGTGAGGGGAGGGTGGGGTGGGGGGAGCTGAGACCCACCCAGTCCAGGTGGAACAACTTCTTTTGCCTCCCCTGGTCCCTTCCGGGGCTGGGGGGAGATATCACCTGTGATGTCATCCTGGGCGTCGTCCTCAGGTCCGTGCTCCGAGCGCGTCTGCTCCAGCAGGTTGTAGTGGACGATGCTGTAAGTGACTGTTTCGGGGTCCTGGAAGGCCACGGCCAGGGTCTCTCCCAGGAAGCACAGGTGCCACGCAGGGGAGGCGCAGGAGAAGCACAGCAGGGGGAGGAGGCTCTCCTCCGCGTAGGGGAAGAGGCGCCACATCTTCACCGTGAGGTCAGCACCTGTTCTGGGCAAGGGCACCGCTTGGTCACCTGGGTCTGCCACTCCCTCTTCCCAGGCTGACCCCCGGCTCCCGGCCTCCGCTAACACCCCCCCCCCGGGAGGTTTACTGCGCTGTGCCTGAAGAATTCCCCTCACGGGTAGCTGCAAAGGGGGGTAGAGTTACAACATCCCCCCTTCTTATCCAGGGGGGTTTACTCACTCGGTGGGCCTCCTCCTCCTCTTAGGACTCGCTAAGAAAGTGAGTTTCTACTGTTGGCGGGAAGTTTATTAGAAATGGGGGAAACGGGGGGGGGGGGATGCCTGAGCTGCGGAAAGGCTGGTGGCCAGCTAGCAGGTGGGCTGTGGAAGAGGCTGAAAGCAACACCTGTTTGTCAGGGGGAGGGGGCTGGGGGGGCTGGGGGAGGGGCTCCAACCCCCTCCGCTGGGTGGGGGATGGGGAAGGAATGAGGTGGTGAAAGGGGGGGAGGGGGGGTCAAGAGCGAATGGACGAAGGTGGATGAAGTACAAAAGTGGTCCTGAGGGGGGCACCATGAGGCCATCCAGATGGCCGGATTCTGACCCAAAGGCCACGCGTGGAGGGTGGGGGAGGGGGAGGGAGAGCCAATTCTGTTCAGGTTGAGGGTCAGGTTCACCAAACCCCTCCCCTCCCCCCTGCCTGTCCTCTCCGCTTCCCTTCCCCTCTGACTCTTCCTCTGCCCACCGCTTGCTCCAACGGGTGGTGGAGTCCTGGCTCCTTGTGTGGGGTGGAATGGCTCTATAGGGTGATGCCTCCCCCCAAAACCCAGAGGGGGGGAGTTAACTGGGGATTTTTACAGAGAAGAAGCACCAAGAATCCCCTCCACCATCAAGTGCAACACAACTGAACAAAATAGCAGCTCCAGCGCGATTCAAGAAACTTGTGCAGGGAGAGCAAAGTCCCTCCCCGGTGTAGGAATAGCAGAGCTGGAAGGGACCTTGGAGGTCTTCTAGTCCAACCCCTGCTCAAGCAAGAAACCCGACGCAGTTCCAGAGGAATGGCAGTCCAATCTCTTCTTGAAACCCTCCAGCGATGGAGCGCCCAGGAGGAAGGAGGGCCGCTGGCCTTTCTCAGCTGGGCAGGAGACTCTGCCGCCCCAGAAGCAGGAGAGGAAGAGGAGGGTCCTTGGGGGGGGCCCTCTGCCATCCGTTCCTGGGTCCCCTGAAGGACGCCTGTTCCTCGGGCCCCTTTGGCGGTGGCAGCAAAGCCCTGCACTGGGCCAGTCACCATAGAGGGGAAAAGCTGCCTTCCTGTGGGGCTGCAGAAGAGCCTCCGGCGGCTCAGCACCGGGAACTCCGTGGGGATGCGGCCCACTGGCACCAAACTGTGGGCAGCCTGTGAGAAGCGGTAGCTCTTGATGCTGGCAGCTGGCCACCTCAGTGGGGTTGCTGGCAGACCTGGAGACCAGCTGGCCCTCCTGGCTGCTCCCGCCAAAGACGGGACAACTTGGGAGGGAGTTGCGTAAGGCTGCCTTCCAGTCTACCCAGAGAGGCTGACCCCAGTCTCTCCAGGTCATTTTTGGGGAGGCCTGGGAGCCCCTGAAGCCCGTCCCTCCTCCCCCAGGGCCTCTGAGACTCACCTGCTGACAAGAGGCATATCTGCGCAGGGTACTCTGCCAGGGCCGTGACCCGCTGGGGGTTATGCGCCTCCACCGTGTACTGCACTCGGCCCAAGAACCAATCTATGACACTGAGGGAGCCATTGTTGTGTCCCAGAATTGGCAGGAATCTGGCACGGAGAGACGCACCGAGGGGACAATGGGGGCAGAAGACATTTGGCTCAGCCCCTTCCGTCCTCTCAAGGCCTCCAGAGCCTTCCAGGGAGCGTTTCCCCAGCCAAGAGTTCCAGTGCAGGCGCCGGTCCCAGAAAGTCAAGGCCTGTCTGGAGAAGCCCCCCAGGCGATGGGGACCCTACAGGATGCGGTGGGCCGGCTGGCAGCTGCTGCGGTCTGGGACGAAGGGAGCCAGGGCCGGGGCTCCTGAGGCCGCCTACCTGTTCCTGTCCTGCATGTTGAGGGTGGACTTCTGCCACTTTCTCCGGTAGCCTTGGTTCTGGGTCACGTCCAGCCACGTGGCGTACGCCTTGTCCGGCTCCACCACATGGCTGTAGAGCAGGAGGCAGCAGGGCTTGGACTCCCAGAGGCTGCTGCTGAAGCATCGCTTCACCACCATGGCGCTGGGGGCAGCGTTGACGTGCAGCACGTGGCCCTGCTCCAGCAGCACAAAGAGCGTCTCCCGGGGCAAGCAGTAGGCCACCTCCCGAGCCGGGGAATACTGGTCCAAGGAGAGGACGGAGACGGGCGCGCCACTGTCGGCCTCCAGCAGCTGCACGGTGGAGTCCTGGCACAGGCAGAGGATGCGGGCAGGAAAGTTGCCCAGCAGCCCCAGGTCGATGCAGCTGAGCCGCCTGGCGGGGGAGCCCAGCGCTGTGTAGAGCGAGTAGAGCTGGTTGATCCTCCAGAGGTTGAGGGTGCAGCCCGAGACGGAGAAGACGTGCGAATTGGTGTGGGTGTCCAGGGACTCCACGGGCTCCGAGACGTGGACCTGGTCTACCTGGTCCACGGTGTTGAGGTTCCAGGTGCGGATGGTCCCGTCTTGGGAGGCAGAGAAGATGAGGGGCCGGTGGGGGTAGATGGTCACAGCCATGACTGGAGCTGCAGGCAGAAGCGAGGTGGGGGGTGGGCGGGAGGGGAAGAAAGGTCTTCTCAGAGCTGGAGACCTTTTTCAGCGTGTGTGTGTGTGTGGGGGGGCTGCTCAGAGGCCTTTGGGGGAAACTAGCTGTGGGCTCAGCAGCTGAGAGTGGAGGAGCCACCTCCTGCCTTCAGCAGAGGTCAGGCAAACTCAGGGGGGCTGAGAGAAGCTTCGCCTGTTGAACTTCTAGCAGCCATGCAGCTCCTTGGAAAAGGAACGGGCAACGCTGGTGCCCCCCTCGTCCTCCCTGTGCATGAGCAGAGGGCAGAAAGGAAGGGCACCTGGGGTGGGGGTGGGGGCTCCTCCTCCTGCTCAGCCAGTGGGCACCTGGGCAGATGAACTCACCGGTGTGCCCCACAAAGACGATCTGAATGTCCCACTCCTTGTTCCACACCTTGATGGTGGTGTCTCGGGAGGCCGTGATGACACAGCCAATGGCTTCACAGTAGACAAGGTCCGTGATCTCTCTGCAGAGACACGGGGGCACCCGCAATTGAGCCCCCCCCACCTTTCTCTGACCACCAGCGCCTGTCCCAAGCCCAGCCCTGCACCCTCCTAATTCCCCCTCCCCCTCCTTCACACAGGCAGCAGCCTCAGAGGGGGAGGGGGGGGCAGCACCCAGACCTCTCCTTCAGTCCCCGCTCCCCCTGTGGGGGATGCTGGCAAAGGGCAAGACTTTGAGAAGCCCTGGACCACGGGGGCCCCTCCCCAGCCACGGCAACCTCACCTGCTGTGGAGCTTCGTCCGGAAGGCCAGGAGGTTCCCCTTGGAGATGTCAAAGGTGGCCACGCCGGTGGCACAAGAGGCGAAGCAGCAGTGGGGCTCGCTGGGGCTGCCCGTGTCCAAGGCCAGGTGGGCAAAGCGGTCAGTGGGCCCCAGGCCAGTGCTCACGCTGGCCCGGCATTGCAGGCTGCGGGAGCCGTAACGGAAGCTCCAGAGGGTCAAGTTCCCATCTCCGGCAGTCACGATCCGGTTCAGCTGCTTGCTATAGATGCCACAGCGGATGGGCAGCGCGGACGGCATCTGCGAGAGCGGCTGGAAGTGGGAGTCCAGGACCTGCAGGGCTCCGGTGTCCCAGGCCACGAACTGGTTGACGTGGGAGGCATAGAGGATGCCCTTCATGGGGGCCGGGCCCTTCACGCTGCCCTGGCAGCAGCCGTCCTCCGTCAACAGGTGCAGCGTGTCGGCTGCGTCCAGCACCACGAAGGCCCTTCTCTGCAGGTCGTAGGTCACGTGGCACACCGGACTGGCCAGGACGATGCGGCACTGATGCTGCAGGCCATGGCTCAGGTGGAGGGTCTTCATTTCCTCGCTCTTCATCTGACCCGGATAGAAAAGTCTGGGGCTGGGGGCAGCCAGGAGGAGCCCCCCCCTCCCCCCGGTTGTTTGCGAGGGTGTGGCTGGCTGGGGACCTTGTGGCAGGACCGGGCAGTGCCAGCCAGGACCCTGCCCTGAGTTCCCAACCCCCTTCATCTCTACACCACCTGCTCCCTGGCAGTGCCAGCATGAAGCACGGAAAGGCCTTCCGCTTTGCAGGTGGACGCAGCCCTGACCACAAGGCTGACCAACAAGCCTAAGCAGGGACCGCAAGAGGCCGTGGGGGGGGGCGTTGCAGGGACCTCGGGGGTCATCCCTCTTACTGTGATGGTGGGGGGGGGTCTCCTTACCCATGGCCATGCTGCAGGGGGTCTGGCAAGACTCAGGCTCTTTGGGGGAGGGGCCCCCATCAGCCCACCTTCCCTGGGGAGCCAGACTTTCTGGCCCTGGGCTGAAGCTTTGAGCTCCCTTCGCCTGGCTGCCCTTCCTCCAACCCTGGGGGTCAAAGAGGAGACCTGAAGGGCGCTGTTGCCCCGGGGCTCCTGCTGCCCACCTAGGGGGCACTTTCCTTGCTCCGCCAGCTCCTCACTGATGAACCCCCCCCCCAATTCTTCCCAGCACCTGCCATAAGCAATAATTCTTTTTTTAATTATTAAACTTGTATGCTGCCCATCTCGGCAGAGGCGGTTCTTTTATCATATTGCTTCCTTGCCAATTCCTTTTTCCTACTAATTTTATACATTATTATCATCCCCAAAATAAATTTTCTTTCATTCTTATGATGCCATCTAAAGGTAGGTGGCGGTTTTAAGTCCCGTTTAATTTTTCCTCTCTTACATTGGGGGGGGGGAGAGGGTATCCAGGCCACGGAGGGAGGGGGCTGGCGAGGAAGGGCTGGGCTGCTTCTCCGCCCTGCCCAGGGGGCTGCCCGTGCTTGCACCTCCCCTGGGGAACGTACCTTTTCCACAGCCCGGCGGAAGCCCCTCCGCAGGAGGCCCCAGAGCCTGACCCCTCTTGCCTGCCCCCCTCCAAGGGGAGCCTCTTCCTCCTCCGCCACCTTCTCTCCAGCGGGGGGGGACTGCTGGTGCGGCCTCTTCCTCTGCCCCGCTCGGCTGGCTGCAGAAGGGTGTCAGGCGTTCAGAGGGAGAGGAGAGGGCTCCCCGCTGCCCAGCAGGTGCCCGGCCAAGACGGGGACGGGGGGGGCTTGCTTACAGCCGCTGCCCGAGGACTCCACCATCTCGGCAGCCGGGCACGCCTGAAGAGTCGCCCTCCTGCTGAAGGAGGGGTGTGTGGGGCAGAAGGTGCCCAAAGCAAGGGTTCCAACCAAATGTCGGGGCTGGATTTGACCCTGGAACACATAAACAGAGGTGCAGCCGGGGGCTGGTCAAAAAAGTCAAGATGGCGGGCCTAAGGTTGCCATCAAAGCTGACCTCTTCTTTTGATCTTTCAGATGACCCCGGGTGGCTGGGACACCCCCTTGGCTACCAGCCCCCCCCCCATGCTGCTCGGGCTCCTTGGGGCCTCCTGCAGCTCCCTGAGGTGAGCGTGCCAAAAACAGCCCCCCCCCGCAAGGCTGCACCCCGAGCCTCCCTCTCTTCCTGCCTCCCTTTCAGACAATGGGCCTCCGTCCTGGGCCTCCTTTGCTCCAGAAGGGCCCCCTGGCTGCATCTGGGGAAGCCGGGGGGGGGGGGGGGGGCGTTGCGCCCGGCCCCCGGCCGGGGGCCCCCTTGGCCCCGGGGGGCCCCCCGGGCGGCTGGGGGGGGGGGGGGGGGGGGGGGGGAACCTGCTGGCCTCCTAGTAGAGCAAGACCAGGATTTGGCCAGTTCGGGCTCCCTCGAAGGGCGTTGCAGCAGCGGGTTGGTTTGAAGGCAGGGCTGGGGTCTTTCAAGGGGCCAGTTAAGTGGCCACAGGCAAAGGAAGGCTCCAGGCAGACAGGCTCCAGGCTTGAAGGTGGCCCTGCGTTATAAAACCAAATTCCACTAAGGGTCCAAACTTATTGTGGCTTGTAAATACAGGTGGTCCTCGTTGAACGACCCCTCACGAGGACCGGACGTTCTGCCACAAAGTGATGCAATAGCTAAGTGGGAAATCAGTCCCCACCATTGTGTTTTGCAGCTGGAAAGAAGCAAGACTAGTGAGTTCATCCCTCCTGCTCCCATTTGCCTCCTAACGCTCTTGCCGGTCACATTTTACAGAGGTCTCCAACCTTAGCAACTTGAAGACTTGTGGACTTCAACTCCCAGAATTCCTCACTCAACCTTGCTGGCTGAGGAATTCTGGGAGTAGAAGTCCACAAGTCTTAAAGAGGGTTGGAGACCCTCCTTTAGAAGGCACACATGCCGGGTTACTTGCAAGGTGACCATTGCCTGGGGCCGGGAGGTGCAGGCTCAGCAGGCAAACTGTTTCCAGGAGCCTCTTGAAATCGCTTTCACGCTCTGCCCCACGGGATGCAAATGGAAAGGATCAGGTAAAGGGGAGAATGCCCACACAAAGGGGTCCCTCTGCTCTCCCCAGCCCGCCTTGGGAAGGCCACACCTGGAGTCCGGCATCCAGTTTCGGTCACACTGTAAAAAAGATGTGGAGACTCTAGTGCAGAGAAGAGCAACCAGGATGGTGAGGGACTGGAGGTTGCAGGAACTGGGCCTGGCTAGTCTAAGGAAGAGAAGGACCAGGGGAGACAGGAGAGCAGCCTTCCAATATTTGGGGGGCTGCCCCAGAGAGGAGGTGGGGGTCAAGCTATTTTCTAAAGCATCTGAAGGCCAGATGAGGAATAACGGATGGAAACTGAACCAGGAGAGATTCAACCTGGAAATAAGGAGAAACTTTCTGACAGGGAGAACCATCAACCGACGGAACAGGAGTTGCCCTTGGAAGTTGTGGGAGCTTCATCCCTGGAGGCTTCCAAGAAGAGACTGGACTGTCATCTGTCACAAATGGTGTAGGGTCTCCTGCTTGGGCGGGGGGGGGGTTCAACGAGATGACCTCCAAGGTCCCTTCCAACTCTGTTATTATTCAATAATTGAGAAGTTGGGGGAGGTTCATCCCTGGAAGCTTTCAAGGAGAGACTGGACTGCCCTCTGTCAGGAAGGGTGTAGTAGGGTCTCCTGCTTGTGTGTGGGGGTTGGACTAGATGACCTATAAGGTCCCTTCCAACTCTGATTATCTGTTATCTGATACAGTAGTGGAATACCACCAGATTGCAGAGGTGGAAGGAAGATTTTTTTAAAGAGTACTGGAAGCTGTTTGCGTGGCGTTCCTGTGGCTCCCAGTCCAGGCTGTGGTGCAATCAGAGCTTTTGGGGCCTAGCAAACAGCTCCCTTTCTCGCAATCCCCTTTTCTCCAATCTTTCTGGCCTGTCAGGGGGACCAAGAACGGAGAATCTCACCTGCAGCCCAGGGTTGAAACTTGGGGAAACTCGCTGAGCTGGGCTGTTTTCTTGCAGACCTTGCATGACCCGAACAGGCAGCACCGTCAGCGCTAACACCAGTGAAGATGTTGCTCCTAGTTCGAGTCAGGGAATGTTTGCAAGAAACAAACTCAAGGAGATCAAGGGGGGGGGGATTTTTTTCATCCCGCTTTTATTTTTATTAATAATAACTAAGGGCAAAAACGCCGGTCAGGCAGAGGGCATTCCAGGCGGGCTGTAAGGCCAGTCCGAAGACGGGGGGGGGGGGGGGGGGGCTGCCACGATCGCGGGGGGTCATAAGGGGCCCCTAAAGTTGCCTTCTCAATACCCTCGAAGCTGCGGTCGGTCACGGACGAGACGGTGGGCAAGTGAGGACCAGGCGCAAAGGCAGAGCAGCCTCGTCGAGGGCTTCGGGGGGCACGGAGACCCCCGAGAGGAGCGCGATTCCCCCGGAGGCGGATGATGGGCGAGACCCCGCGGGGCTCCCAAGGCAGGCCGCGCAGCAGCCCCGCGGAGGCGGCCCGCGCTGCACCCTGAGCCACGCGCGGCTCTCCCGGGGGGATCCGCCGCTTACCTGGGGGGCCCGCGGGGGGGAGAGGAAAACCAGGCGGGGCGCCCCTGCAGGCGGCCGCGCGGAAGGAAACGGCCGCTCAGGCGGGGGCCCTTTCCCAGCCAAAGGCCGGACGAAGCGCTTCTCTCGGCGGGGCGGCCGCGTCCGTCCGCTCCTGGCCCGAAGCCTCGCGCCCCCTCGCCCGAGCGCGGCTCACCTGAGCCGGGAGGCACCTGCGCGGCGGCGGCGGCGTCTCCCTGGCGACAGGCGGTCGGTTGCGGCGCCGCCTCCTCCACCCTCCGCACACGGGCCGCTCCGAGAGGCTCGGCCCGAAGGCGCGCGCCGGGACCCCTCGCGCCCCCCCCCCCCCGCCCGCTTTTCAGCCGTCGCAGCGCCGGGGCTCCCGGGCCGAATCCGCGAGCGGAGCCCAAGAGCCGAGTCAGGCGGTCCGCGCTCCCCCGCGGGCTTTGCAGCCCGATTCCGGCCGGAGGTCCGTGGCCCTTCGACGCCCCCTCGCCCGCCCCCCCAGCCAGCCAGCGGGAGGAGGGTGGGGGGGGCTGCCCGGAAAGACAAAATCCACCAGAGACACCAGAGAGAGCGAGAGAAAGTTTATGGCCAACAGAACCACGAGGCAAGGGGGGGGGGGGGAAACCCCCCCAAAAAAAGGGGGGTGGATCCCCCCCCCCCCCCCAAGTCTTCAGGAGGGCCCAACCCCTCCATGGGGGAAGATTAAGTGCTCCTGCAATGGGCAGGAGTGTGTCGTAGTCCAAGGTTAAATTTTGGAGGGAGCCTTGCAGGATAGCACCCCCCTTTCTTCTGCACCCCACTGAAGGCAGGGAATTGTGGGAAATTCCTCCCCCCACCGTTGCTTGGGTACCAGGGGCTGGGGGGGGGGCAGGCTGTCCTAATATTTGCAGCAGAAGTGATGGCACCTGCCCACCCACCCCAAAACAGACACACAAAGATACCCC